TTTATAATTTATTATAAAAGCCAATTTATACTAGCTTAATTTAACTTTAAAAGTATTATATAGCTTATAAATAACTATATAAAAATATTAGATTTTAATAAGGGTAGAGTAAGTATTTACTATAATAATTAAAAATAGCTATAAATATAAAATATAAAAGGCTAGTTTATAAATATATTAAAGTATATATAATATTTATAAAAATAAAAATAGCTTCCCCTTTATATATATTTAAAAACTTTTATATAAAAGGTATTAGAATTACTTAAATAAAATAAGGAAAAAATTACCCTTTAAGTTAAAAATTAAATAAAATTTATATATATATTTTTTATAAAAATAAGCCCAACTTTAATATATATAAATACCTCCTTAATAAATATTATTATACTTTTAATAAAACTAAATATACTAAAAAAATTATTATATTAGCTTAATTAACCTATTAAATTACTTTTAAAAAGCAAAAAGTATATTAAAAAGGATTTAATTATCTCCTAGCTAGCAAACTTAAATTTATTAATAAAAGACTTTTATATAAAGCTTTTACAACTTTTTAAAAAATTTAAATAATTTAATAAAATATATATAAAATTTCTATTTATAAAGTATATATATTAAATATTAAGAGAAGTAATATTAGTAAAACCAAGCCCTATAATAAGCTAAGCTAGAAATTAAAAACTATAAGAAAGTACTTAGTATAATATAAGGGCGCCAAATAACCCCTTATAAAAATTTTAAAAAACATATATTTTAAAACCTATAAGCTTACCTATTATTTTACATTAACCCAGCCCTATATTAATAAAAGTAAAAATAGCAAATAATTAAGAAATACTACCTTTACTATACTATTCAAATAGGCCAATTTTAGTATACTATTAAATTTATAAAGCTAAGCTATATATACGCCTATTAATTTAAGGTTTTTAATTAAAGCTAATATTATTATAACTTATATTTAATTATAAGCATTTATAAAACCTTATTACTTAAAATTTTATATATATGCCAACTTATATTAAAAATTAGCAGAAATTTAAGTTTATAAAATTAAAAAAAAGGCAAAAAAAAAACTAAAACCTTACTTACTAATATAATACTAATTAAAATTTTTAAGCAACTAAAAAAATTAAAAAATAATAAAAAACCTAAAATATAATATATTAATTAATAGGAAAAAATTATTATTTTATAAGTAATAAATAAAGAACTATTTTTTTAAAAAAGTAGCTTATAATATATTAAATATTTTAATATATATTTATTTTTAGTATTTCTTTTTTTTAAATAGCTTAACCTATAATTAATAATCTTTACTATTAAAGAAGGTATATTTTAATAGCTATTAGTAATAACCTTAAATATAAACTACATAAATAAATACTTTTTCCTTAAAAAACTTTACTAGTAATTCATCCTCCTTATTCTTATTTAATTAATACTTAAAAGTAACTATTTTATCCTCTTTCTTACTTATTATAAGTAAATAGTTAATTATAAAAGTTAAAGGTAAAGGACCCTCAACCTCAAGTGCAAAGTCCTTACCCCCAACTTTATTAATATTTAAATTAATAGTTTATATTAATAAAGTTAAAAAATATATATATTATTTATTATTATATAAATATTTAAATTATTAATTTATATTTTTATAAGCATCCTTAATTAAGTTTTATAACTATAATACCTATAATAATAAAAAATAAAGAAAGCTAAATTAATTTAAAGTATTAAATTATTATATATTAAGATATTTATATTTATTTATAATACTTTATAAATAATAAAAGTTAAACCTATATATATATTTAAAAGTAAAAGTTTAAATATTTAAATTAATATTTTTAATTAATAATCTTATTAGAATTAAAACTTTAAATAAAAATTAATATATTTATTCTAAACTATTAAATAAATAAATTACTTTAAAATATATAAATTAAATATCTCTAATAATAACCTAACTTTTAATATATATTTTTATTTAATAATACCTTAATAAAAAGAGTTACTATTATTATAAATTAAGGAAAGATAAAAATTTAAGTTTAATTTAACCTAAAGGATTTAAAAGGAATTAAATTTTTAAAGTAGTTATTTAACTACTTAATAAAAGATTACTAATATAAAAATAAAGGTAATTATAATTAATAAATAGTTTAAATTATATAACTCTAATTAGTAGATTATAATAAGGAATTTATTACTAACTTTTAAATCTAACTTCCTCCCTTCTATACAATCTAACTTAACTAATCACTCTTTATATATATATATATATAATAACCCGTATTAATATTATATATAATAATAAATTTTTTAAAATATAAAATTAAATATTTTATAATTATAAAATTTTAATTAATTTTATTATATTATTTTATTATATTATAATTTAATTTAATTTAATTTAAATTTTTAAACTTTTTTAACTTTTAAAAATTAAAATTTTTAAATCTTTAAAATAAAATTTATTTTATATAATTATAAATTTAATTATTAATAATTATTCTTTTAATAAAATTATAAAGTTATAAATAAAATAATAAAATAATATTATTTTATTTAATTATATTTTAATTTAATAAAAATAATAAATTAAATAATTATTTTTAAATAATTTTATTAATAAAATTAATTAATAAATATTTATTTTAATTAATTTATAATTTATAATAATTTTAATCTTAATAAATTAATTTATATTAAAATTAATAATATTAATTTAAATTAATATAATTTAATATATTAATATAAAAATATTATTTAATAATAAATGATATTATAAATTATTTATATTTTTAATTTAATAATTAAATTAAAAATAAATAATTATATTTTAAAAATAAAATATAATATATTTTTAAAAATTAATTTAATTAAACTTATTATATAAAATCTTTTATAATAACTCTATAATTTATATTTAAAATATTATTTATTATTAAAATTATTTATTTATATTAATATATTAATTTATATTAATTTAAATTATTATTATTAATTTATTAAAATTAAAATTATTATAAATTATTAATTAATTTTAATATTATTAAATATTATATATAAAATTATTTTATAATTTAAATAAATATAAATTAATTAAAATAAATAAAATAAAATTATTTAAAAATAATAATATTTTATTATTTAAATTTATAATTTTAATAATTTTATTATAAATAAAATAAAAATAATTATTAATAATTAAATATATAATTATATAAAAATAAATTTTTATTTTTAAAAAATATTATTATTATTTAAAATAACTTATTTATTTTTAAAATATTAAAATTATAAATTTAATTTAGAATAAATTAAAATTTATAAGAATTTTAAATTTAAATTTAAATTTAAATAAAATTAAAATTAAATTAAATTATAATATAATAAAATATTTAAATAAAAATTAATAAAAGTTTATAATTTTAAATTTTTACTTTTATATTTAAAAAAAAAATATTATAAATATAAATTATAAAATTATTATAAAAGATTTTATATAATAAATTTAATTAAATTAAGTTTTCAATAATATATTATATTTTATTTTTTAAAATTTTAATTATTTATTTTTATTTTTATAATATAATTAAAAAGATATAAACAATTTATATTTATTATAGTCTTTAATCTTTTTATTTATTTTTAATTTAAGAATAAAATTAAAAAATATAAATTAATATTTATTTATTTAAACTTATATCTACTTACTTAATTCTTAATTTACTTATTTAATATTAATATTTTTAAATAACTCCTTTATATTTATAAATACTTTTTAAGTTAATATTAAAAGACCTTATAGTATAATTTCCTTTTTTAATTTTTAATACTTTAAGTATAAACCCCTTCTAATATACCTTTTAATATACCTTCTAGTATACCTTTTAATATACCTTCTAATATACCTTTTAATACACCTTTTAGCACGCCTTCTAGCCTATATATATTTAAGTATTAACTAAATATTTAAATACTAATTAAATATTAAAAGGCTAGAAGTTTAAAGTATTAAAGGGTTAGAAAGAGTATTAAAAGGTTAAAAAGAGTATAGTCTTTACCTTTACCTTCTTAACTTTTAACTCTTTAATATTTAATTAGTATTTAAATATTTAGTTAATACTTAAATATATATAGGTTAAAAGGCCTAAAAAGTGTACTAAAAGGTATATTAAAAGGGGTTTATACTTAAAGTATTAAAAATTTAAAGAATTCTAATTAGATATATAGTTTTATATAAATTATATATATAAATTCTTATATTAAGTAAGTAGTTAAAAACTAAGTAAGTAAATATAATTATTAAATAAATAAATATTAACTTAAAAGTATATATAATTTATAATTTATAAATAAAATTTTATTATAATAAATTATAATTAATATTTATAAATAATTATAATTTAAAAATTTAAAATTATTATTTTAAAATTTTTATATTTAAAATATTTTAAATAATTATTATTATATAAATTTATAAATAATTCTTTTAAAAAGTTATTTATTTAATATTATTAAATTTAAAATATATATTTTAAAAATATAATATTTAATATAATATAAACTTAAATATTTAATTTTAAATTATTTTATTTTAATAAATATAAAAATTAAATTAATATTTATTTATTTAATTTTTATAATTTTATATATAAAATTTCTATAAAATTATATATTTAATTAAAATTCTTTAAAATTTAATATTTTAAATATAAACCTTTTAAACCTTTTTTAATACTTTTTTAAAACTTTTTATCTTTACTTTTTAAAACTTTTTACCTTTACTTTTTAAAACCTTTTACTTTTATCTTTTAAATCTTTTAAATTATATATATTTAAGTATTAATTAAATATTTAATAATTAATTAAATACTAAAAGATAAAAAATCTAAAATATTAAAGAATTAAAAAGAGTATTAAAAGGTTAAAAAGAGTATAGTTTTTACTTTTACCTTCTTAACTTCTAACCTTCTAGCATTTAGTTAATATTTAAATACTTAGTTAGTACCTAAATACATATAGCCGCGAAGGTAAAGGGTCCTAGAAGGTGTGCCAGAAGGTGTGCCAGAAGGCATGCCAGAAGGCGTGCCAGAAGGCATGCCAGAAGGTGTGCCAGAAGGCGTGCCAGAAGGTGTGCCGAAGGGGCTTGTACCTAAAGTACTGAAAATTGGAGAAGGAAGTTGTGCTGTGGGGTCTCTTGGCGCTAACTTAGAAAGTACTTGTAAATGTAAGGGAGTTGCTAAGAAAAATAGGTACTAGGTAGGTCCAAGGAAATCACTGGGTAGGTGGCCGTGGAAGCTGGGTAGGTGGACGCTGGCTCATAGGGGCTAGCTTAAGATTATTATTACTTTCTGTGAAACACCTCTACTGTCTGCTGTATCATTTCCTGCCAGTCAAAGTCCCAGATCTTGTGCGATCGTTCTGACATCTCCCTCTGGAAATTTTCTGGACCAATTTCCGGACTGCGTCGCTGGTACATATCGGCCACAGCCCGGCTGCTCCTCACCTGCCACTGTGAGCGTTCACGTCGCACCACATCGTAGGCTTTGATCGCGGCAGTGATAGCTGCGTGCCTGGCCGTCGGCGACACGCCGACAACACCGCGCAGCGAGCGTGCCGCTTCTTCCAGCGCTGTGGCCAGGCTGAGTGCGTCCTCGATCCCCATGGAGGCACCCGCGCCGTGATGGGGCGGTCCGCCGTGCGCAGCATCCCCAGCAAGAGCCACGCGGCCGAACGCATACGTGGGCAGTGGATGGTCATAGGAGTCGTAGATGGCCCAGCTGTCGACTTTATCCGGGAGCTGGTCGATGAGTGCACGGACGACTGGGCCCCAGGAGGAGAATTGCTGGAAAATGTCGCCCTTGGCCACCGACACACCACTGCCCACAGGGCCACCCCGGTCGCTTGGGTCGTGGACAAACGCCACAACATTCACGACCTTGTGGTTCGCTACCGGGTATGTGTTTATATGTGCCCCGGGGCCCATATACATGAGCTGGTAGCGGACGGTGTCTCCGACGGCAGCAATCGCTGTGTCCATGTCCAGAAGAGCTCTGTATGAGACTTGGTGGCTGTAGGAAGGATAGGCTTCTGGGACATCGCCCACCACAAGCCTCCTCACTCTGGATTTGATGCCGTCGCAACCAATTACTATGAGTCGTCTTTCCATCAGCTTTTGGGATGTACTCCGGAAACATCGAGGGAAGTAACTCACCGACATCAGCCTCTTCAGTAGTGCCGTCATGGAATCGGAGAAGAAGCTTCTCGTGAGCTCCCCGATCCTCTATGGTGTCTAGCTCTTTGTTCAATTTGAGCATCTCGGGTGGCGCAAGGGCAACAAGCCCATCAAGTAGCTGGGCGCGGTGGCAGCCGGGAAAGGAGTCGAGGCCACCAGCGACAACTTCATAGTCGTAGGGCTTGGTGCGCCGTCTTATGTCTTCCTGGGTGTAGCCGTCGGCCCATCTCAAGCTGCCCGTTGTCGAGGCAGCGATGGTCTTGAAGCTCTCGGCAATGCGAGGATCAAGTGCACGCATGCACTCGATGGCCACCTTGGGGAAGCCGAGGCCTGCGCCGATCTCTTTGAACTGGGCAGTTCTTTCAAAGACGGTGGCTGGGATATTGCGATGCAAGAGACCCAGGGCGATATGTAGGCCAACGATGCCTCCGCCGACGACAGCAACGTTGAAGGGCTCAGGTCTGTTATCCATAGTCTCTTGAGGGATTCAGTCCAAAAAGAGACACAATTGAAGCTTGAACAGAGCAGAACAGAAAGACTGGCCATTGTCCAGACTCCTTTATACTCCGCTGTAAGCACATCGAATCCTACACTACATGGCTTCACTCAACAAGCGCGGAATTAGTTTGCAGCCTGAAGGTGACTGGCCAACCCTCCTTCTGGGTTTGCAGTTCGCTACTGTAGGCAGCGACCTGGGCCGTATTGGCCCCGGCGGATTTACTTCTTTTGTATCCCCTGTAGTCCGCATGTCTGGTGATAGCTCCACTTGAAGTACGTACCTACATGCTTGTATTGGAATCCCTGCATTAAAATTTGTGGGTTGTCAGGTTGTGGGCACTGGTCAGCTCCAAGAGGCTGGTAAGCCCCGGTCCTTGTCTTGACAACACTGACCAAGTGCGTTTGAATCACCAATTTACGCGAGTACTGTGTACATGGGTTGCCTTTGCTTATAGGAACCACACCTCTACAGGCGTCCCAAATGTTGCATCTTGTACAATCTTTTCCATTGGCAGATTCGGACCCACCAAGTCACATTTTGCCCAATTTGCTAACAAAAGCGACCTTGGGAAGAAAAGTCTCCATTTAACGTACGGGATGCATGCAGAGGTTTATATAGTGTGACTACAGTGTGTACATAAGGAGTGTATCTATCATTATTTACAGCGTCTTCTCCTCTTGGACTCGCTCTCCACAACTCTATGTTGGTCCGAAGCAGTGGAGCTCGGGAGAGTTCGGTCCCGTAATATTCCTCTTACTGCACGCGAGCAACAACAAGCCCTACTAGATTACTTTTATCTCTATTTGCATTATTGAAAGGTGATCTAGCTCTCAACTCAAACTAGACCGGGAGGTCAGAATCTCAGCGAAATGTCCAATTTTGATCGCTACACAGACGTTCTCGGTCAACTCCCCTTCCTGCAGAGCTACACCCATCTCCTCCTCATCTTCCCCATCGCCGACGCTGCCGCGGGGGAGCAAATACTCGCTGAGCTGAAAAGAGCAGTCGAGCAGTTGGGCTTGGTTTTCCCATGGCTTAATGGCCGCGTCATCAATGATGGCCGCACCCACACAAATTCAGGCGTATTTCGAATCGTCCCATCCGAGTTCTCTTCTCTGTCAATTGTTCAGGTGAAGCATTATCAAAAAGAACAACACCCATCTTTTGACGACATCATGGCAGCCAAAGGACCGTTCGAAAAATTGGATGGAGCACTCCTTACACCAATGTGCGCTTTTCCCGAGATCATGAGCGACCCAGACGGACCTGTTATTTCCTTCCAGGCCAACTTTATCTCGGGAGGTCTGCTGCTGGATTTCGCAGCACAGCACAACATAATGGACATGACGGGCATGACACAATGTCTGCGCCTCCTTGCTGCATCCATGAGAGGTGAAGACGTCCCGTCGGCTGCTGTCGAGCAAGGGAATCAGGACAGACGGTGTTTGATTCCGCTTTTCGAGCCTGAACGTCCTCTCCTTGATCACAGCCATTTGCAATCTCCAACAGCCTACAAGAAAAAGTCTGCTCGATCAGTTCCATACACTTGGAGAACCTTTCGATTCAGCCCAGACACACTCCTGGCACTCAAAATGCAGGCAACCCAGGATATTGTCCGAGCACGCGGAGAGGCTCCGGCCATCGGAGAGGTCACAAATGTGGAAGAGACCTCTGTGAAATTCATTTCTACCAATGATGCTTTATGTGCCTTTATGTGGCAGCGAATTTCGTCCGCTCGGCTCCACGTGGGTGTATCTCCAGACAAGCCAACCAAATACATGCGTGCCATCGACGGCCGCCGAGCACTGGGTATTTCACACGAGTATATGGGCCACATGATCCACATCAACATGACGCAGCTCCCTTTGGGGTCTGTCGCCGGCCGGCCGCTAGGACTCGTCGCTGCCGACCTGCGCCAAAGCCTGATCAAGGGTGCTTCGGCAGACGTGGTGCGCAGCTTTGCCACACTCATAGCCCGCACTGAGGATCGATCTGGTGTTTCGTTCGGCGCGACGTTTGATCCGGATCTTGATATCGGGTGCTCGTCCTGGGCGCATTCGGACATTTACGGACACGCCTTTGGATCGCTGGGTCGGCCGGCGCTGGTGAGGCGGCCGCGCTTTCGAACTCTTCGCAGCTCCACGTATTATCTGCCTGCGTGCACGGATGGGACTATTGACGTTCTGGCGTGTCTGGCGGATGATATCTTTGCGGTCATGGAAGAGGATCCCGCTCTCGGTATGGTTGAAGTGATATAGCCTGGATGACAGAACAAAGACGATGAAAGGGAGGGAAGCGCGAGTCCCGCGGAACTCCACAGCATGCGCATCGTATCCGCCCTGAATGGCTGGCAGAGAACGTAGAGGACCCAGACCGAGATACTGGTCCGCGACGAGATAGCTTCTGCGATTCTGCGATTGAAGTGGACATTCTTGCATGGCCCTTTCAATTTTACGGTCTCGCTTCAAGTTCTAGTGGGCTTAAGACTCTGGCGTGGACGGGTATTTGTATCAATAGATATGCCTCGGTCTTACTGAATAAAATGTAACAAGTCATTTCGTACAGAGGAGTCAGTACTGAACCCTGGTGAACATACATGGCACATGGTTACAGCGAATTCAAGTATCTTGGACGCGTTCGGAAATGACCTCGGGAGGAAAGACAGACAACTTTTAGACCTGCTTGATTTGAAAATAGTCATTCAAAGTCTGTTTCACACAACACTAAAGCGAATGGGTGGAATGATCGCATATACAGAGGAAGATTGAAATAATGCGCTGCTGAACAGCAGATGCAACAAAGTGACAATTCCACTAATTTGAAGCTACCTAGGCACTAGCGTACAGGCAGACTGCCAAGTGCAAATTCTCGGACCTGGCGAGGTCCTGCTCGAGTGTCACAATGTCCCTAAATGAGAGGCACGGGATTGGTGAAATTGAACAAGCCCTCGGGATCCCATTTCTTTTTCAATGTCTTAAGCTGCGAGAGTTTCCGCGAAGAGTACCATGCCTCGGCTCCTTCGTCGCCGTGCGCATAGTTGACATACACAGAAAGCTGCGTGTTTCCACTCGTGGCGTTGAGCTCGTCGCGTGCATTCTCCAAGAAGGAAGTCATGGTCGAGTCAAGGGTCGAGTCAGCTATGACGGCGTACATGAATCTATGCACAATAATGGGTCAGGAATGCATTAGAGTGGGAAAAGGCGCAAGGTACGCACACGTGAGCTTGTAAGTTGCGGTAGGGGTACGCTGTCTGATCGTCCGATGTAAGAAGGGAGCCGGCGTTAGAAAATCTCTGCACCGTCCATGCAGGGTTCGCGCCGAGGTTCTGCGTGTACAGGTCACCCAGCTGGTTGAAGATTGTGCCGAAGGTATCAGCATTGACGATGCGTAGACTTTGGCCGTAGAATTCGAGTCGGAGGTTTTTCACGCAAGTCGCTGATTCGGTACCGAAGCCGGTGACGCTGGGGAGCACATTCCAGGGAACGACTGAAATATTGCTCCTGATGTTGGGGATGGCGAGGAAGGGGGCGATGGCGGCTAGACCCTCATCTTTTGGACCATAGAACACCGTGCTGATGGTGATGGATGGCTGACGATAAGGGAGCGGGTTATTAGTCTGCTATCCTGACCAGATCGAAGTACAAACAACATATCTGAGACAGACACCAACTCACGGCTCTAATAGTCGAGTTGATTGACACACTCTGGACAATGGCAAGATTGGCTGGCATGTCATCATTATAGGATGCAAGAGCCTCGAAGACACTCTTGTTCTGGGCGGCAGCAAATTCGAAGTCCGCGTTGAATACTTGCCCGTCGTTGGTCAGGTCGTACACTTTGTAGGTGGCCGATGTGACGATACCGAAGCTGGACCCGGCGCCACGGATGGCCCAGAACAAGTCCGAGTTCTCCGTTGCGGAGACGGTGATCAGGTCACCGGATGCCGTGACGAGATTTACGGACAACAAAGAGTCGAGTAGCATGCCGTGGATGCCCTCCATGCGGGTGACACCACCCCCAAGGGTCGCGCCCACCACTCCGACACATGGCCCTGATGCTGTGGCTGTCCGTTTATTAGCAAATAGACACAAGAAAGACTGCGATTATTCGAGTCGAGGTTAAGAACTCACGGATCTCCTTCCCAGCGGCGTAGAGAGGCTCATACAGCTGCTGAAAGGTGGTCGACCCGCCAATTGTAACCTGGCTGTTGGCGACATCCACCTCCACACTTTTGAAGTTGCTCAGGTCCAACTCGATACCATTGTAAAGCGTTCCGGAAGTCACAGATGCGCCGTGGCCGCCTCCCGTGGCCATGAAGGGGATATCATTGGCGCTCGCAACTTGGACCTACAGAGTACATGAAACGTTAGCCATCGATGTGAAAAATCTGTATACAGCATGGTGTCTTACTATGGTGGCAACATCTTGTTCTGTGGCGGGGATTATGGCACCGAGGTAGGTGGGTGGAGCGAATACGGTCCATCGTTGCTCGACCAAGGTTTCCCACTGCTGATCGTCCCGCATGATGATGCGGGCGTTCGGGGACAGCTGCGCCGAGAACAGCAGCGTCAGATTGACGGCACGAGAAGCCATGGGAAGCATTGTAGCGTGCTTGAAGCGGTGATGAGTGAACGTTGTGGTGATCCTGTGTAGGAAACCTCCTTTTGGTCCTGGTCCTCGCCATCATGGCCATTTTGCACGTCTTCTACGCTGGCAATATATGTCGCGATGCACTGTTGCCTCTGAGTGCTCCGTACCTCCTTAGGGATTCCCTGGGGCAACTTGGCACTAGAGGTTCTCACGATCCTTCCGAATCCCTAAGCGTGGCAGGCTCCGCACAGTCCAGATGTCCGCAACAGATCATTACATAGGTACTTGGGCAAGACCGAGGTACAACTTTGGAATGTACAGTGCCTAGATAGTCCAATATACTGCTTTGGAATTCTCAGACCCCTGGCACTGTACCTGGAGATACGCATCAGCAATGTCTGCGTGCTAGCAAGGGTCGGGGGCGAGCCGCATGCATGATGCTGCAGGGCGGTGAGGGACACTCCTCCGGGTCCATGTGTTACGAGATCATTGCAATCGTCAAATTTTGAGCCCCATGTTGACGTCGAGATAACGGTCCCGCCCGGACTACGGAGGTAGCTTAACACCGCGAGATGGCGCAGTTTGCGGAGATATTCACTTCCACATCGGGCACCTGAACCACCATGCACACGTAAGAGCGAACTCGTCGTAAAACCAGTCACCCTTTCATGTACTCAAGCGACCTGTAATACAGGCTGTCTGATCAGTTTCAATCTCCATCATCTTCCCGTCAAGCCAAAGTAGTCAGGCCGCGCTCGGCGAAATCATGGACACAAAGCAAGAAAAGCCACGAACAAGTCTACATTGGTCTCGGGTGATCTGGGAGAAGTCGAAGCCGCGACAAGAACTTGTTGACTATCAGTTTGATGGCTCTGGGACCGTTGACGACCCGTTTCTTGTCACCTGGCTCGGAAACGATGCTCAGAACCCTCTGCAGTTCCCAAACTGGGTGAAATGGTGCATTACGCAAATCCTTGCCTTGTCTTTCTTCTGCGCCTCCTTCCTGTCAAGCGCATACAGCTCAGCTGTCAGCGAAGTTCGCGCCGAGTTTGGAGGTAGTAGTTCGGTCAACAGCCTGGGCGTTGGACTCTTTGTGGCAGGATTTGCTGCGGGACCGTTCATATGGGCTCCCATGTCAGGTAAGTGAGTTCAGAGCTCAAAAGATGTATAAGTAGAAAAGCTGGAAGCAAGTGCAGAACAAAGCTGATCATTGATAGAGCTATTCGGTCGACGATACGTTTTCATTTTCACCATGATGCTCGCCACAGTGTCCAACATCGGCGTGGTAGTGGCTCAAGACCTGGCCACCATCCTCGCCATGCGTTTCTTCGCTGGAACCTTTGGTGCATCCCCTATAACGAACGCCGGGGGCGGCATCGCCGACATGTTCGCGCCTGAGCAACGCGGCCTGGCCATGACTATCTTCTCATCCGTGCCCTTCCTCGGGCCAGTTCTCGGACCCATTGTCGGTGGGTTTGTCACTGCCGGCGCTGGATGGCGCTGGTTGATGGGACTGTTGGCCATTATGACGGGAATCAGCTTTATCCTTGGGGCCGCCTTTGTTCCCGTGAGTGATTCGCTCCATCTGCGCCGTGGGCCCTTACACTAACTGGCTTACCAATGTTAGGAGACGTATGCCCCAGTCATTCTAAGAAGGAGAGCCGAGAGTCTCTCCAAGCTTACTGGGAAGGTGTACAGAACCAAAGACGACGCGTACGGGGCCAGAGAAAGCCCCTCCTCCTTGTTCTTCCGTGCGCTGAGCATGCCCTGGAAGCTGCTCAGCGAGCCCATCGTTTTTCTATTGTCCGTGTATCTCGCTATCGTATTTGCGACGCTGTACCTACTCTTCGCGGCGTACCCAATCGTTTACCGCGAGGCTCGCGGATGGGGCATCGGCGTCTCTGGCCTCCCGTTCCTCGGAATCATGGTTGGGATCATCGCCGCCCTCTTGTATTCGGCCGTCATCGATAATGCACGATATCAGAAAGTTCTCAGACGCAACGCCCCCGGGCAGACACCGCCTGAGGCGCGCTTGCTGCCCTGCATGGTCGGCTCTCTCTTCATCCCCGCGGGCATGTTCTGGTTTGCGTGGACGAATTCGCCGTCCATCCATTGGATGTTGAGCATCTCGGCCGGCGCATTCTTCGGTTTCGGGCTGGTCATGGTCTTCTTTGGCGTGACGACCTATCTCGTGGATTCATACACTGTATATGCCGCATCCGTGCTGGCTGGCTCTGCGGTTCTCCGGGCAGTGTTGGCAGCGGTCTTTCCTCTGTTCACGGGCATTATGTACGATAGGTTGGGACTACACTGGGCGTCTTCAATTCCCGGGTTCCTTGCACTGGCATGGGTGCCCTTTCCTTTTGTTCTTTACAGATATGGGCACTTGATCAGGACACGGTCTCGGTTTACGGCCAAGGCCGAAGCTGGGATGAAAGCCACGCGGCCTATTGCCGTAGACGAGGTACAATCTGCCGCAGAGAGCTGAAGCAGTGTCAATATTGGAGGTCCAGATTACATTCAGTATCGACTACTGTCACCATCCGGGCGGCGACCTGTTGTCATAAGTGGTATCTGCAAAATTGAATAGACAATTTACTCTGGTACCACTCCAAGGCCCGTGAACCAGAATAAGGGGGCCAGTGAACTTAGGGCTTTGATGGTAATTACGCCGCCTTGGCTCTGTATCTCTCTTCTCGGTGCGTAATACATGAGCCTCCTCTATTTCAAGGTTGATATCCGAAATTATGCGGCAGGGACCTTGGTGCATGGGGCCTCATCCGTCCCGGGGACCTATCTTCAACTTCGGTCTCGTCTCCGGGAATAAAACATCATGACACTACTCCACTAGACTTTCGATTACAAGCTCGTGTTGCTCGGATAACCAGGCAATCGCTAAGCCCAGGGTTTAGTTGGGGCACTCCACCTTGCACCTGCAAACTTGACAGGACTGGCAGGATGGTGTGGCAGCCTAGCCTGCCTGCCTGTGTGCCCGCCTGCCTAGCCGCCCACTAGGTAGCTTTCGGGCCGTCTAGGGACGATCTGGGACCCCTAATGGACCTGTAAGCTCATTCTACCTTAGCATGCAGACAAATCTGTGGGCCTGCCAGCCTGTCAGCCCTATTGGGACTTGGCTCCCAAAAAGATCTGGGAACGTTCCACTTGCACAGTGCCTCTCCTTCGTCCGCTGCTGGATCCACAACCGGTGCCCTGAACATGTCACTGGGACTGGAGTGCACATCATGCACACACGGAGGTGAAAGCGACATCTGGACACGGAGGCCGGCAGGCAGGCAGGGTGCGGCAGCGGCAAGCGGAAAGTCGTTGTCGGCTTGGGTGTGGTACATATTAAGTACTACGGAGTATTGGAATCCCTGCTAGTAGTTTAGCGCCGAGAGGTCAGACAAGCTTTTGCCAAGAGGTGAGACAAGCTTGTACCAAGAGGTCAGACAAGCTTTTACCAAGATGTCAGCAACCCGGTGGGATCACTCAGTGGCGTCCTTTAAGCGAGCAGTTGTGGCCCCTGCACTGAGGAAGAGGCCACCAGACAGTGCACACAAAGGCGTGGGCTGACCCGCGCCGGAAAGATCCACTACTAGCTTGATTAAGTAGTTCGTACCGACTTCAACGTTGTTACTGTGAGGAGCCCACCAGGCAGGTACTTACTGTACTCCACACATACTCATCTGCAGTCGACGGCGCAAAGCAACTACATGTCATTGAAACATCACCTACGTAATTGTCTGATAGTGATGTGATAAGAAGCAGGGTTCGAAGTGACGCAACATCAGATCCACCAGGGCGAGATCGGAGCAGAGAGCCTTGAGGCTCCATCTAGGCTTGCATCAAAAGTAATCCGTCAGACCTAATGCACTGCGCTTCCCAAGGTGCCAGCAGGCCCCTCGCCGTGTTAAGGCTCAATAGTGGCACACTGGCATCGGCTGGGACCCGGGCCATTCCAAGTGACCTCGGGAATCAACCTCTCTTTGAAGCCCCTGCAGGCGCCGAACAATTGTGTGTGAAACGAGCTTGACAGCGTCAATTTGATTGACTCGGAGCTAATAAAGATGTGTCACTGCATAACTGTTGGCATCGGATCCGGCTGCGGGTTAAGATAATGACGGGCACTACTCTTCTTTCACCTAAGATTCGACCTAAAAAAAAATGTGGATCTGAATAAACCTACCCTAGGGTAGGAATTGAGAATTGGGCAGCGAGTTGGGGACACCGTATTATTTTCTGATCTTGGCCCAGGAAAAGCGAGAAGCAGTGAGCATGGGGGCTGCAGTGGCTCAGTACACACATCAATTGCCCAACTCTAGTCCAGAGAGTAAATTTTCCACAATACCCGATGCCAGCCCACTGACCACGGCTTGGTCGTAGTAGGCTTCATTGTAAACCATGTTGAGATTCAGCTCACCCTTGAACAACCATAGAAAGCAGTAGATGTGTCGTGTCACAGTCTCAACGCCAAGTGAAATGCCTTCGATGAGCAGGCCAGTGTGCCCCTGTGTGTGAGTAGCCTGAGCGTTGCACGGGTGGAATGATCTGACCACGGCGTCAACATCGCCAATGCTTGAGATATCAAGACCGCCAAGCAGCTTGCCTGGAACCGCAGGAGCCATTGCATGTGGCTGACGAGGAGACCGAGCGTCATCCTGAGCATGGGCAGGTCGCATGCGACCCAGCATCTGGGTGGCATATTCTCGGCGGGAAAGGAGGAAGTCCTGAGTGAGGCGGCCACCATACTGCTGTTGGAAGAAGACCACATGCTCTGCCCATGATGCAGATGCCGACACACCGACGAGCCATCCGGCTGTATACAAGCCCGCCGCTTGAACTGGGAGGTCTGCAAGACTTGCTGACACTGCCGGCCGCAGACTGGCTCTGATTGTACTGACGAATAGCCCTTCGTCTCCATCGCAACGGTTTTGGGCGGCAGTGCAAGCAATGGCTGCATGGACAGCCGCCGTGACACACACGCCAGCCCTTGCACATGCCTGCACAATGGTATCCGTCACGGTGCGAGACAGTCGACGGCCAACACAACGAGTCCCGCCCGGCGGCGTGGACGGATCGCCGCGAAAGTGGAGACACATCGCGTCTTTCGCCAAGAGGGTGGTTTCCAGGCATCTGCGGGCCTCGTTGGCAAGTGGGGCCGGAGGAGGCGAAGGTGGGTTCAGCAGAGCCACCTCCACGCTCGGGGGAAGACGACTTGTCTCATGGCCCCACTGGACTGCGCGCTGCTTAGCCTCGGGCGCCATCTCGGCAGCAATCAGTGACACGAGGTCGTTCAGAATTTGAACGGCACCGTGACCATCTGTTCGCCAGTGCGCCATCCGCAGTACGACATGACCTGTCTGCTTGAGATAATGCAGTGTCGCAGAACCAATCGAATCAACCGCGATGCCCGTAGGATCAAGCTGCTGCAGGAGAGTGTCCAGCTGCCCCTCTTCCTTCACATCGGATTCTGCTGGCAAAGCGCTGACGACGCAAAAAAAGGATTCATCGGCCCACTGCTGCATTGAGTGTTCGTCAGGCACGACGTATTGGAGGGTGTCGCCATTCAGGAAGACGCTCGCGATGCCCGGGTGCATGATCCTACATGACATCCAAGCCCGACGAACCGCCGCCTCGCTTGCCGAGGAAGACGCGAGGCCGACCATGGCGAGTTTGGCAGTCACCGTGATAGCCCAGTGCTGACGCCCATAGGGTTTACCAAAGTCTCCAATGGTCTTGATCATGATCTCGTTCTCGCCTGCAGGTCTTCTGAACACTCCTGGCTGCAGCTCTTTCCACGACATAGCTTCCGCAGTACAAATAATGAATTAGAGCCGGATCGGTAATTAAAGACTGGGTATGATACGAGGCTTGTTGAATGAAATATATGGAAAAATTGCTTGTTGAGCAGAATTGTAGTTGGCTCTGAATTGCTGAAAAGCTTTCACAATGTGTGCACTTGAATGAGAATGATTTATACCTACTAAGTGATTATCAACAAACGCCACTCGCGCTACCCTTCCCTTTTAGCTCTAGTGTTGTATTCTAGGTTATGAAATAAGGGTGGATTAATATAGGGACTACCCATCTAATTAAGAGTTTCTATCTCTTAAATATTATAAGGTATTAATATTTAAAATATTTTATATATTAAATTAGTTAATTTATAAAATATTTAATTAAATTATATATTTATTTAAAACATTATTAATTATTTAGTTTTTCTTTATTATTTTAATTTTTAATAATTATAATAATTTTTATTAAAACCTTTTAATTAATTATAATATTTTAAATATTTTATAAATTAACAAAATTTAATTAAAGTTAAATATAACTTTATATTTTTCTATAAAATTATAATTTAAACTTTTATATATTTATAAAATTACTTTATTTAAAAGAATTATAATATAAATAAATATATATATTAATTATTTTTAATATAAAGTAAAGAAATTTAGAATTATAATTTTTAATTAATCTTTATTTAATTAATTTATATTATTATTATTTAATTTAACTTTATTTAAACCTCTTTTAAAATCTCTTTAATATTTTTTTATAAAAGTTAAATTTAAATTTCTTATAAATTTCAATTTATTATAAATTAAATTTATAAAGTTAATAAATAAATATTTATTTTAATAAAGTTAGAACTTTTAAAGAAATAATAGTTTTATTTTTATTTATTTTAATTAATTTATATTTACTTAAATTATATAATTAATTTAATAGTTTTATATAATAATATTTATTAATATTAAATTAAATAATTTATAAACTATTTATATTTTTAATTTTACTATTAAGTTAAAAGTAAATAATTAGAGTTTTAAAGGAATAAAATATAATATATCTTTTAAAGATAAACTTAATTAAATTTATTATATATAACTTTTTATAATAACTTTATAATTTACTATATTTATAACGCTATCTATTATTAAAAGATATCTTTTTACGTTAGTATATTAGGCTATACTAGTTTAGGTTAATACTCTTAGCTTATTAAAAGTTAAAACTATTATAGACTATAGATTAGTTTAATACCGATAAGTACTATATATAAATACTAAAATTCACTGTATAACTCAAGCCTTCATATATATAAATATAAGTTAATTAAAATAAGTAAAGATAAAGCTACTATTCCTTTAAAGGTTCTAACTCTACTTTATAAACAAATACCTATCTATTAACTCTATAAATAAAAACACTTAAAAGTAATTACTTAGCCTACCACACTTTCACTAAACTAAGATATAACTAGGTAAGGTAATAATACTATATTATTATATATAATATTTAAATTAATAATAATTCTAATAGCTTTATAAAAAAAGAAATAATTATTAATAATTAAATCTATAATTATATAAAGGTAAACCTTTACTTTAAAGAAAAATTATTAATATTTAAAATAGTTAATATATTTCTAAAAGAATTAAGGAATTATAAATTTAATTTAAAGTGTATTAAAATCTATAAGAATTTTAAATTTAAACTTAAAAATATAAAGTTTTAACTTTTAAAGATAAAAGGTTAAAAAGATTTAAGAAAAATTTAAATTAAATTAAATTAAGTTATAATATAATAAAATAATTAAATAAAATTAATTAAAATTTTATAATTATAAGTTTTAAATTTTATATTTAAAAGAATTAAATAATTTATAATTTATAATAATTTTAATTTTTAATAAATTAATTTATATTAAAATTAATAATATTAATTTAAATTAATTAAATATAATTTAATATATTATAATAAAAGAAGATTTTTAATATAAAATAATATTATAAATAATTATAAAGTTATTATAAAAGTTTTATATAATAAATTTAATTAAATTAATTAAAAAAATATATATAATTTATAATATAAATATTATAATATATAATAATAATTAAACTTAAATATTTTATTTATTTTTATAATTAATTTTAAAAAATATATAAATTAATTTAAATAGTTTATAAATATTAAGGAATTTAACTATTTTAATATATAGATATTTTAAATAGTAGTGCCTTATAGTAATTACTAGATTCTCTTATTATAATAATATCCTTTTCTGTAAATTCTTCTAGAAAGACAGGACAGAACCCTAAGACTGGCTTGGCCAAATCATCTAGCGATAACCTCAAAATTAAACCTCTCCATCGGGGAAACGTCGGCCCCACTGCTCGTGTCCGAAGTGCCTTATTTCAACATCCAGCCTAAGGTTCAAACCTCAACTAGCGTCAACGAAGATCCGAGACTTGTCTCCATCATCTCCAAGATGTTCACCAATATCCGCTTCATACTTGCACTATCATGGTAAGCGTCGTTGTAGTTGACAGAGAGCTTGAAACATCCTCGAAAAGTCATGGCGTACAGCAGTACCTGCCGAGTTAGGAGGCTGACACCGAAGCTAAAGTCGGTCACCTCCACCGAGGGCTCCATTTTTGGACAGAAATAGACTTTTGCAAGATGCTTGTCGATAACTCCGAGGCTGCTGAGAAATATGTTGCTGGGTGGTGTCATCGGCTGGGGAGGTGCCTCCAGTAGCTTCTCTGCATGGTAGTGATACCGGAGCCGCATCGTCTTTGCGAACACATCGCTGTGCCACTCCTTGTACTCTCGAGTGAGGCTGCGGGCCCTGTCCACGAAGGAAGCGTCCCTCTGAACCACTGGCGTGAGGCCATTGACATACGTGGTGCACGCATGAGAGGCTGCGCCGCAGGGCGCAGGAAGATAGTCTCGGAAATTTGCCGAGAGCACGGCGGAGAAGTGCGTTACTGTCGAATCCTCCTTCGCAGAAGGCAAGTCAAAGACCACCCCAGCCAGTGCTGCGTGGACTGCTGCAGTCACTGTGACCCCCATGGACCTGCAGGCGGCGACCAGGGCAAGCGTGCGTGTCTCCGTCAACACGAGACTCTCGCTCGTGCAGTCTGCAGGGCCGGTGGACTCATCGCCCAAATAGGGGAGCCCAATACCGTGAATAGCGTCGGAGTGGTGTTTCGCAATGGCATCTCGGGCGTATTGGGCCATTCCTGGCGTGCAGTTGTCTATGGGCACCGCTCCACAGGCATCCTCCAGGCACGGCGAAAGGTCGTGCGTACCAGGGTGCGCTTCACGTCCCGCCAAGAGCTGGAATAGCCTGTTGAGAAGTATGCAGGTCCCGATGGCGTCGATGCGCCAGTGGCTGCAGATGAAAAGGACTTGAGAGGCCCCAGAACAGTAGTACAGGCGCGGCAAATCGTGTGGACCATGAGCTTCCTTGAGTATGTGGTCAAAAGTTGATGCACTCTCTATAATGAAGAAAGTTTCGGATAGCCAGGTGTCCAAACCGTCCGGTGGGGTTTCTTGGAGCCGTCGATACACTTTGTTCATACCATCCGGTCTGACGGCGAGGTTGGGATATTCGAGTGCCAGTTGCCGCCATGCTTTGCGCATAGCTATCGGAGTGTCGTGAGAGCTAGCTTTAAAGTCAAGGGTGCAACGACAGTATATCTGCCATTGCTCCCTTCCAAGGTGCCCGAACTTCAGCGAAGCTCCGCGGTAGACCTTCTCGATTCCTTCAAATGGCCTTGACCAGATATCGGGCTGCGTCTTTATCCAACCTTCCATCTTGAAATTTTCTGATAGCGTAGCAGTATGTGGGTGATGAACGGAGGGGGGCGGGGGGCAAAGTAGTCACGTCCGTGGACATCACGTCTATCGATGGGAGCCTACGTTTTATGCTGCAAGACACACACACACACCTGACACATTGGGCCACACAGGTTTATACACGTGACTGGATAGGAAGGTGACTTGCCCTTGAGGCAAACTTGATTGGATAGCACAGAGGATTGCTCGTTTATTTAAGCCCGAAGAAAGGCGCCTGTGTGTGGGCCACGGCCGGCTGCTATCGAATCGCTCCATTTGCATTAGGCCAAGGTAACCACCACCTTCTTTGCCGACACACCCTCTCTACAGACTTCAAAGGCCTGCTGCACGCTCTCCAGTCCCTTGCCAACGACTTGTGGCTCGGGGGCACAGATGAACGTCCCAGCGGCCAGGGCCTTGCCCAGGAAGTCCGAGTACACGGCACGGCCGACCTTGTTGTCGCGCAGTGTGCCTCCGAATACATTGTTTGCTTTGACCCCCTCGGGCAGCTCTGCTGCCTGCACAGAGATGTTGGCGATCAACTTGACGCCCGTAACTTGGGACAAGACCTCAGCGACGGGACCAATCGAGCCAGGCGCAATGGCCATTCCGCCCGCCGAGTCCTTACCGACAAATGCGCTAACGATCTGCTTGATGACGTCTCCCTGGTGATAGTCGAACACCTTGGCGGCCCCTAGCTTCTCCAGAAGGGCAAAATTCTTGGGTGAAGCTACGGCGAAAACCTCGTACCCGGAGGCGACAGCCAGCTGGACCGCACAGCATCCAACGCTCGATGCACCGCCCCAGACGAGGAGGGTCTTGCCGGTGCTGGAACGAGGAGGGGAGAGGGGAAGCTCAAGGGCGAGTTGATCTTCTTGATACAAGCCGCACGCAGCGGTTGACAAGGCCAGAGGAAGCACGCACGCCTGTTCGTAGGAAAGGCTGTTGGGAATCGGGGCGGCCATGAAGTCCGACACGATTGTATACAGCTGGAAGGCCCCCTCCGAAGGTTTGTTGTTGGTGATGTTGATGGCATGGGCGACGACGCGGTCACCTGGCTTGAAGGACTCCACGCCGGGCCCTACTTCGGCGACCTCGCCAGCGATGTCGTTTCCAAGAATCTGAGGATATTTTATCCACGGGAACAGATCCGGGCCGGCAGACTGCGTGACAGCGTCAACGATATTCACCGCAACGGCAAAGTTACGGATCAGGATCTCAGCCGCCGCCGGCTTGGTATAAGGGGCATCCTTGACCTCAAGGCTCGGAGCTTTGGGGGCTGTCTGCCACGCTGCCAAGTTCTGTGAGACCATGGCGAGTAGAGATGTGCTCGGGGTTTTGGACAAGTTGTAGAATGATAGAGGCGGCGTTGACAAAAGTGCACAACTAGAAGAGACCGTCAATTTCTCGCAGTGTCCTTTTAAGCCGGAATTATTGATCGAAGATACCGTGAATAATGGAGGAGACACATTCCATTCGCCCCGGACATATTTCCACGCCGGAGATAGGAATCCTTGGTACCGGCATGGATATAACTGAATACCCCATTTGTCCACCACGGAGATAGCATCGATCTTACTATCACTTCACAACTGCGCCATTTTTGACCCGACGAGGTTTCGCAAAACCAACGGCCTACGGCCAAATGCAAGCCATCATCCAGTCGGGATCAGTTCGGCCGGGGAAAACCGCGGCGCCATTGTGGATCACATTTAATACCACTGCATATACAGTGGAACTAGAACGTACCGAGGTACTTATAAAGATGGCGCTCCGCTCCATTGACACACCCTACCCCAGGAAAGAAGCACCGCAATTTGTACATCTTGCTTTCTCACATATCGTTTCGCCAACAGAACATCCCCGTTATTCATTATGCCGCCCCCTAAAGGTACAGCTGGTAATATCCTCGAAGGACCAGGTAAGCAACATGAGAGACCCCACCCTGACATGTCACAAAATGACAGATCAGGGGTTCCAAGATGTATTGCCAGCCCGGTAATACTTTGACACTGCAGCATCTGGATGTGTTTGTCACTACATAAGATTTTGGGGATGGAGGACTTGAGCCTGGACCTTTTGGAATCCCCAGCAAGCTCGGTATCACCAGTATCCATACTGAATGCAATACGACTCTGACTGTGTGGATCTTTAGGCGACTACGACGTCACAAGCACAGTGCACTGTGATCCATACCCAGCCATCGACCCATCCCACTTTGACTTATTGGGCAAGGCCGTACTCATCACCGGGGCCTCTCGCGGACTGGGACGGGCCATGGTGCTTGCCTTCGCCGCCGCCGGGGCTTCCAAAATTGCTGCGGGCGCAAGGGGAGACACAGCCTCGCTTCGAGATGCCGTCAACAATTGTGCTAGTGCCAACGGTCACAGCAAGCCCAACTTCCTGCCACTAACACTCGATGTGTCACACGACGCCAGTGTGGCAGCCGCCGCCGCCGCAATCACGGCCGAGTTCGGCCGTCTTGACATCGTCATCAACAATGCTGGGGTTCTGGGCACCTTTGGCAAGGTTGGCGATACCGACCCGGATCAGTGGTGGCGCGTCTTCCAAGTCAATCTCCTTGGGCCTTATCTCGTGAGTCGGGCCATGATTCCACTGCTGCGTGAGGCCGAGCACTCGTATTTGATCCACGTGTCCAGTGGGGGCGCGCACCTTGTCAACCCTGGATTGAGCGCCTACCAGACCTCCAAGCTGGCTCTTCTGCGCTTTTCCCAGCTTCTTCATCGAGAGTACGCCGAGACTGGGGTGACGTCCTTCGCTGTCCACCCGGGCAATTGTCCCACCGACATCATGGGTCCTGGGGAGCTGGATGAGTTCCACAAATCGAGTACGTCTGATCACAGTCACTATACTACTCCACGTTATGCCCAAGCTCACTCTTTTAGTTTACACGGACGATCCGGCTTTGTGTGCGCAGTCTCTGGTGTACCTCATCTCGGAGCCCAGGCCATGGCTTGGTGGCAGATATGTGAACTGCACGTGGGATTTGCCAGAGTTGATGGCCCAGAAGGACGCAATCGTAAAAGGAGACAAATTGAAAGTCAAGCTGGACTTTTGATAATTTGCCGGCTTAGCCTTCTTTGCATACGGAGTGAGAATTTATATGACCTTGACAGGCACACCAAACTTTTAAAATGGTGGTTCTTCTGTTACCTAGGAGTTTGGATCCATGGATGTTGATAGAAAATGTCAGAGAAGGCTCTCATAATCAGGGCTCTTCTGTTGACAGACTTCGTACGTTCTCCGGCCACTCTGTCATACCTACATTGGCACACACACAGTAATAGAGTTGAAAGATGATTCTTACGAAAGGTATGTTTCTAATCCTTTGTCTGCTGCCTGATCAGACAGCCGTCTTCGGCTTAATCTCTCAGTCGTTTCTGTCCTGCACTGCGTTCCATCACTAATGCGGGCTTGCTAGGTATCGATTCCTTCCCACGATACCCACTGCGCGCTATCGCATGTATAGTCAACCAACGGCATGTGTACTGTGTAGTGAGCCAATGGCTTACAGTTTCTCGAGCTTGAGGTGCCACCCACGAAGCTGGACTTCGTTGCATACCGACAAGGACGTTCGGTATAAAGGAGAGGTCTTGTCTGGCTCTAGCCTGGGTACCGGAAGTCGAATCCTCTTCACAGTCACTGCAACTCGTCTTCAACATGGCGAGCCCTCGTTATTTCCTCTTTGGGCCTCAATTATCCTCCATCGACCATGCCTCGCTCGCTCAGACAAGAGAAGTCCTCACCAAAGAGTCACGTCTTTGGTGGCTTCTCGAGACGATCCATGATCTCCCCGGACAATGGCATACTCTCTGTGCCAGTTTTTCGCTGCTCCACGCGGCGTCCACAGCAAATCGGCTCAAGCAACTGTCTCTCTTCTTCAATACCGGGGCCGTAGATTCCTCCCTTGACCAGCTCCCGAACGCCATTCTTACGCCCATGGTCGTTTTGTCTCAAATGCTGCAGTACGAACAGTATGTCGTTCACTGTCAGCCTCCTGGAGAGGTTGATCCCGTGGCTTCTATGGGTCGAGAGAGTGTGGAAGCAGTAGGCTTTTGCACTGGGCTCTTGAGTGCTTTTGCTGTGGCCAGCGCTAGAAGCCAGGCTGGGCTCCGGCAGTACGGCGCCGCCGCCATCCGCATTGCCATGCTAATCGGTGCTCTCGTTGATGAGCGAGAGATTCCGTTGGGGGACGAGGCGCACCGGGGGCCCTCACAATGTCTCTCTGTCATGTGGAACAGCACTCAGTCAGGACACAAGGTGCAAGACATGCTCAAAGAGTTTCAAAACGTAAGTCAAAACCTCCTCTTCTGCTGGAACGACACAGTGCTGACCGAGTCGCACTCGCTGCGCATAGGATGCATTCCTTTCGGTCAAGTATGATGAAAACAGAGCCACCATCACCGTCACGGAGGAGTGCTGCGCCTTGCTTGAAAGGAATCTGAAAGACGCGAGCGTCTCGACCAAGCGCATCGGGCTAAAAGGCCGATTTCACTGTCCGGCGTATAGAACCGATCTCGACAGCGCCATGTCTTTCTGTGACTCTCATCTCGACTTTCAGCTCCCCTATGCATCACACGCAGTTTTGAAGACCCGTTCAAATCTGGACGGCGAGCTCATTACTGAGAGCAGGCTGCACGATGTCGCTCTCAGGTCCATTTTGACCGAAACCTGCGACTGGCATCTCACCTTCAGCAAGATTTTGGAGACCCACGACAAGTCATCGGCGCCTCTGTCTATTGCTACGTTTGGTCCTGAAAGATTCGTCCCTCCGTCCTTCTCCAGCCGAGTATCACAGACGGTAACCCATATCGCTGACTTGAAGCTGGGATCACCTCCCACCTCCTCCTACTCTTCCGTCAAGCAACCGCAAACAACAGCCCAGGCTCAGGGCAATGGCTACGTTGCTGTAGTGGGAATGGCTTGCAAGGTTGCTGGGGCAGACGATGTCGACGAGCTCTGGGACCTGCTTTGCAGCGCAGAATCACAACATGTTGAAATAACGCCGGACCGCATCGACTTCCAGACAGCGTGGCGGGACGGCAACCCAGGGCGCAAGTGGTTCGGCAATTTCATTCGCGACGCGGACGCCTTCGACCACAAGTTTTTCAAAAAGAGCCCCCGTGAAGCAGCATCCCAGGACCCCCAGCAGAGACTGATGCTCCAGGTGGCCTATCAGGCTGTTGAGCAGTCTGGCTACTTTGGCAAGCCGCTCTCCCAGCGGGAGAAGAATGTTGGCTGCTATCTGGGCGTCGTTTCTACCGATTATGAGAACAACATCGCTTGCCACGCTGCGAACGCCTTCTCCGCCACGGGCAACCTACGAAGCTTTATCGCCGGCAAGGTCAGTCATTATTTTGGCTGGGAGGCAGCTAGTATGACGCTCGATACGGCTTGTTCGGCGTCCGCTGTCTCCATCAACCTCGCTTGCAACGCAATCCTTGCTGGCGATTGCGTAGCCGCTTTGGCCGGTGGCACCAACATCATTACAAATCCCTTGTGGTTTCAGAACCTTGCCGGTGCCTCGTTTCTGAGCCCTACCGGCTCGTGTAAGCCGTTCGACGAGAAGGCTGACGGATATTGCCGAGGCGAGGGGGTTGCGGCGGTCTTTCTTAAGAGCTTACCACAAGCTATCATCGATGGTGACCAGATCCTAGGCTGTATTGCCGCCACAGCCGTTACCCAAAACCAAAATTGCACGCCTATTTTCGTCCCCAACTCAACGTCGTTGTCTTCGCTCTTTGATATTGTTACTCGTCGTGCCGGCCTTAAATCCTCACAGATTACCGTTGTTGAAGCTCATGGTACCGGGACGCCGGTAGGAGACCCGGCTGAGTATGCCTCTGTTCTGGATGTCCTTGGCGGTTCGGCAATCCGCAGCAGCCCGCTGTTCCTGGGTTCCATCAAGGGGCTCATCGGACACACTGAGTCCGTGTCTGGCGTCATATCTCTTATCAAAATAATCCTCATGATAAACCGCGGTCGCATCCCTCCGCAGCCGAGCTTTCAAACCATGAGTCACCACATCAAGGTGTCGTCGTCAGATATGATACAGGTTCCAACAAAGCTCCTTGCCTGGAACGAAGACTTCCGTGCAGCTCTCATTAACAACTACGGTGCTTCGGGTTCCAATGCTGCCATGGTCGTCACTCAGCGTCCAAGCCAGGCTGGCAGTGGCAGTTCTGGCGCGGTGCGGGAGCCCGTGCCTGACGTCCAGCTTTTCTGCTTCCATGGCAACGACGACCGCAGCATTCGTGCACTTTGCGCGCGACTAGCGGCATTCCTCGAGCCCAAGCCTCATGCTGGCTGGACGCGGCCTTCTCTGGCGGACATTGCCTTCGCCTCTTCACGCCAGGCCAACCCGTGTCTGGCTCGCCGTATGGTTCTGGCTTGTAAATCTGTCGATGAGCTCCAGGCTACTGTTTCCAGCCTTGCCAAGACCGACTCTGTTCTTCCGGCGATTGCAAAGCGGCAAGAAAGACCCGTCGTCCTGTGCTTCGGCGGCCAGGTCTCCGACTTTGTGGGCCTGGATCGCAGACTGCACGATTCGGTCACCGCCTTGCGATTCTACCTCGACCAGTGTGATTCAGCGATCACGTCTCTAGGCTTAGACAGCATCTACCCCGATATCTTCCAGCGGGACACCATCGGTGACACGGTCAAGCTCCAAACAATGCTTTTTGCTACGCAGTACTCGTGCGCGAAGGTCTGGATGGATAGCGGAGTCGAAGTGGCGGCTGTTGTAGGACATAGCTTCGGCGAGCTGACCGCTCTTTGTGTGTCTGGTGTTCTTTCTCTGCAAGATGCCGTCAAGCTCGTGGCAGGTCGCTCCAGAATTGTTCGAGATCTCTGGGGCAGTGACCGCGGCGCCATGCTCGCTATCGAAGCCGACTTGCCGGTTGTCGAACGGCTGCTGGCCAAGGTGAACGCTGGATCCGACGAGGCAGATGCCGCAAATATTGCTTGCTACAACGGACCGCGAAGCTTCACCCTGGCAGGATCTACCGCGGCTGTTGACCGGATTGTCAACACCATGTCTGAGGATTGTTCCTTCTCCGGCCTCCGTACCAAGCGCTTGAGTGTCACCAATGCCTTCCACTCCAATCTCGTGCAGCCGTTGTGGAGAGATCTAGAGCTCGTTGGCCAGGGCCTGTCCTTCAACGCCCCCAACATCTTCCTCGAGAGGTCCACCAAAGAGGCATGGCGGGGCCCAATGACCGCCTCGATCGTGCCAGAGCATATGAGCAATCCAGTCTTCTTCGACCACGCTGTGCAGCGCCTAGCTGAAAAATTCCCGTCGTGCGTGTTCCTCGAGGCCGGCACCAGCTCCACCATCACCTCAATGATCAGCAGGGCGCTCGGCTCGCCCGCCAGCTCTCACTTTCAAGCCGTCAACATCAACAGCGACAATGCTTGGCAAAATCTCGTTGACACCACTTCGACGCTGTGGAAGGAAGGCCTGCCGGTCAGGTTCTGGGGTCACCACTCGGCTCAGGCGCAGGACTACCAGCCCGTTTTCCTGCCTCCGTACCAATTCGAAAAATCACGTCACTGGGTTCAACTAAAATCCCCGCCAAAGACTCTCCCTGCCCCGTTAGATCATGTCCAGACTCCAACACCGCCAAAGGGACTATTTTCCTTCCAGGAGTACCGAGACAATAATCAGCGTCTGGCTACATTCATCATCAACACCGATGGGCAGGAATACCAAAACTTAGTGGCGGGCCATACCATTGCTAGAACGGCCCCCATCTGTCCAGCAACCCTAGAAGTCGACATGACGGTCGAGGCCATAAGTAGTTTGAGACCAGGCCTTCTAGAATCGGGCTTCCTCCCTCGAATCCAAAATGTCAGCAACAAGGCGCCAATTTGTGTGGACCCCTCCAAGACCATCCGCCTGCACGTAGAAGCCACAGACAAGGAATACTTTGACTGGGAGTTCAGCATCACCGCTTTCGACAGGAATACATCTGCAAAACCTACTGTGTGCGTGACGGGACGAGTGGTGTGGAAAGCCAGGTCCGACCGCGACTTCCAGGCCCAATTTGCTCGCCTGGAGCGTCTCGTATCTCACGAGCGATGCAAGCGTCTGCTCGAGTCCGACCAGGTGGACGATGGCATCCAGGGTCGTGCGATATACTCCGCGTTCGCCGACGTGGTCGACTACGGGTCGGAATATCGTGGATTAACAAGGCTGGCCGGGCACCAGAAAGAGTCTGCGGGCCGCGTGGTAAAGCGCCATGGTGGCAAGACCTGGCTCGATACCCACCTCTCTGACTGCTTCAGCCAAGTCGGCGGCATCTGGGCCAATTGCATGACGGACACTGACGCATCAGAGATGTACATTGCCAACGGGTTCGAGGAATGGATGCGCTCCCCTTCTTACCCGTCCAAGTTCGACGAGCTGCCGGCGGAATGGAACGTTTTCGCCATTCACCAGTTGGCCGCCGACGAGAAAGGCTACATGACCGATATTTTTGTCTTCAACGCCGCAGAAGGTACCCTGTTGGAAGTCATCCTGGGCATTGATTATCATCGCGTAGCGAAGATTTCCATGAGAAAAATGCTTTCCAGGATGACGCCAGGCAGCCAGGCAACGACCTCAACGACGATGCCACCGGGCCCAGTCGTTCCGAAACAACCAGACCAAAAGAAGCTTTCAGCTACTCGAGCGACAGCTCAAAAGACCATCAAGAACACCACAGCCTCTTCAGATGTTCCGCAAAGGTGCCGGCGGCTGCTTGGTGTCATGTGCGGCTTGGAAACCAGGGACATCAAAGACAGCTCGTCGCCCGCCGACATTGGGATCGACTCCCTCATGGGCATGGAGCTAGCGCGAGAGATTGAATCAGAGTTCAAGTGCTCGTTTCCGGCCGATCTGCTCATGAACATCAACAGCTTTCGGGAGATGGTCGTGGCAATCGAAATTGCTACTGGAATGCCACCCAACGCGACCCAGGAGGACGACTACAGTGACAGCACGGGCAGCTCCGATGCTTCAGCGTCCCAAGCGGAAGAGTTCCCCGGCACACCAATGACGGACAATTCGGAGAGCAGCTGGGACATTAAACTATATCTGGCGGACTTCCTCGGCATCGACGGCGGGGACATCTCTTCGGACCAGCTGCTGCGCGACTTGGGCATCGACTCACTGCTCTCCTCAGAGCTGAGATCGGACATCGCGTCTCGATTTGGCCGGCAAATTGCGGAAGATACCCAGATCGAAGAGCTCACCGTCACTGAACTTGTGTCCAAGGTCGAAGGAAAGCCAGCACCCAAAGTTGCAGCTGTGGAAAGGCCGCAAGCGCTATCACTGCCCCTGGCCACATCCCAACCCCAGAGCCAAGCCACCTATCCAGTTGATCTCCCGGTCCGATCCATGGACCTCCCAAGAGAGGCCGTCCTGGACGCATTTGGGGAGACGAAGCGCCAGACAGACCGGTTCATAGCTGAGCACGGCTGTGAGGGATACCTGAACAAGGTCTACCCAAAGCAAACACGACTCTGCATCGCTTTGACGGTGGAAGCATTCGCGCAGCTGGGATGTGACATTGCTCACGCCGCGCCGAGCCAGCGCCTCGAGCGAGTCCAAAGCTTGCCAAGCCAGAAGAGGCTGGTCGATCACCTGTACCGAATGCTCGAGCACGATGGTCGCCTGATTGACGTGGTGGGAGACAAAATTACGCGAACGTCCGTGACAGCGCCGGCGGAGAGCAGTCAGACCATCCTCCAAGACCTCATCTCTCGGTTCCCCGACCATGTCATCGCCAACAGGCTTACTTATTACGCCGGCACGAAGCTTGCAGACGTGATTACCGGCAAGACGGATGGCGTCAAGGTCATCTTCGGCTCGAGTGAAGGCAGGGACCTCGTCGCGGCCTTGTACGGCGATTCGGCCCTGAACAAGCTTTCGTACAAGATGATGGCCGACTTCCTTCACCGCCTGGTCTCGAGCCTTCCCAACGAGTGCCGAGACGGCACAATCCGGGTTCTCGAGATGGGTGCAGGCACAGGCGGCACAACCAAATGGATGCTACCGCTACTAGCCAGCCTGGATGTGCCCGTCGAGTACACATTCACGGACCTGTCCCCAGGCTTCGTAGCGGCCGCAAGGAGCAAATTTAGGGAATATCCTTTTGTGAAGTACCGCGTTCACGACATCGAGAGGGCCCCGGCGGATGACCTCATCGGCACCCAGCATATCGTTATTGCCAGCAACGCCATCCACGCCACCGTCAGCATGGAGAAGTCGCTAGAGCAAACTCGCAAGTTCTTACGCCCAGATGGATTTACCATGATGCTTGAAATGACCGAGACTCTCTCCTGGGTGGACGTCGTTTTTGGCCTCTTCGAGGGCTGGTGGTTGTTTGAGGATGGAAGGAACCACGCGATCGCCAGCGAGGACCGCTGGGAGACGGCCTGCCACGCCGTCGGCTTTGGCCACGTAGATTGGACCGAGGGCTACCTGGCAGAATCGAACATACAGCGGGTCCTTGTCGCCATGGCGGGTGGCGTGCAGCAGAGCCGGCTGCCCATCAGCCCGAAGCCCCTCGCCCGAAATCTGACAACGGACCTGTCCACACGCGCGGCCGACGTCGAAGCCATGGTCCAAAGGTACTCGGCCGACTTCGCTCTTCCCGTCGCCTTGCCGCCCCGCACCTCCTCGCCCACGGTCGTGCTCGTCACCGGAGCCAGCGGAAGTCTGGGATGCCATCTCGTCGCGCACCTGTCACGGCTGCCATGCGTGTCTGCAGTTGTGTGTCTGAACCGACGAAGCAGTAGCAGTGCTAGCACCATGGCTCCCAAGCAGAGACAGCTCCAGGCACTCACAAGCAAGCGTATCTCCCTGGGCGACACCGAGCTTGCGAAACTTCAAGTAGTCGAGGGGGATACGGCTGAGCCGAGCATGGGACTGCCTGCAGACGAGTATGAACGCCTCATCCGGGCCGTCACGCACATTGTGCACAGCGCTTGGCCCATGAGCGCCACGCGGCCCATCCGAGGCTTTGAAAACCAGTTTAGGGCGCTCCGCAACCTCGTGGACTTTGCAGCCGCGGCCTCGGCGTGTCTGGCCACCGGGCAAAGGATGAGCTTCCTCTTCGTTTCGTCCATTGCTGTCGTCGGCCACTACCCCGTATGGACCGGGGAGCCCCGCGCGCCGGAGGACAGGGCGGACATAAGGTCGGTGATGCCCTCGGGCTACAGCGACGCCAAGTTTGCGTGCGAGAGAATCCTGGACGCGACGCTCCACAGACACTCGCAACGCTTCCGCACAATGACGGCGCGCATTGGCCAGATCGCGGGCTCCACGGCCAGCGGCTACTGGAATCCGATCGAGCATTTCTGCTTTCTTGTTAAGTCGTCCCAAACGCTGTCGGCATTTCCAGATCTGCATGGAGTAGGTGGCCCTTCTCTCTGCGCTGCCCGGTTTGGCCGGACGATTTCAAGGTTGAATGACCGCCCAGGTGACTAACCCGTGCCTCTAGGTCTTGCTGTGGTGTCCCGTGGACGTGGTCGCTGGCACAGTGGCCGACCTCGTCCTTGCCGACAACGCGCCGCATCCCATCTACCACATTGATAATCCCGTGCCCCAGCCGTGGAAGGAGATGATGCCCATTTTGGCGGAAGCTGCCGGCGTGCCGTCCAAGAATCTGATTCCCATGGCGCAATGGCTCTCGCGTGTACGACGCTCTCCCTTGTCGGACACTGATAATCCCGCTGTGAAACTGGCAGACTTCTTCGAGGACCACTTCCCCCGCATGTCATGCGGGGGGCTCATCCTGGACACGGCCAAAGCCTGTGAGCACTCGCCTGCTCTACGCGCCTTGGGCGCTATCAGGCCCGAGCTGGCACAGAATTATGTGAGGTACTGGCAGGAAATTGGCTTTCTGCGCACGACATAAGGTGTTGATGTATGTTCAGGCAGTCAGGTCGGTGTACGAACTAGTGCCAGGCAATTGCATCAATTATTTTTCAGGACGGGCGCCGCTGTAGAATCTAGTTAGTTCACACCAGTTATTGATCCACCAATAATCATCAATTGTCCTCCGTATCCACTCATTCGTATTTTCATCATCCAGGCCCAAACGTACAACGCGAGGTCTTAGTGTTGTCATTGCTGGGCCCCAGCCTTACCTATATTGTAATGAGTTTAATATTATACTTTTAACATAGTTTTATTTTTCCTTTATAAAAAAATATAATTACTATAATAGAATAAAGTTTAAAGTTTTTAATTATTTATTTTAATAATTTAATTTTATAATTATAATTAAAGTTAATATTTACCTACTTAATTCTAATATTAAAATAATTTCTATAACCTTACTTAATACTAACTTTTTATATATAGAGTCTATATAAAACTATATATCTAATTAGAAATCTTTAAATTTTTAATATTTTAAATATAAACCTCTTTTAAAGCTCTTTTAATACACTTTCTAGTACACCTTCTAGCACACCTTCTAATATACCTTCTAATATACCTTTTAAGCCTTTTAGGCTATATATATTTAAGTATTAACTAAGTATTTAGATGCTAACTCAATACTAGAAGGTTAAAAACTAAGAAGGTAAAGGTAAAGATTATACTTTTTTTAATTTTTTAACACTTATTTTAATTCTTTAACACTTTAAACTTCTAGCTTTTTAACGTTTAATTAGTATTTAAATACTTAATAATTAATATTTAAATATATATAGTTTAAAAGGTACTTAAATATATATAGTCTAGAAGGTATGCTAGAAGGTGTATTAAAAAGAGTATTAAAAATTAAAAAAGAAAATTATCTTATAAAGTCTTTTTATACTAACTTAAAAAGTACTTATAAATATAAAGGAGTTAATAAAAAATAGATATTAAATAGGTTTATAAAAATTATTAAGTAGATAAATATTAAAGTTAAGTAAGTAGATATTAACTCTTATAATTATAATTATTTTTATAAATTTATTAAAAAGTATTATAATTAATTAAAATTTTATATTTATATAATTATAAAAACTTATAAGTATTATAATATTAAATTATTATAGTAAGATTAAAAAAGATTATAATATTATATTTTTATATTATAAATCTATATTTATTTATATAACTTACTTAAAACTTTAAACTCTTTTCTTATTATAATTATATTCTTTTATAAATAGTTATTTCTTATTAAAGTATTATAAATTATAAATTATAAGTTATTATTTTTAATTTTACTATTAAATTAAAAATTAATAATTAAAGTTTTAAAAGTATATATTATTATATATCTTCTAAGATTAATTTAATTAAGTTTATTATATAAAACCTTTTATAATAACTTTATAGTTATTTTTAATTTTATTTATTATTAAAATATACTTTTTTATAATATTATTTATTATTAAAATATACCTTTTTATATTAATATATTACATTATATTTAATTAGTTTAAGTTAATATTATTAGTTATTAAAAGTAAAAGTTATTATAAACTACAAGTTATTTACTTTTAATGTTATTAAATACTATACAGAATCATATCAGCCGCGATTTCCTCGGTGGATTGAATCACGGGCATCCTGAGATATCCTTCGACATTGCATTACTTTGGCAGCTACACCAACACTATGGATCAGATTCCCGTCCTAGGAGACGGCTCTGCGAAAACGCCAATTGAGATCCTCCTATTTGGTCCTGGATGGGGTGGCGGGGCCATTTCAGCTTCGAAAGCGACGAGGAATACGTTGTGGCCTGTTCTGGTGTCGGGTTCACCCAGTCAGTTGCGCAGTGGTATACAATGCCCCACCCACTGACACCTGCATCAGATAGGCAACTGGTGAACTGTGAATGGCAGATGCACAGAGATGCTGTCCAAAATGATTCAACCTATGTTTCTTCCGGCTGGCGAAGGATTCCTCTGGATTAGGACATTGCTACCAACGAGAGTCAGCTGGCGAAGGTGTCAACAGCGACAACAACCTCAGATTGAACCAGGGGTGGAAGCCTACCCGGTTCAGATATCCGATCCCTCTTCCGCCGTACACGGAGACGTGCAGATCCGTTGAGCAGCACCCTTTTATTTTCGCGAGAACAACCCGTTCTTTCTTCAGAACGAAGCGCATGAAGCTGATCCGGAGTCAGTCCCCCCACCGCTCGAAAGTGTATCATTTTGGACTATTCTGTTACAACGATGAGTTCGCCGGGTGGCTGCACCTTGGCGACACATCGTACGAGCCTGGCTTCCAAGTAGAGGTCGTGGCAGTGGTGAAAGGATGGACTACGACACTGTCTTTGGATCTTTCAGCTTTGCAGGAGGAATATCAGACGATGGACCTGATGCCCGAGAGGCCTCGCAGAGATTGTATCTCTGTCCTCTGCGTAAAATGGGAGGATGGTGTTGCAAAACGTCTGGGTACCGGGGTGGTGAAAGCAGACATATGGGAACGGAACCAAGAGCCGGTGGATCTGACCTTAGGATAAGCTTTGATTTTGCTTCTCTGTCACCAGCCATCTCTCTTTCATCCCCCAAACGTGCATAACTACGTCTCGGTTGATGCCACTGGTTCCGAGCCCTGATTTTACTTATTGGATAGAACCTAAACTATCTAGCTACTCTCTGTATTTGGCATGGTGTTTTTGGGGGTTTGTTGAGGTCTCCAGCGCTGACTCGTATGGCAACGTCTCGTTACATCGGCTTGGAAGCAAGCACTCATCCACGAATTTCCCTCACACAGTGACGTGCTGACATGTGTCAATGTCAATGGCAGTGGCTGACCTAAAAATATTTCCTATGATTGCAGAATTTATGAATATGTGTGTGCCACTTGATGTTCACCTGGTAGCGCAGCTGATCTGGAGTGTTCTAAGGGATCACTTTAAGTTGTGTCTTCAAGGTGTAGATTGCCGTAAGCACCTCATGCAGCCGCCAAGTCGACAGCTACTTTTTTGTCCTTAAGTAGGTTAAATGCAAGGGAAAGCTGGTCTTTAAAAGCTACGCATACTGTCCTAGAACGTAAATATAAATACAAGGAAGTGACTTCGAAAGTAGGCACTTGGTGGGCTACTGAAAAGAGCTGGGTGAGTGGACGGAAGAAGCTGAGTGATTGGGCGCTGGCTGGATGTGAGACTTCATTGGAGGAATTTGGCCCGTCACCATCCCCCACCTGATGCCGTCGAATTAACCATTCCACCACAGATCTTGCCGCCCTCCCTGCCAAGGTCGTTTCGAAACGGGCGGCCTGGCTCCATCCCTGATGCGATTTCCTAGAGAAGTATAATCGGGCTGGCGGACCCGTACAGAGCAGACAGTTAGATATGTCCGGAAGTTCATCCATGTCCGAGAAACGACACAGTGGATGCGTTATGCAGAAATAAATTAATTGCAAGATTGGCTTGGCCGCAACGGAGCGGAATGTGTTCATAGCGCCGCTGACCAGTTTATCGTAGTCGGCATAAATTTAGTCGTTGATCGTCCCTCTCTGCCGTTCGGACTTGTCCTACAGCTCCAACGACAATCTTCACTTCTTCTGACATAGTCCCGCGGCTTGCCCGCCCATCCCATTCTTTCCAATCATGTATATATCTACCGCAGCCGTCGCCCTGTTGGCGGGCGCCGCCTCGGCCCACTACAACTTCGAGAGCCTCATCGTCAACGGCGCCGTCACCGAGGCATACAAGTACGTCCGCAGGACCAAGAACAGCAACGGACCCATCACGGACGTCAACTCGCCCGACTTCATCTGCAACAATGGCGGCATCGACGCCGACACCATGGCGGCCACCGAGACCTTCACCGTGGCCGCGGGCGACCAGGTCGGCTTCAAGATAAACGAGTATATCGGCCACCCGGGCCCGCTCGCCGTCTACCTCAGCAAGGCGCCCCAGACGGCCAAGGGGTACAAGGGCGACGGCAACTGGTTCAAGGTTTACGAGTCCTCGCTCTCCAACAAGACGGCCGACCCCATGGTGTGGGCTTCTTCTGCTGGCGGTGGTGTTCGCAACTTCACCTTTACTCTACCCAAGGACCTCCCTGCTGGCGAGTACCTGATGCGCGGCGAGCACCTTGCCCTGCACAACGCCGGCACCGTCGGCCAGGCCCAGTTCTGTGGGTACCCAAGTTTGAAATCCCAGAGGATACTCAACCGCTGACCGATGCTCTAGACATGGGCTGTGCACAGCTCAAGGTGACTGGCTCCGGTGCTGGTACCCCCGGGCCGACTGTCAAGTTCCCCGGGGCCTACAACCCGCAGGACCCTGGCATTCTTGTCAACATGTGTAAGTTCCTGCCCATCCTGTGATATTGAGATTGGAGATCCACACCCGTGAAAGCGGAGGTACACTCCTACAAGTATGGCCCATATGTACCTCCTGTGAGTCCTGTGGGATGATCTCCCAAGGATGTCCTACGGGGCGACCTTCTATAGGACAGGATCCTATGGGACAAGCTTCTATATGATAGCCTCATACGGTATAACTTCCTACAGGATGGCCTGGGATAACAGAGTCGGCACCAATCTAGAAGGGTGACCTGAGTTGCACAGTATGGGTGTGACCTCTGTTTTTGCGGGTGTGGATCGGGACTGATCTCATCATGTTCACCATCTGCATACCCTTCACCCCACGAGGTCGTCACGCAGTTGATGTGTCTAAGTTTCATTATCTGCATATCGGAACATTGGGCAAGCCGTCCGAAACAGTTGCTGATCAGTATCCCCCCCCAAAAAACAGACTGGCCTCCTTTGCGACAATACACCCCTCCCGGCCCAAAGACCTGGCCTGTAGCCTGCGACGACAGCACCGTCAACGTGCTCGGAAAACAGAGCGATGGGGACTGCACCCCGCTAGAGGCGTCCGCTCAGGGCGACCCTGTTACAACATGAGCGCCGTCGCCACTTCCGCCAGTATTCCTGCCACCCCATGGCCCAAGCCGTCGCTGGTGAGTGTAGCGAGAAGCGCGCTATGCGCCGCAAGAACCGCGTGAAGGGGGGAGTGCGCAAATATACTGATGTCCACCGTTTCGACCTCCGAGGAGAAGGTTCTTTGGGTCTGGTTCCCCGCCAGTTCATGTGCCCTACTTCAGTGAGAGGTAGACTTGGCTGAAATGACATTTCAATTCTCTCCTTCAATCCGAACCGATAGATTCAGAGGCCGACTCCTCAAGAGAGTCTGGTGCTGGGTGGATGACCATGTCGTAGCCCTCCTCGTCGCCGACTTCCTCGCCGTGGACCTCGTAGAGGACTCCGGCTGAGAGATTCCGAAACTGCTTCTAGAGAAAAGGGCGCGTCAGCTACGGGAACCTGGCCCAGTCCGATCTTGATGCTGGTAACATACCACTGGCACTGTCTCGGTATCGTTCAGAGTGAACTCAGTATCGTTCGTAGTGATCTGGACATCGTCCGGAAGAACTGCTAGCATTCTGGCCAGGAGGTCAACGCTCGACTCGTACGTTGAACTCTTGCAGTAGACCCGCTCGTCCTTGGCCAGGAACACGACCCCAGTGGTGATGTCGATTCCACAGATCTTGCGCAGGAGATCCTTTGTGTCGCACTTTATGTCCTTCCAGTAAGATTTGAAGCGATGGTTATTACCATTCTCGGCTACGGCAATTGTGTTGTCCTTGAAGGTGAGGCTCCACCCCCCGATGACGTCGACGCTGAACTTTGGGAAATCTGAGTGAGAATTCATTGTTGGTGAAATGTCACAGGTAGCAAGGCGCTTGAAGATGCCGAGCATCGCGGTGGACGTCAGCTGCGGGTTGTTCTTGACGAAGTCGCCATCGAGCGGGGCAAGCAACATCCCCCGAACGTGCTTGACGTTGGCCTTGGCCACCTCAGGCAGAGAGAGACATAGGTGGTGCGAGTAGTAATCGGGGCCGTAGCGGCTGTCCTTCGCCCACTGGCAAATCTTCTCAATTGGGCTAGCGGTGCTGTAAGGCTGCACGAGGTTGAGCGTCGCCTCTGACCAGTAGGTGGGCAGGGCCTGGTCGTGGATCTCGCGGCAGCTGAGCAGCAAGTTGAAGTGAGCAGAGTGGCGCAAGTGGAGGACATGGTGATTGTCGCCAGAGGGCTTGTCCTCCATGGCAAGCACTGCGTCCACCTTGGCGCCCTGGAATGCCATCTTGTAGATGTCCAGGCGCACCTCGAGAGGAAGCAACTTGAGCTTGTGGAAGGCAGCGGCCTGGGCTGGGGAAGACGCGTTGGTCACGCTCATCTTGGAAAAGTTGGCCATTTTGAGTGCGACAGACGTCAAAGTAAGTTGACTGTCAGTGCCCAGGTGGTTAGAATGGAGGAGGCTCAGCAGATGTGTAGGCTGTTGAGGCCAGGGAATGTTGACTTGCCTTGGTGGTCGCTGTGGGCTTTTCACTTGCGATGACAAGCTTGCGATGAGAAGCTTGCGACGACAAGCGGGAGGATGACTGTATGATGGCTGAAGCAGGTAAGAAGGAAGGGAGATAACCTAGGGTAGAAAGGGAATCAGAGAGGAAGGGAAGTAGAAAGGAGGGGAAATAAAGGGGAAGGGAAGTAGAGAGGAAGAGAAGTAGAGAGGAAGAGAAGTAGAGAGGAAGAGAAGTAGAGAGGAAGGGATGTAGAGGGGAAGGGAAGCAGAGAGGGAGGCCAGCAGAGAGCTCACGTCCTGTACCAGCACCAGAGTGAGCAGATACCTTGGAGTGAACTGACTACAAGAATGTCCTGGCCAAAACGCGGGGCATGTTTCCAGGAGCCAAGGCGGTCAAGGATAGAGGCGCAGAGACGTGTTTGGAGTGAGTTCCTTATCGTGTTAACCAAACGACATCCATGAATGTCACCTCTACAAACGGATCCACCAGCTTCGTCTCATCAGTCAATGTTTCCAGGCCAACACCCAGCAGGCTCTTCTTTCATCTATCTAGGTAGCTAGAGATCAGAGATTCAAACCTAAAGACACAGAGGGACGCCCATATGACCTTGTCCAGTGTGACAAGCTCCCATCAGAGGCCATTGGAGGAGGTAGTTCTGTGGGTAGTCATGTAGGAGGTAGTCAATTTGGAGCTTACCCTATAAGACTTGTAGATGACAAGGAAAGGAGCGCCCTCCTTGTTGATGTGTGTCAATCTCTGGCATCTATGTCTTCATCTGACAACAATGACTTTGCCTTTGGGTCAACGCCCTAGACTTGGGGGGGAGAAAGCATTTGCCATGGACTGAATCCAATGAAGTCCCAGCAGCTTGAGGTGCCTGCCACGTCATGACTATGACATGATCACCAGCACAAGTCAGGCCGGCCAGAGCTCGTGAAAGAGATTTCCTCACTCATGGACAGAGGCTGCAGTAGACATCGACCAACCAGTCTCCACACAAGGGGCTCAAGAAAAATGTCATGAAAGACAAGAGAATTAGTGTAGCAATAATGGGCTGTCTAATCCGCACATAAAACAATTCCACAATTTTTCTCTCATGTGCACCCAGTCCCTCATGACAAGACTTTTCCTGCGCCACCTATCATCAACAACGCCATGGTCGTGGAGAAAAAAGCTCAACAACAAAATTCTGGCACCAAAAAACCCAAGCCCGTCAAGGCTCTCAAACCTGCAGCTTCAGAGAAAATATGTCAAGCTACCGCCCACTCCAAGTGGTTTCGTTTCTAATCCCCATACATTTCAAACCTATGTATCACCTACCGCTCCCAGCCCCGCAAGTTCTTCGCAAAAAGCATCTGCTCCCACGCAAGAAGCCGCGTGTCAAAAGGATCCCGCTTATGAACACCACCACGAACATTCTGAGGGAGCTTCACGGGGGCGATCGCTCCCAAACGGGGCAGCATGGACGGCCGCCGGGACCGCGGCGCCGGAGCCGTCGCACCGGCCGGGCGGTCCTGCCCCGGCGGCGGTGACAGGGGCCCGCCTCCGCGGGCCCGCTAGCCCCGGTCGTCGATCAGCTCCAGCAGCGTCGAGACGGGCTGGGCCAGCACGCGGTTCTCGGTCATGATCTCGTGCAGCCGGGGCAGCACGACGCGGAACAGCCGCTCGTTCCAGCCCCGCGCGCCCTCGGGGACGCCCTGGCGCTCCTGCTCCTCCAGGAGCTGCTCCTGCGCCTCCGTCTTGACCACGTTGCGCGCGATGTTGCGCAGCACGAGCACCGCGCTGAAGGGCGTGCCGGCGGGCTGCAGCGGGCCGTTGGGGTTGCGCTCGTCGCGCGCCGTCATGGTCTCCTCGAACGTCAGGGTGAGGGACTTGGCGGGGACGAAGTGCGCGCGCTTGACCCTCTTGTTGGGGTTGGCGGTTGGGCTTGGCCCGCTGCCGTTGGAGGACGCGCCGTCTGAGGCGACGTTGCTCTGGGCCGGGGTGGCCTGGGGCTCGAAGTTCTGCTGGACGGCCATCAGGTGGGTCTTGACGTGCGACATGAATGTCCCGAGGGGTGCCTTGCCATCGCCGGTGAGCTTGTGACAGCCCGCCCAAAGACAGCGGTAATCCCCTTCCTTATTGAGGTACTTGCCATCCTTGTCGGGCTTCTCATGGACGTGTGCCAGCAGGATGTGCTCGTACATCTTCTCTGCGTTGGCGAAGAAGTTGTTGCACTTCTGGAACTTCTGGCCCGGATTCATCGGCAGGGTCCAGAGACAACGGAAATACTCCCTGCCGTCATCATCGGGGTCTACGGGCCTGGTGCGAGCTCGGATTCCCTTGATTATGAACTTCTGGTTCGTTCCATTGGGCGCCTTGATGATTTGCGCGCCGGCGGTGGTCCACACATGGTTCACGTTCCTAATGAAATCCGCTGGTGAGATCATGGTCTTGCCGATGTTAACCAATCGACTACTAAATGACGATTGGTAGGCGGTCCAAATGGCAATTTGCGTGATGCTGGCATCAGTGTCTTCTTCGAAGAGACACCGAAGCCACATGTAGCAACGCTCAGGTTCCTCCATGGACAGCAGGCGTTCCTGAAGATCTTGCGGTAACGGTGCGACCTCCTCGCTGTACGGTATGCGTACCTCGGGCTTGATTATCTGGTCCTTGACGACACGCTTGGCCCCATGCGAGAGAAGACGGACCAGATGTTTGACCAGGCTTTCAGGCTTGTCTGGCTTTGTCGCTCTGAACCTAAGCAGAGTCTCGATGTTGGACACCACAGCCGTATATTGATACAGGAAGTCAAGACAGGCATCCAACAGCTCGTCATCGTTCAACATGAGCCAGTCGATGATGTTCTCGAGGATATGCAGGGGAACGTCGCCGAGCTTGTTGGCTTCTGCCAGGTTCATTGATATGCGGCCAAGAGCCCGCAGAGATGTCAGGATCTGGCCACGGTCGGTCGACATCAGCTGAGCGAGGAGTGAGCGGTAGAGAGGGTCGTCGGCACCGAGATTAAGCTCAGGGGTGAGCTGTTCCGCAATGTCCAGAGCACAATGCTTTAGTTCCACAGTGTTGTCGCCAGAGGGCAGGTGAAGAATGATGCACAAGAGGTCCCGAAGTATTGGGAAGTCGGCCATCGACTCGCCGTTTTCCCGAAGCATGAGCATATTGCGAATGGCGAGAGAGGCCTCCGTGATCAACACTATCTGGTCGGCGAAATAGGCGGGCTGTAGATGTTCCTGTCCAGAGCGAGGTTTCAGCTGGCCGATACGCTCGATGATATCCGCTGTGCCATTGACACCATCCAACTCCCCGATGTCGTCGCCGTCGGCCTCCGGGTCGTAGGATATCGTGAAGTTGACATCCCAGAAGAGACTGCCGACCTTGAGCGCCATTTCCACTAGGCCTTCTGCCAGCCCCGGAAAGGCATCGAACTTGTAGCGGTCACCTCTCTCATACGATATCTTCAAGAGGTGGTGCAGCGCAAACGACTGTTCCTCTGGTATTCCGGACCGAAGGGCGTACAGGCATCTAGCGTAGATATTCGGGCCGTCGAAGGGAGATTGTTGTACCGGCAGACCTAGACGCACAGCGGCGATCAGCACACAATTTAAGATAGAAGATAAGGTTGGACTTACTGCCTGGCAAGGGGGCCTGGCGATTGGCCATTGAGGGCGCAGGGTCCGGCACACGCCTCGCTTTCATGAACTTTGCCGGCGCATTTGACGGAGTCTCGACGGGGCGCAGGGGCAGTGGCACATTTGCTGGCAGTCGAAACCTCTCGACGGTTGCAGATTGGTACTCGTAGCTCTGGGGAGTGAAACTTGCGGAGGCACCACCACGAACGATGTGCGGCTGGGGAACCTGGCCAAGGGGGGCATGTGCCATCTGGTGTGAGGGCATACGGTTGGTGCCTTGCATCTGGCTGTGGCCATTGCCCTGCGAGCTTGCGTGGCCATGGCCATGGGAAGTATGGGAGCCTTGTGGGGTCGAGGAAGCACCGTGATGCTGCGCCGATGAGTGACGTGATGGGCGTGTCGGGCCAGTCTCTGGCTGGAAGATGACCCTCTGAGGCGGGGCCTGGCGCAGACCTCTGGCAGCACGGCCAGTGCTGGGAGGCTCCTCAGGTCTGCTCTCGCGGGCGGGTGTCCCATCATCACCAGAGGGCGCAGGGGAGTTCTGGGTGGAGGTATCACGGCGGTCCTTGGGTTTGAAGTTGCTGAGTGTCCGGGTCAGGAGGGAACCGCCCTTGGCTGATGTCTCTTCGAGGATCTCGGGAGGTGGGGGGGTCTTGTTGTGGACGGTGCGGATCTCGTAGGCGGCGAGGTTCTTGTAGTATGCTGTCTTGAGACTGAAGGCGGCCGCAGCCTCGTTACTGGCCCGGATCCCAAGCTCTGCGCAGACCCTGCGCCAGGCCAGCTTCTCGTCGGTGATCCTGTCGTAGCCGCCGCTGTTGACGACATGGTTGAATATCTTCAGAAGGTCGAGTTGGTACGGGGTGATCTTGGGCTCCGGGTCGAACCTAGTGCCTCTCTCGGTGTGGAATTCTTTGAGCTTGTTGATAAACTCCTCGTACTCGGGGGTGCGATCGATTGCATGCTCGGGGGGGCGTTGGGACACCATCCTGGCCGACTCTGCCCACAGAGCGCGGGCGAGGGAGCGCGGTTTCGGGTGCTGCTGACTGGCTGGAAAATCAGGACAATTGTCGCGATTGACAGCTCGGATAAGCCCTGGAATATGGTGAGTCTGCTAAGATTACACACCACTTCGGCTTAGCGACGCGCCTGGGTGATGGCAGCCGAGCTGGTCGCAGTGCAGGTGCGGGCGCAGGTACGGGTTGACGATGCACGCTGGATGCAGATGGAGCTGGGCTGGGTCGTCGCAAATCAAAAAGATGCAGGCTGGCAGCAGCAGGCTAGGGGATTTTTGGACCGGCGACGCACGGACCACATCTACGTAGTAACCCAATCGTTGTCAGGGAGTACGAAGTAAGTAAAGGGGGTGCATTTGTTTCTTATTCTCTCTAAGTTTCTATTTAATAAGCTAGAGGCTGAGGATTCCTTAAGAATACTCTATAAGGGTTTGTATATTGTTTTGATACTGTTCCTTCCTAACAACCTACCCCCCTCTAAAAAATATTAATACCCTTATTAATTAAAAATATTTATTTAAATCCTATTCTTACTTTTCTTTATTAATTATAGTATAAAATAAAATATTTATATATTAAAAATTAAAAGTATTTATAATAAAAATATAATATTATTAAAATTTTATTAGTTAAATATTAAAAGCTTTAAAATTATAAATATTAAAAGCCTTAAAGTTATAAATATTAAAAGCTTTAAAGCTATAAATATTAAAAGCTTTAAGGCTATAAATATAGTAAAATTTTATTAATTAAATATTAAAAGCTTTAAAGTTATAAATATAATAATATAAAATATTTAAATATTTTATATTATAAATATTTATTATTTAGAGTTTAAAATACTTTATAGAAAGTATTATTTAAAGTTTAAGTTATTTAGTTTAATTTTTAATTTCTTTATTAATTATTATTAATAATATTTTCCTTATTATATTTAATAGCTTTATTTTTACTTTTATTTTATATAATAGTTTTAATTTATTATTAAAGCTTTATAATAAATTTATATAGATTTTAAGTTTTAATTTATATTTATATTATAAGAATTTAAAAGTATAATTTATAAAAGTATTATATTTTTAAAATTTAGTTTAATTTAATAACTTTATAATTAAAAGAACTTTTAATATAATTATTTTTAAAATTTTTAATATTTTTTATTTATTAAAAGTTTATTTTATAATAAAAGATTTATTTTAATAATATAAAGAAGTAGATTAAAGGCTTTAATTCTTTTTTCATTTTTAACTTTAATTATTATTTATTTAACTTTATTTAAAAGTTTTTATTTATTTTTATATATTTTATATTTTTTTATATTTTTTAATAAAGTATTAATATAGTTTATATTAATAATAAAGCTTTTTATTAATAAGATTTATAATTAATATAAATAATTTTATTCTATTATTTATATTTAATAAAAATATACTTTAATTAAATAATAAAAAATTAATAAAAGTTATAATATAAAGTATAGATAGCTACTTTAAAGAAGAGCCCTTTATAAATAGGTTATTCTTACTATTAAGTACTATTATTTTTAAGGTTTTTAGAGCTTTATTATTAAGGTTAAAACTAATATTAATAAATACCTTTTATTTTATAAACTTCTTTAAAGGGACTTTATTTTTCCTTTTAGTTTTATTTTCTTTTAAATTTAATTTTATATCTTTTTTAAATCTTTTAAATTATTTAAATTTATATTTAAATCTTAAATAATTATATTATAAAATAATATATTAAAAATTATAAATTAAAATAAATAAGGCTTTTACTTTTAAGGTAGAGTTATTTATCTTAAAACTATAAAATATAAAAAATATACCTTCTTTTAAAAACTATATTAATAAGTTTATTATAAATATATAAATATTAATTAATTTACTTTCCTTAATAATAAATAATTAACTTTAAAAATAATTATTTAAATCCTTTTATATAAACTAAATAAAAATAAAGGTATTTACTATTAGGTTAAGTTACTTTTAATAATTTTTTATTTTTTAATATTATTAATAACTTTATAAAAGTCTTTTATAATAATTATAAAGCTAATTTAGTTATTCTATTAAATAATAGTTTTAATATTTTTAAAGTAATTATTAGATTAGTAAGAGCTATTTATACTTATTAAAAGGCTTATTTTTTTAAATAGTTAAATAATTTTTAATTAGTTTTTATTCTTTTTAATATTAATATTTTTAATACTATAGGGTTATTATTTAATAATAAAAGGATTTTCTTTTTTAATATTTTCTAATACTTTATTTAACCTTATATTAGATAATTCTAATACTATTTATCTACTAATAATATTTAAATAAAAGAAAAATTATTTAAAAAAGAAATTTTAAAATCTTAAATAATATAAAAATTATAAAATAATAAATAAAGGCCTACTTTTTTATTTTATTTTTAGAATTTAAATAGTTATTATTATAAAAGGTTATTAATTTTTATATAATTATATAAAAATATATTAAATAATTCCTAAACTTTATTATCTAATTATATTAAGGTTTTTATTTTATAACTTAAATTTAAAATTAATATATTTAATAAAATATTTTATTTTATTTATTAATAGGCTTTATTTATTAAATATTTATTTTTGTAATCTTTTATATAAATTAGACTAATATTAAAATGTTTTATTTAAATAGGTTTATAGAATATAATTTTAAATAATTAATTAAAATTATATTATATTAAAGCTTTTATATTTATAGAAAGTTTAGTTAGTATATTAAATAGTTAATTTATTTAATAACTTTAAAAGGGTTTATATATTAAGGATTATATTTTTATTTAATATTTTATAAAATGCTATAACCTTTATATAAATAGAGAAGTACTTTATTTCTAATATTAAAGAATTATATAAAATATTACTAATTATAGTATTATTTAATAGTTATATTTATTAATATTAAAGTATTATATATTTAAATATAATTTTAAAAGATTTAAAATTAATATAAAATTTAATTTATAATAATATTAAGTATATTATTTAATATAAAGCTTTTAATAACTTTATTTAAAAGTAGTTAATAACTTAAGATTTATTATTATAAAATTTAAATTATATTTATAATAGAGCTTTTAATTATCTATTAGGATTATTTAGACTATAAATAAAGTATTATAATATTAATTTAACTATTTATACTATTTATTTAAACTATTTATCTATTTATAAATAATATACTATTATATATAAGAGCTTTATTCTAAAAGTTTCTATATTATAAACTAAACTTCTAATAAGAATTTTAAAATCTTAATCTATTAAAATAACTTTTAAATAACCTTAATTACTATAAAGTAAATACTATAAAAGTTTAATTATTTATTTCGTTACCTTTTATATTACTTTCTAAAATAAATAATAATTCCTTAAAAATTTATAAATAATTAATAAAATTATATTAAATTTATTTAACTTTATAATAAATAGTTTAAAAATAAAATTTATTATAATTTAATAATATAAATAGAGTAAATTAAATATAGATTATAAATTACTATATATTTTATAATAATAAATATTAAAAATAAAGTATTATAAGTAATATTAAGTAAACTTTTATAATTTTAATTATAATTATTTAATATAATATAAGTAAAGAAATTTACTAAATTAAGTATAATTATAATAATTTTTAAATATATAAGCTTTAAAATATTAATAATATAAGAGTAAAAGATATAAAAATATAATATTCTATTTTCTATAAAAGTCTTTTAAATAAAATTAAAATAGACTTTAAAAATAAAATAGCTTTATTTTTACTTAAAATATTATTTTAATTAATTATATTAAAAATTTTAAATTATTATAGATCTTTATAATACCTATCTTTTAGATATTTTTAAAATTTTAAAGATACTTTAATATATACCTATCTATTTTATAGGTCTTAATTAGATAGGAATAACTATATAATTATATTAGCAGTAAAAGTCTAGTATTTTTCTTTATTATTAGATAAAATTTTTAATTTATTTAAAGTATTAAGGGTAGTTTTATTTAGGAATAATAAATATAATAATATATTTAAAATAATATTTTTATTTAAATTTATATAAAAGTCTACCTTAAAATTACTTATATATTTTAAAATATAAATTAATTTTTATTATTAATAAAAGTAACTATTAAATTTATAATATTTAATTATTTAAAAATTAAAAATTATAAAATAATTTATATATAATATTAAATAATATTTAAAAGTTTAATTTAATATTTATATTTTTAAAACTTAAATATAATTAAAAATCTTTATTTTAATTACTTAATATTAATACTTTATATTTAAAAGTTTAACTAAAATATAAAATTATCTTAATTAAAATTTATAAAAGTATATAATAATATAATTATCTTTTATTAATTTTAAAATATTATTATTTTATTATAATAAATTTAAACTTTAATTTCTAATATAAATATATTAAAATTAATAAATAGCCGCTATTTTATATTAAAATATATAATAAATATAAACTTTAAAAGGTTTAATTTAACTATTTTAAAGAAAGTCTTCTAATTTATTAAGTAGTATAAAAGAATTTAATTTACCTATTACTATTAAGCTATCTTTCCTTATAGTTTCTTAATAAAATTTAAATAAAAAATTTATTTTTAAACTTTTAATAATCTAATTTTTATACTAAAAGTAGAATATTATAATATATATACTTAATAAAGCTAATAAAATATTTAAAGTTCTTTAAAAATTTTAAAACTTAAAAGCTATAATAATATATAATTACTTTAATAATTAATAAACTAAAAAGTCTATATATCTACTAAATACAACACTTATAGGTATAATAAAAAAGACTTTTAAACTTATAATAATATTTTATTCTCTTAACTTTTATAAACTTAACTAATATTATATAAATAATCCTTAAATATACTATTAATTAAAATAATAATATTATCTAAATATACTTTCCTTTTATATTATTAAAGAAATAATTTATCTATTATTAAATATAAATTAGGCTATTATAATATTTTATAATTATATATTTAAAAGTAAACTACCTTTAGGTAAATATTATAATAAATATTTATTCTAATTCTAAATATAATTACTATTAATAGAAAAGGCTATAATATTAAATATTATAATATATTTTATATTTATAATTTTAATAAAAATATTATTTTAATTCTTTATAAAATAGGTATTTATAAAGGCTATTTTATTAAGGCTTTAAATATTAATAACTATTTATCCTTTTAAATACTATTTAATATTAACTATTAAATAATAAAATAAGAAATAAAAGAAAATAAATTACTTTATTTTTAATCTTCCTAATATTTTAAAGTTTTATAAAAATATTATTTATTACTTTTATATCCTTTAATATTATAAAATAAATATAATATTTCTTTAAAATTAAGTTTTATTAATTATCTTATAAATAAACTTTAAACTATTCTTCTTTAAAATATTTATAAAACTATTATTAATAAATATATTTTATATTTTTATTAAAAACTAAAAACTTATACTTATTTTTTAAATTAAAACTAAAAAATATTTATATTAATAATTAAGTAAATTAAAAATTACTTATATAAATAAATACCTTTTAGGTTAGTTTTAAATAATTATAAAAGTAATAAAATAATATTAATATTATTTTATATAAAATAAATATAATATTATAAATTTATAAAATAAAAGTATTTTATAAATATATTATTAGAAATTATAATTAAATTATTTTATTTATTCTAAATAATAATAAAAGTAAGGTAAATATTTATAAAAGTGTAAAAATATTAATATATTAAAAATAAATATAAAATTAGATTTTATATTTTATTTAAATATAGTTTATATTAAATAAATAGCTAAGCTATAAAGTAAAATAAAATAATAACTTCTATAAAAATAAAAACTTTAACCTTTATAAAGTAAGTTTACTTTTTTAGTTATATTAAAATATAAATATAATATAAATTAATATTAATATATAGTTTTAAAATAAAAAATATTAAAACCTTTAAATCCTATAATATTTATTTTAAAGAGTATATTTATATAAAAATTATTAATAATAAAAACTTTATAAATAAAAAAGTAACTATTATAGTTTTATAATTAATATATATATTTAAAAATTATAAAGATATAATTATATAATTAAAAGTCTTATAAATATTTATTTTAATCCTATATAAATATAATAAAAATATTTATTTATAAAACTTAATTTTAAATAATTCTATAATAGCTATTTCCTATTAACTATAATATAATTATATCTAATATCCCTATAAATATTTAATATATTATTATTTAAAAGTAAATAAAAAATAAAGATAAGTTTAAAAAAAAACTAAATTTTATACCTAATTTTAAATCTATCTTTACTAAAAATTTAATAACTTTTACACCTCTAATAATACTTATAATAACACTAAAATCAATTAGTTTTTATTTATAATTTTCCTACTAACCTATTTAATATATTTAGAAATATATTATTAAAGTATAAATTATTTTATAAACTTTATAAAAATAATAATAACTTTATTATCCTTTTATATTATAGGTAATTTATTCCCTTTATCCCTTTAATTAAAACTATTAAAAATAAAAGTATAAATATAATTTATTAATATATTATAACTATTAAAATATTAATAATAATAATAATATATTAATAATAATAAAATTATAATTTTAAAAACCTAATATTTTAATATTTATATTATTTATTATTTAAAAAGTTTTTAAAGGATAGTTAAAAGTTATAAAAATAGCTTTTATAAAAATTCTTATTAAAAAATTTTTAAAAAATTACTAATAAATAAATATATTAAGTAGCTTTATATAATTAATAAACTTATTATAGTATACCTATTAATACTAACCTTATTAATTTTATAAATTTCCTTTTATTATATTAAGCTTATAAAATAAAAAATATTAACTTTTAATATAAAGAATAGTTATAAAGTATTTAATTATTATTAAAATATTTATTATTATTATTTATTTTATTATTAATATTAAGTTATATATTAATTTAATAGTATTTATAATTAACTATATTTAATATTTTATATTTAACTTTATTTAATTAAATAATTTAAAACTAAAATTAATTTAAAGGTTAAAATTAAAATAAATATTAAAATTAATTTAAATATTAAATTAAATTAATAATATATAAATAATTAAATTATAAAGAGAATTAAAGTAGTTATATTTAAAAATACTATTATAACTATTAATATTAAAGTTATATAAATAAATATTATAAAATATAAAATAAATAATTTACCTTTATAAATAAAAGTAAATTATTAAATATAAATAATAAACTAAAGGAATAAAAGTATTATTTAATTAAATTAATAATTATACTTTTATAATTATAAATAAAATTAAAAAGTTTATAAGCTTTATATCCTTATTAAGTTTAAAAATTTTAAATTTAATTTTTAAAATAAGTAATTTAAAGGTAGTAATAAATTAAATAAAGAGTTTTATATTATAATATCTTATATTTAAAATAATTATTTAAAAAAAGATAATATTCTTTTATTAATAATATTTTATAATAAAAATATTTTATTTTAAAAGTTATTATATTTAAATAAAACTTTATAAAGTAAGTTTTAAGCTTATTATAAATATCTTTAATATTTACTATTTTAAATATAATATAATTATTTTTATTAAAATATAAAAGTATTATTTTAAAATATTTTTAAAAGATATTATAATTATATTTAATAAATATTATTTATAAAATAAATTTATTTTAAATACTTAAAATATTTAATAAAGTAAAATATATTAAAATACTTTATAATTTTTTATTAAATTAAATATTAAAATTAAAATCTTTTATAAGTAAAAATATTTAATATTAACTAAATAAAAGATAAATAATTATTATTTTTATTAACCTATAATAAAGGTTAAAAATAAATTTATAAAATGAAAAATTTATTATAATTTAAACTATTATTATTATAAAATTTTAATTTTAAGTTTATTAATTATTTATTATAGCTTATATAAGTAAAATTATAATATTTTTAATAATAAAGGAGTTATATTAAAATCTTTTATTAATAATAAGGTATATTAAAGTTAAATTTATTATTTATAAAATAAAAGTTATTTTTCTTTAAATAGTATTTTAATAATAAGTAATTAAAAGTAAATTTAAAAAATATTATTAATAAAAATTTTAAGATATAATAAATTTAATATTTATTAATATATTAATAATTTATAAGTAGTTAATAATAATAAGGTATTAAAAAGTAATAAATTAATAATAAAAAAGTTATATTTTATTTAAATATAATTTAAAATCTAATTAATAAAAGCCTTTATTAAGTTACTAAAAATTAGAAAGGTTTTTATTTTATTAATTAATTTAGTAGCTATTAAACCTTTTTTAGAAATTAGATTTTATTTATTAAAAAAGGTTAGAATAAATAAATATATTTAAAATTAGTGTTATAAATCTTTATAATATAAGTAAATTTTAATAGTAAGTAAAAGTAAAATAATTATTAAGCTTAAAGCTAATAAACTTTTATATTAGTTAATTTTAAAGCTATTTAATAATAAATATAAATATATTAATATTATTAATAATATTTTAAAAAATAAAACTTTATTAAAAAAGAATAATAGTTTAAAATTTAAAATTTAAAATAAAGCTATTAATATAATAATACTTAATGTTTAACTATTATATTTAAGTTAAGTTATTAAAAAGTATAAAGTAAGTAAAGAAGGTATATTTATTTTTTATTCTCTTTAAGTTTCTATTTAATAAGCTAGAGGCTAAGAATTCCTTAAGAATACTCTACAGGGGCCCGTGCACCGTTCTGGTACTATTCCTTCCTGACATAATCGGTAGCCTCAGGACCGACCCCTACAGCTAACTGCTTCCACCGATAAGCATCCAAGTCAACGGCCATATCAGGTATGTATGTACCTAGGTACCTAGGTACTTATGTACCTGTGTAACTGGGTGCACTTGTAATCTGCCAGACCTCAGCTCCTTCCCACCGTCCGTTTTCCAATTAGAAGCCACCGTAAATCGAGGGGGCGGAAGGTGTAGCTGCTTCCTTCCAGCTCTATTGAACATGCAGGGCTGCAACGAGTGCTGGGAGGGCATTTGTCCTCCTGGTTGCCCGTTCCCCACCCCCACAACTTCAATGGTTCTGACCTCCATCACTTCATCATCCACCATCCAGGCCTGTCAACCTCTGGTAGCAGCCGTTTACTGTGGTTCTTGACAGACAGCCTGCCGCTGACACTGAATACCACCATCAGCAAGACGACAGCCTCCGATCGAAATTGTTACCGTCGCATCTTGGCTCCGCTCGGCACCTTCCAGCCTATCCCGTCCGTGCTTCATCGATGAGGATCTATCCCCAAATGGTTTGAAGCCCAAAACACACTCGTTCCGCCGGAACAATGGCCTCAACGGGCAATAAAATCCATCGCCTGGGTCTGGGCCGTCTGGTTGTTGAGGGCAAGGTCCAATCCATCGTTCGGGCCGCCACTCTCACGCTCAAGGACGAGAAGTCCGAAAAGCTGATTGTCCAAGTCCATATTGATGGACACACATTGGTCAGTGGGAGATTGCTCCATTTCTACACTGATCACTAACCACTTGTCAGGCACAATGGGACCTTGTCATGTTGAGGGAGCGGAACCTGTTGGACGAGAAGTTCTTCTCCGTCACCGAGCAGAAGATGCTGCAGCTAACGCTGCCCTTGTTCGAACCGGATGGAAAGAAGGTCGCAACAAGGAAGACGATTCAACTCTTCATCCTCACCGCCAAGGACTTTCGTACAGCTGTCGAGTATTTTTCCACCAACGCAGGAATGCAGCATTGTCATATCAAGCAAGTGTTGCAAGATCTCAGGGGCGCCAATGTCCCTAATAAGCCTGCACCCGTCAGCAGGCCTCGGCAATCGACTGGCATGTCCCTCATGAGACCACCTACAGCACCTCCCATGCGACGACCCCAGAGCCAAACCTCTGTCCCCCCACCGGTCAGATACAGTCCATTGCAACCTATCTACAGGCCACAAACTGCGAGACCAAGCCTGACACGTGATCCTGGAATTTCTTCCCAAAGCCCATCAACTCCGGGTCCCTTTGTCCCAGTCAGCAGACGACCTTCATCGCAAGGGCTTGGCTACTTGTCAAATTCAACGGTGGGTCCTCCAGGCCGTCGTAGGTCTTTCATCCCTGGTGAATTCAGCTATCGTCAACCGATCTTCGACATGGATCATGATGGGGGCAACTTTGGAGACACGGAGCCACTGTACGATACTCAGGCTCATCCTGAGTCCATGGGCAGCCACCCTCATCCAAATCCTTTGCAATCTGGCGCCTGGAGACCTCTGCCATCAGGTCCCCAAATCAGGGCAGATTTTGGCAATGTACACGATGGGCGTTACCATAACCCCTTTCCAGGCCAATTTGCAGGCAATTCGGGCCAGACCCTACCCTCAGCACGTCGCACCACCAGCACCACAACTTACCCGTTTGGAAGGCGTCGATTATCTCCGCCGCACACTATCAGACCCACATCTCGATCTTCTACATTGTCAGACCGTGGGGTGCCCATTAGGATTCAGGTGGTAGACCCTCCTGGTGAGCCCGAATACGCCCGCTGGAGCATTGGTCCCAAGATTCGATGGGAATTCACTTTATCTCTTCTCCCGACAACCAAGATCTGGGAGCTTTGCCTCCACGCTGCAAGCTACATAAGTCGTGAGTACCAGGAAACTGTGGATGGCAGTAAAATGGAAGCACGGAGCCAGGAAGGAACTCCTCTCAGGCCTCATGACAGCCTCTCAGACGAGACCCTGCGTGGGCAAACAATTTGCTTGCTTGAAGGCAAACCCTCGAGTACGGCGCAACATCTGCATTCGGACTGGAGATCAGAGGCGAGCAGACTCGACGAAGCGCGCCCTGCGTCTCCTCCAAATCCTTTTCCCCTTGGCATCGAAGATGATGATTGCGTACCACCACCTCGCCAACTACCTTTCCGTGTTGTCACTACACCCGCTCCACCAAGATCTTCGAGCTCGATACCTGCCCGCCGGCCAGCTCTCAGCGAGAGAACAGCTTTGATGAACGCGAATCCTCGGTCGCGTCCAAACCAAAAACCGGTACAACCGGCGAGTCGCGAGTTAAGGAAGAGAGCAGTTGCCTCGAAACAGCCGAACAGTAGCCAGGAGCACCTCGCACACAACACGAGAAGACCGGCATCGTCAGCTAGCGGCAGAAAACTTGACTCGGCGACAGAAACAGCCATTTCATCTGAGCCTCAGACCTCAGAAAAGCGACCTGAGACTTCACTAGGCATCAGCCGTAAGAGGAAGGCGCCGTCTGGTGATACGGGAGTGTCTGCAGCAGTGCTGCCAGTCGTTGATAAGTCGAGCACAAATGAGCCTTCGGGAAGGTCTTGCATGGGCTGTCGCAACAAGAAACGGAAATGCGATCGATCAAAGCCAGCTTGTGGCCCATGTCGGAAAGACAAGAGGCCTTGCACGTACCCGAACATCCCACCTACCACAGGCCATAGCTTCAAAAAGCCATCCAAGAGCGCGGGCTCCGACACCGACTCTCATCCGATGATTGTCAGGGACCACCACGCACTTGCGTCTCTACCAATGTTGTCAGATGCCTCGACTCAGACTAATCACGCAACAATGTCCAGAGATATCGGCACTCAGTCGCAAGAATTTCCGCGCGCCAATCAAGACATAGAGATGAAAGATGTCGGAACAGACCCCTCCAATGTGTACACTGATGCCTGCGCGGAAACAGACAGGTGTGATGACGTATGGGTTCCTGTCTCGCAATTCGCACAACTGGTACTGTGGGCCAGTGATCAGTACATGAGGAAGGTTCATCAGGCTGCTGAAATTCTGAGGACAACTGATCCATCTCAAGATGACTACAAGGACAAGGTTGCCCAGGCTGCAGTATACGCAGGGCAATTTATGGATGAGTTCCGAGACAAGTACGCGCAAACTTTGGAGAGGTGACGGAGTGGGCACTAAATCGGCTGTAGTCTGTGAAGTCAAACTTCTCGGTAGATGGCCTTATATCACAGGCGTGTGAGCACTCGTTTTCAAATTCTTTGCTCATATTGGCAGTATAGAAGCTTTTGCTGGCAGATCAGCCGCAACGTCAAGGAGGCGCTACAGTGCTTCCAAAGAATGGGGTATGGTCTGGGAGGCGACTGTGCCACAACGCTTAGTTCCTGATGTTTTCCAATGACATTGTTAAATTACTATGCACGTGCTTGAACGTCGGGCCGTGAAATGTCGACCCGGGGGGTTGTGGATGTGCCAATTTCACCCGTCAGCCCATCAAATCGACAGCTACAGGGACCCCAAAGCTGCAATCCCGGATCTTGCCTTCCCTGACCCATCCACCAAGAGGTTATCCGCACAGCTAGACCCCAATCCCGCGTTGCCGATCCACGCAGGCTCCCAGTAGTAGACACCCACGCCACCCTTGACGGCCCTCACCACGTCGCCAACGCTCTTGAGCCAGGTGGCCTGGCCCGCCTCGCTCTTCGGGATGCTGGACGCGTCCGAAGGGAAGGCGTACTGCGGGTTGGGGCAGCTAGCAGGCCAGTTGGTCTCGGCGACGACGATCTGCTTGCCGTAGGCGGAGGCGAGCTGGTTGAGCGAGCTCTTGAGGTTCGCGAGCGTGGCCTGGGCGTTGTAGAAGGGGTAGTACGAGACGCCGATCATGTCGAAGTCGGAGGCGACGAGGGGGCCCTGGCCGAGGACCTGCTTGTACCACCACGTCTGGGTGCCGGCGTCCCAGCCGTTGTCGAGGTGGATCATGATCTTGGGCTTGGGGGACAGGCTGCTGTCCTTGATGCCCCAGGCGGCCGAGTGCAGCAGGGCGGCGATGTTGTACCACGACGAGGTGCCGCCCAGGGGCCAGAGGAGGCCCGTCCGGATCTCGTTGCCGATCGAGATTATCGAGGGGCTCAGGCCCGCGCTCGCGTAGGCGTTGGACACCTGGAGGGTGTAGTTGTAGACCGTGTAGGTCAGCTTTTCGATTGTCGAGTCGTCCCAGGCGGCGGGCGCGTCCTGTTGGTGGTGGCTCGTGTTAGTGATGTTCTACATATTGGATGGCATGTGTGTACGGCTTCTCATCTTCATCCTGTGGCTGGCTGGGCTTGTCTTACTTGGTGTGATGGGTCGGCCCAGGTGTCGCTGAGGTGCAGGTCCAGGTACAGGCTCTGGCCGGCCGCCTTGGCCCGCTTGGACAGCTTCAGGTTGTAGTCCAGGTTGTAGTTGCCATCGTTGGGGTTGACCCAGAACCTCTGGCGGACAGAGTTGACGCCGGAGGACGACAGGATCTTTTCAAGCGGCGTGGTGACGCCCCCGGTGGTCTTGTACGTCTTGCCTTGGGCTTCGAGCATCAACAGGGATGAGACTTTGGTATGTCAGCGGATCGGCTTTCTAAGTAGGAACGATTCGAGCTAGTCCTCCCGTGAGACGACCTGACAGGCCGTCTCGTAGAGTAGACTCGCCTGAATAGGAAATTAGAAAAGAGTTGTGTCACTTACTGTCAGCCCCTTTGTAAGTGATGGTGTCTCCCAGCACCAGAGACGGCGCCAGGAGCAACGAGAACCAGCCTGCAACCTTTCCGAGCATCATGATGTGAAGCAGAGAACATCGCAGAAGAGATCAACGACCGCCTGCAAAGTAGGACATGGCTCGCTATTATTATGTGACGAACTGACGTTCGTCTCATGTGAGCGAGAAGCGACCGCCAAGCTTTTGGCACATGTGCGAGCCAATATAGACCGAGGCGGAAGGGTCCGAATTTCAAATAAGGTCCCCACAAACGGGAGTTCATAGCCCGATTGGCTTGGCGGAGGGCTACCTCCGTGCTAGGTTCGGCAGTGAAGTCCTATAAGAGAGCCAATACCGTCGTACGCCCAGTGCCATCGGGGCGTTTTTGGGTAGCCGCGCAGATGGGGCTGCCCACATGACAGGCGGGTCTGTCGCTTGTAGTGTAAGATGCAAGGAACGGAATGGGTTTGTATGACTGCACGGAATAATCTGTCCCCGGCGGTGGTACGTTGGAAGGTTTCAGACTGATCACCAGGCCCCATTATATCTGGGTCGTTTTAAGACGGGCTCGTTTATAAAGATCGCCTCTGTCAGTGGATGACAGGCACGTGCGCGCATCCACTCTCTCGCGATGATCGTGCTCGCCGGGCCGAATGGTATAATCTCCGCCCCAGGTCCTGCTGCCCCTTGCGCCGATAACCACAGTGTGCTTTAATAAGGCAATGGGTCAATGCGGGCCGAGCCTCGCTCGCAACCAAATCAAACACGAAACAAAGGATGGGCATATTCATGTCTCCTTTACAGGCAACGGGCGTAGATGTTCGCGCTCGCTTTGTGACGCTGGGTCCGTTAGGATAGGCAGAAATTGCTTACAACGGACGGCCACCGAGATAATCACGAATTCTAACGTTAGTACTGCTTTCATTCCGAGGGTTCTATACCCATGGGTTACCACTATTGCCGCCTTTTCCTGCCCGTTGTTAGCTGTCTACCTAAGCATACGTCTCCTGATGAGTGTTCTCGATGCCCAGGTGCTGTAATTTGTTTGACCCTTGCCGATGCCCACTGCTTCATAAAGCCGTCAACTACGCTTGGAGCCAATCTGTATTCGCCATGACCGCGTTGCTATCCCTCGGAGGTATCTATCCAGGGACGTACCCATTTTCAAGCCTTGAGAGAAGCCCCATTTTCGATAGCTAATCACCACCTTCTGTATTCACACTTGAAACTCAGGCGGCGTCTGGCAGGTCATGGTCTGTACTTGATAGGGCTTATGGAAACAGTTCTGTCAGGCTGCCATCATTACGGCAGCAGTGCCCGAGGACCTCAGAACTCGTCAGGATCGTCTAGAGACATTGTGAGTCATGTCCTGGGACTGGGCAGAAGCAGTAAATGAAGGGTTTGCAGACCGAGAAGCCGCAATTCCTCGGCTTTGGTCAAACAAACAGGGAGTATTTCACAGACGTACTGTATTCTCTTTCCACTGTTATTGGCACTGTTTTCCTTCAAACGCTGGGTCTTGAGCGTTTACCACTGTATGAAGGCGCCACGTACATTTTACATGTATGAGGATTAAAAACGAAACCACTATTTGGAGTGGCAACCACAATCGAGTTCTTGAGTTACTACCTAGGTACAGACGCCGAGCAAGCATATCTTCCATAGTGTTTGTGATGATCAAACTAGCCACTGCTTCCATTTTTGAAAACTGCACATAGCAACATACAACAGAATATGACTCAGTGATTCCAATATAGCATAAATTGAAGACCCATGCGTGTGTATAAAGTCTGAACTATGGGGTGCACTATTCATTCTACCAGTGCACGGCTGGCGTAACATAGATGATTTGCCGCATTTTCTTTCGCAACACATTCCGCTTATTTCCACATATTATTTCGGGGTCGCTGAATGACTTTTGATCCCTTTTAAGATCTGTGTCACCGTGTGAAGGCGCCATGTATACCCTCAGACGTATGAAGAAAAGAAGCGAAACCAGTTAAGATCTATGTACAAGTACTGGTCTCATTCCACTGCCAGCAGAGGTTACCATCTAGCTACAGATTTTCTTGACTCCAGGTAGAAATGTACGCAGTCACATCTATGCGATGAAGACAGAATGAAACACCGCCGACCAGGCTGGGGCTATAGGTTGTGCAGGATATGGGCACGTGGCCGGTCACATGATGGCTGGGTGTGACCAACACAGGGGATTCCGCAGAAGGGTTCTCGCTCGACCATAAAATTCACTTGCAAGCCTTGTGATTCACTGACACGTGCTTCAGCCTTGCCATTCACTGACACGTGCGTCAATTCACTTGCGGGAGGCCTCATTTGACAGACATAAATACGTAGCTTCTCCCCACCTCAACTTCTTTTCTTTTCTTCCTTCCGACAACCACTTCCGTCACATCAGAAGTACCAGGCACTACGGCACCATCAAGCTGTCTTTTCCTGGTTGAGCAACGATAAACCATCAATCTGCTCACCCGCCTCGGTGAACAAGCCACCGTCTTACCAATCTTCCTTTCCACCCTTCATCGCCTACCGAGCAAGAAGCAACCAAGCAGATCACCAAAGCTTCAGGAAGGACCTGTTCTCAGATCTAAACAACACAGAGTGCCATACAATCACTCTGCCATACAATCACTCTACCATACAATCACTCTACCATACAATCACTCCATCACGATGCCTCGGTCTCGCAAGCAAACGCGACCCGCTCGTCAGTACGCTCGCCCCGGCTGCAGCTACGAGCTGCCAATCTGCATCGACAATGAAGAGCAGGTGGCACCCAAGAAAACAAACACAAATCAATCATCCAACCATACAGCCTCATGGATGGAGGCGCTGGCGAAGGGCAGATGGGAAGGCGGAGCCAACAGGCCTACCGTCGAAGGATCCCAAGCCCAGGGCTCTCGTGTAAGCTGAATGGTCACCCCCCGAAAAGCCAACCCCGAGAAGCTAACGATTTGCAGAAGAGAACAAATCGTGACGTTGACGAGGACAACGAAGAACCTCGCAATGGTGGTGCGAAGCGCCTGCGGCTGTCTGGGGGCGACAGCCACGCAAAACTCGTTACACCTACTGCAATCCATCAGCCGTTGCCAACACCCAATCACCCCACCAAAACTGTCAAGGGGCAAGCTAAAAACAACCTGAGAGCGCCTCGAATTGGTGTACGGACGAGACCGCACCAGATTGAGCAAGAGAACTCCGAGTTCTTCGCACGGAACAATCAGGTGGCTGTGGGCCAGACAAGTCCGAAAGACGACGAGGAACAAGCCCTTGATGCCAACCCGAGGGAGCAACAATACCAACCAGCGCCCTGGGCAACTCTACACACAATGTGGCAAGACCACGACCGACAACTCGAGGCAGCCAAAGAGCGCCTCAGAATCACAGAGCAAGAGGAACGGGAGAAGGCCGAAAGGCAGGCACGAGAGAGAGAGGAGGAGAGGCTTGGGGAGATTGGCACCATCGAAGCCAGCATCAGGAGTATGTGGGAGGCCGATCCGTTGGACGAGAGAGGGGATCGGAAGATAAGGCTTGGTCTTTCGGCAGAAGCTGGCCTACGGCGATTCAGAGAGCGTCAGGAGATGATGAGGCAGAACAAATTTTGACTTGGCCTCAAGCATCCTCCACTGGTCAGACAAGGACTTCATGGAGGAGGCCAAGTACCTGATCCTAGACCGAGAGGGCCTCCCGCTGTCACCATGGGTGCACGCTGTCACCATGGGTGCACCACCCGCTCCACCTCGTCATCGCCACCACCTTCGAGGGAAGGAGTATGCCAACCTCGAGTCTCAGGTCTGGTAGCATCATGGAGGAGGAAGATGAGGCGGGTTGGACGGTCTGAGTATCACGAGATTTGGATACAGTCGGGCACGGTCAAGCGTTGAGAAATGGCAGACACTGCCTTAGAATCTGTGCAGAGGCCATCTGGCAACATGTGTAGCAAGTGCCTAGGTCAACCAAAAGCCATGTTAGCTCATGGAATACTCATAAAAGTTCCGTTAATATACTGGACAGAAACGACTCGGAGGATTTTCATGCCCACCCCATATCTTGCTGTCTTTTTGACCGTTCCTTGTATGCAAAACGAATCAACCCAAATCTAATTAACACCTCCACTTCGTCCCGTGTTGTAATATACTTAAGTATCATGGGCACCCCCAGGAGTTCCTTAAATCCATTTACAACTTTTGCTTCTCATCGTAAAGACAATGCAACGGTACTGCTAACTCTCTTCCGATCGCTCTCTTACTCACTCGTAACCGACTAGTGCATGCAGATAGTATTACTTGCCAAGTACTGGCGTCTTATTACCATAAGAACAACCCTGAACCAATTGGCGATCTGCCATATCCACATTATCAGAAGTCATCAAGTATAATTCCTAGAAGTACTGAGAAATGTCAAGACGACATCTGGAGAGACTGAGAGCTGGGATCGATGACAGAATTAGATCAGGCGTGCCAAAGCCTGGCCCGACATGGACAAGCTCTTGCGCGTAATAGACTGATATGTCACGAGGTTTTCCCACTTGATGTAAATTTTCTATACACAACTTTACCAGTCATTCAATCTATTAAGTATGAGAACGGATATTCACACAGGAAAAAACAGCTAGTACACAGGTATAAATGCCCCTCGGTACGCCAACCTTAATTTACACCACCCACTCACTATACAAAACATAAATTTACACTTATTAACTATATATATCCTTATTAGCCCTTAATTTCTAATCCTCCTATTATTACTTTTAGTCTAATAGTTTACTACTTCTTTCTTTATCGCCTAGAGCGCTCTAGTGAGTCCCTAAGTACTACAATATCCTCCTAGGTTTCTTTATTGCCGATGAGGTCCTCTACAGTTAAGTCAACCTATATTAACTAGTTGATAGTCCTATAAGCCCTTATATAGAGCTTCTAGTGAGGAGGGCTTCTAGTAAGGGAGTTTTATTTAATAGGTGAAGAAAAATTAATAGGTCTGTATAGAGGGTATAAAAAGCACTTTATATAGGTAGTGTATATAGTTAGGGGGGTTGAATAAAGCCCTCTGATTAGCTATAGCCCTGGAGGAAATATTGTACCTATATACTAGCCGTTTTTTCCTATGCGAATATCCATTCTCTTAAGTATAGGTAATACTTACGAGGTCAAATTGCTAAATTATAATTAAATTTACAATATATAATACAGATATAATAAAGAAAATAGGTAAAACCACGACAGAAACAGCAGGGACAAGACGCCAACTGAATCAATGAGGACCACATCTCGTTAGACAGAGGCCCTTCGAATTGAAATCTTCACCCTCATCCGCAATGGACTCTACTTTCACCGCGGCGTCCTCGATGCTACGGTCAAAATTATCACGGTGACTCATCATCGACGATCATTGTGGTCATCACAGGCACCGAACTTGGCTTGTCGCAGGCTGGTGAGTGGCGTAGTGACGCGGTGGGTGTAAGTGTGCACATGTGCTCCTCACTGCTGGAATATGTAGCTGTCCGCAAGACGATTTTCTAGATAGACTGGGTTTGGTGCCTACTGTTTAATATGGGTGTTGGAAACCACTCCATCGGCCACCTCGCAATACGTTTCGGCTTGCGCAACCAAGCCCAGTCTTCTTTCATTGGTCATGAATTCAGGCTGGCTCGCTGGCCAAGGCACCCCTTGGCCACTTTTCACGGCATGGTCCCTACTCGGATTATGGCGTCGTCGTCGACCGGTGCTGTGCAAGAGCCTGATTTTTAATGTGCATTTTTTATTTCACTTACCATATTGGTATTCTACGTTTCTCAAATCCGCTACCGCGGCAAGATCACAGGGACGCCTGGGCAGCGTGTATCGTTAGCATGTGACATGCAATTCACCTCAATTTAATTTAAACCTTGGAATTCTTCAGGCCCAATTGCGTTTTATTTGTACATACATCTTGAAGTCCCAGATTCTGCTAAAAAATTCCTAGTCTCTCTAATCGAATGTGCTCAAGTCAACAACAACAGGAGTAGACACTCCTCGTTACATGATAGACCATTCATCTGGATACTTCTCCTTCCAAAATGCTGCAGCGGGCAGGATTCGGTTGTGTATAACCTCCGCCTCTGTCTCGTCCAACGGAGCATACACGATAACGCAACCGTGGTGAAGAGGTGTACTTCTGCGCAATATCCTGTGGTAAAAGAACCGATAGAGCAATGACTCGTGCATCACAGCTAGAGGGTTTCGCTGGCCCCAACCCTTCCGGATAACCTCTTCGGCGTCGAGCGGATTCAGGTACATGACCGTAGACCCATCGGGACGGGCCTCTGCGACGAGATCATCCCACTCCCTCATGGTGCCGAGGAATATTTCATCGTCGTCTGTTGTATCCAGCCAGCGCTTCAGCCTGGGGAATTCATTCGACCCAGCTAGATAGTGGGCCTCCCACAAGTCTGGTGCTTTTTGTTGGTAAAACACAAATAGGCGCCCGACAATTTTCATAGCGAAGGAGTTGACACCGGTCATCTGGGCGAGCGGGTCGATGCCCTTGATGACCGGCCGTGTCCCTGGTGGCCAACCGCGCTCGGGCAGGGTTAGCTTCGCCGACCACGTCGCCGTGATCGGGTCACAGTATGGCTTCGACAAGACGTCGACGCGGAAGAGCCCCAGGACAATGAATTCGATGATCTTGGTCTTGAGCCAGCCCCAGGCGTTGGAAGGTTGGCGGCCCGGACCGAGTGCGATGTACCCGGAGTAGCTGCTCCTGATGCTGCTGACGATGTAAGCGAACAGGCCGATCCAGAAAATAGGAGCAGACCACAGATAATCTTCTGCAGCCCAGGTTATAATGAGGTAAATGTCCTCCGCAAACCATAGGGGGTGCCGGAATGGGTTTGCGATCTCGAAGTCGACGAGCCACCAGTACCCGTATGCCAAAATTGGAAAGTTGAAAATCCACGTGTACATGACTGGGGGTAGCTCGAAGTTGGCAAGCCATCCAGCAAAGGCTGTAGGTAATATTCCAGCCATTGAAACTGACCAAGACGGAAGGGAGAGCGGAATGTAGATGTGCGTCCGATAATCGAGGGTGGACAGCAACATGTTTAGGCATTTCTGGAACTCGAAGGTGAACATGTGCGTCCGATAATCGAAGTTGGTCAGAAACATGTTTAGGCGTCTCGGGAACTCGAAGGTGAGAATCCAATAGTAAATGTATGGCAGGAAATTGAACTGGTCAAGCCATTTGTACACGCGTGGCGGGCACTCGAAGTTGACAAGTCCGATGTAGAAGTGTGTCAGATAGTCGAAGCTGGCAAGCCACTGGTATAGGCTTCGCAGGAAGTCCCGCTTGAACCACCGAATCCAATCTCCTCGCAAGAAAAAGAAGTCGACGTTCCACCACATGCTGAAGTCGAAAAGCCGCCAGCGCAGCCACGAGGATAGGTCTCGCAAAAAAAAGCCCATTGTGATGTTCTCTTCGGTGGAATGAGTCTCAGGTTTCGCTGCTGTTCAATGTCGGGCTGCTTTGGAGATTCAGTGTGAAATGTGCTGCTTGAGAGTGGTTGTTGGGTGGTTATCTTTTCCTCCACTTTCCTCGGTCCAGAGCTCCTCCTTATATAGAAAAATGTCTGTCACGGGGAAATATGACAGCATAGTACATGCCGCCTCTTTACCAGACTTTAGCGTTATAACACCAACTAATACCGGTCCTTTTTGTTCCTTTTGTGTATCTAGGTGGGTATATTGTTATCAAGCCGCTTCTTTGCTGGGCAGAGAGTTTAAACAAAGAGTTGCGGGCTCATTGGTCCATATAGTGCATATTGTCCTAAGACTACCCTTCGTTCAGAATGATATAGCGTGGTTGACCTCGAGAAATCTCACAAAGAAGGCGGTAAGAAGAGCACAAGAGCCCCCGCCACGGAGACAAGGATAGATAATGATAGATTGCACGACGCCAGGAACAGCCGCAGTGCGGTACATTACCTCGCAGTGGGGGCAGCCGCGGCATAGCCACACGCCCCGATAGTATTGATGACTCCAGTCTCAACCTCAATGCTCTGCAGAGCACTTGAGCCGGGTCTTGATGTTGACACCGCGCATGGTCGGCTCCATGAAGCCTCGCGGTGAATCATGCCGAACCCGCGCCAGACAATCTCTTTGTGGTGTCCGAATCCACCCGTGAGGGCATCAAAGACTTCCGGGGCATTCGACAAACCAAGGACAGAAGCCGAAAACTCTGCATCCTTACAACTTGCACCGCCGGTCGGAGTACGAAGTATGGCGGGAGGAGAAACAAACAGGATCAGGGGCATCCATGGGCTTCATGATATCTCCCGTCCCGTTTGTACGAGAAGTTCTTTTTTTTTTTTTTTTTTTTTGCGGGAGCTGGTGTCCATGATCAACTCTTCAACTCATACGGCTAAAGTGGTCACCAGAATACACTTCAGGAAAGTGTATCGAATAATAGCTAAGTGGTATAATACAACCAGTATTGGAACCTCTTCGTCTGCGTCCTCGCATGGTTTTAACTCGATTATCTCCTCCATGTCATATTATCCGAGTACCACGGCCTAGTAGTAGGTGATCTCAAGAACCACCTAAAGAAACACGACGGTCGTCTTACCAAGTATCTGGCCAACTCCGGACGGGTTGCTCTTTTCCATAGCTTACAACACCTGTATGGATCGGAGCCTCACTGATAAATTTTACTGACTATGTCGGCACAAGGTGCGCTTGACAACTCTTGCAGCGGTTGGTAGCGATGCACTACTCGTAGGAGGCTGCGTCAACTGGTGCATGGCGATTGTTAATCCGGATACATCCCGAAGGCGTACGGCCCCTTCAGCGGCCCATGCTGATCAGTACAAAACTCAGGACGGGGCTGCAGGTCTGTCAACTGGATGAATGCGGAATATACCGTCCGCGAGTCCCCCGAGGTCGTCATGATCGCTGTGGTCAGGTCCGGCCCAGTTTCTCCAAGACCGAGAGGGAAGCCCCTCGAATCCTGTACCAAGGCGGCTGACCTTGAGAGTAATATATCTTGAAAAGATCACGGCATCGGTGACTTATACACTAGTAGACATGGCGGCCTATGACAGAGCTGACGTAGGACTTCTATGACGACAGGACAACCATCGGGCTCTGGCGATGGCCGGAAGTTCATTAGAATTGTCTCAGGCCTTCAGTAAGGGGACACACTGATGAGATGCAGCACATGGGGATCATCAGACAAATCACACGAGTGAGCCTCCAAAGTCCAGTTGGTTGGATGTGATAACCATGTGTGACAGACAGGCCGCATGACCTGCCCAGGGCAACCTTCCTTTTAAGATAATTGGACCTGTTTCTACGGCCGTAGCAGTTGATACATAGGGTGCCGAAAACCATCGGGAGTTGGGGCATTGGCTCAAGTCAACTATGCTAGTAAGGACTCATTGTAGCGTGCATGGTGGGCTAGCTGCCGCTGTCAGAGGGGCGGCCCGGGGGAGCAAGTGTAGGCGGATGGGTCGTGGGACAGAACAGAACACATGGCTCATCAAGGATGATTTTTTCTTATTTTTAAACTTAGGTCTACTGCGGAACCGCTTCTGCGCATGACGATGGCCAGTCAAGGCGTGCCGGGTCGAGAGCCTGGTCTTGCGGCAGCGAGCCTTGTTGGTCTCTGGTGCCGCCCGAAAGTCATCGGGAAACGGTCAGAGGGCCCAGTGGGAAGCACAGGCATCTGGGGCCGGATCGTACGATTCCGTTGGTGTCTGGGAGGAATCATGCGATTGGGGTGCTGGGCTGGACGAGAGGGTCAAGGCTTTGGAAACGACGAACAACGTATAATGTTGTGCTGTGCTGCTGCTGTCGTTGGGAAAGAGTCGACGGGACTTGCTCCTTCCCCACACAGAGAGTTCTTGTGGGGCGGCGCAGTCCTGCCTCTGCTACTCGTCACCCCTCAAACCACCACACCACACACCAAAACCGCATCCCACCTTGCAGACACCACCACCACCACTACAAAAGGGAGAAGCAATTGATTCTCTGACCGTCTTTTGCCACAAAACCTCAGCTACTTGTTTTCCTGCACAGCAATCCTGCTCAAGCCGGCCTTTCCATCATCTCTTCAAGGCGGCGAGTTGGAGCAAGAGAAAAGAAAGGGGCCATGGCAACATCGGGCCGACCGACCGGTGCGTCACGGCCCAAAGACTCGATTCGACTCGACTCGACTCAATCATGGTCTGTCTTGATTACAATGAGCCAAGGTCAGCTCAAGCGAAGGAAACAGCGATGGGCAATGCACATATCCTGACAGCTCCTCCGCAACCACCACTGGCAGCACGAGCATTGGGAGCACACGAGCAGCCGAGCATCTCACGAACAATCTTTGCGACGCCCAATTCGACGCCCAAGCCAGGGGGACAACCCTCGATGCCATGCTCCAAGCACGTTGCAGCTGTCTGCCACTGGCATGCTGCTGGGTGGCACAGCTTCCTCCAAGTTCTGGCCACGAGTAGCTGAACTCTATGCCAAGCGATCCTGGCCCTCAGCTGCTCGGCTCGATTCACCGACGCTGCATCTGGTCCATCCTGCGTGCCTGCGTGCCTGCGGCGGCTCCCCCACCAACCCGGGCCCGACCGACCGGGACAGGGCGCCAGGCGCCATGGAACCGTCCTGACTCTTGACATCGTCCACTAATTTCCAGCTGCCTCTTTGGGCCATTCCACGGCTGCCTCCTCGGGTCCTTCTTCTACGGTTCGCGCACGGTGTTCATTCGATGGCTGGCTGCCCAACGCAATCAATCTCTTGGCTGAGACGAACTGCTTGGCTGTGCGTCTGTCGTCAACACAGACAGACCGCATGGGTGCGTGTGATCTCATGCTTCCTGAGGACTGGAGGCGACGAGGGACGTCGCTGCGGTGCCTCCTGGAGTCCTGGGCACTTACTTCCTCACGCTTGTCGGTCCGGCTGCGACCCTGGCAAGCCTAGCATCGGTATGGCCGCTGATGCGACTTTCCCATGCAATGCACAAGGCCAGATTCGCGAGCCTCGCTTGTCAGCTTCCCTTCCCAATTGGAGCCCTCAGCAGACTGCCAGCTAGCAGCCAGATCTGTAGTTCCTGCGAACCGTTCATTGGCGGCCACCGGCTCCAAGATACCCACGATACCCCAACGTCATCAGTCCTTACAGGGATCCTCATGGTCGTTCATAGCGCCCTACCGGCTCCCTAAGGCGATCGCGCTTTACCATCCAGCCCATCGTGTGCCACCCTCGGCCGACAAATTCCAAATAACACTGTCTCCAGAAGCCTAGAGCCATGTCTTACCCACGAGTCCAATCGCTTCCAGGGCGGAGAAGCCCCGGAGGACCGGCGCCATGCATCTTGCTTTTGCCGCGACGATGCTTGCCCATACGCTCCCTTACACTGTATCACGCTGCCGAGTTTCTGATGTACCACGAGACTTCGAGACCATCTCTGCGAAACCCTCCGCCTCAGCTATTGATCAACCCGGCGCTTCCGCGTGTGCCATTCAGCAAGCCACAGCCATGTTGGGCTCATGCCACATCGCCGAGTGCCTGCTCCGGGACAGCCACTATCCCTGTAGGACGCCTCTGCCAGGTCGGCTGCTAATAAGCAAGCTCCGCGGACGGCACGTCGACGGGAGGCCATCTACAACCTCTATTGGCTCAACAAAAGTTTCTTCAGCAGCGTCAATACTGCTATCCCCCCGGGCTCCCTCAGAATTAGCCTTTGTCATTGCCGTCCATTGGACATGGGCCACATGCAAGAGCGGAGCTGAGCTTGCTTGGCCCGCTCCCAGCTGTGATAGGCGGAAGGCAACGAGTGTTGACAAAAGATTTGGGGCTGAGACATTAACGATGAGAGATCAGAAACATTGTTTCGAGTGGCTCCGGGTAATGACCCTGAAGCTGGTGCGCTTGCAGGAGCTCCATCCAAGCAGCTCCTCTGGCGGCTGAACCAAAGGTTCAGGCCGTTGCGCTACCACCACGCTACTCAGCCGGGGGACCCCTTACCATTCATCGTGATCTCCACTCGATCTAACGCACCAAGGAATTCCGACGGCGAGCGCCCAGCTTAGTCACTCCTCAAATGTAATTGCTCTCGGACGCCATAGAAGACGGCCTCCCCAGGGTTCCTCCTGTGCTTGCTTGCTCGTCAACGAGGCCCCAGAAGCCACCGTTGCCCTCTTCCTCCCAGATCACGTCACGCCATCTTTGTCAACCGCTTCGTGGAAATGAGTGGTAATAGCCCAGTCGACAAGCCGAAGAGCGGACGTTCCGCCACGTCCTGCCTCGAGTGCCAGCGGCGAAAGCAGAAGGTAAACGGTTATGGGGGACATCCCAAGTCATCTAGACAGCAGCGGCTGACACCGCACGCAACTAGTGCTCACGCGAATGGCCTTGCAATCATTGCCAGGCCCGCAAGGTGCCACATCTATGCCAGTTCGCACCCAAGAAAGTGGCAACGCCGGAGGATGACTCGTTTGCTGTTCCTGCAAAGTATGGCAGAATTCCATTTGATCGCCCCCTCTCCACCAGGATACGAGGCCGGTGTTCTGACTTAGCACCTGCGCAGGTTGTCGAGGAAGAGGAAAGAAGGCAGCTTCGAGTCCGACACTTCGGCATCAGCCAGCGACCCCGAACATGGCCTCTCGGACGGGCTGGCCAAGCTAGGCTACATGCCTAGCCATGAGGTCTTTGCCCTTACCAGGTCAACAGCAGACGTACGTGAACCTGCCATCGCCCTTGCTGCCTTGTTTAATGACCCTTTCAGTCCTCGTATGGTCAAACAGATGACAACCAAGACGGTCAATCCGAGGAAATCGAGGCAGCCTTGAAGTTCATATTACCCAAGCCGTATACAGGTACGCAATGTTCCATCAGAGCGTGATTCGCCCACTAACGGAGAAGGAAGATGTACTGGTCCAGAACTACCTAGACACTGCCAACCTCCAGTACTACCCGGTCTTCCCAGAACAGCTCCGAGGACAGAGTGCAAAGTGGTGGGAGTCGAGGGCAGCCGGTCAGAAGCTGACCCCTGAGCTCACCTGTCTCTTGCTGCGTGTTTGTGCCGTTTCCACCCAGTACCTCGAGTCATCTCTGCTGCAAAGACTCGAGGCCGAGCTCGGGGAGAAGGCGCAGACAATGACCGACCGCTTCCATAAGGCTGCACAGAACCTGAGCGCCTCGATTCCTCAGGGCAAGGGCGGTGTTGTCAACGTGCAGCAGCTCTTCCTCGCAGCCAAATGGTACAAAGGGGAGGCGTGTATGATCGAATCTTGGCATGCCCTCAGCGCCGCTGTCCGCGCAGCGCAGGAAATAAGTACGTCTGCCTGCCTGCCTTCAATCGGAAGACTTCTGGCCACGTCTTCGGCAGCTTCTCTTGGATCGATGCTGACAGGCCCTTCAACTTAGATATGCACAAACCCAGCGAGGGTCTGCCAAACTTCGAGCGGGAGCTGCGCAAGCGAATGTGGTGCATTCTTTGGACCTGGGACTGGTAAATCATGTGCATATCCTCGCAGAAGAATACCGCCGCTGACTGGTACAGGCAAATGTCAACTCTGCTGTCCCGACCGCTGCTCATCGACCAAGACGACCATACGCTAGAAATACCAGACGGTCGGCTCGAGAACATCTCCGACCCCAATGTGCCCCATCCGCTATCGTCTGTGGCCCTACAGGCCGAGCTGGGCCTGCATGCATCCCACCTGTTCCAAGCACTGGGCGCCAAGTACTCCGTCGAGCTGGCGCTTGAGCTTGAGGACGAGCTCGAGAGGTGGATGGGCACATTCCCGGCTGCCCTTCGAGACCATCGACCCGACACTCGGTGGGATCAGAAGTATCCCAATATCCCATTTATGCGCTGCCAGATCAACATCATCGCATACGCGTACCTACTCGCGCCTCTGAAACCCTTCCTTCTTTCCAAGCCAGACTCGGAGATGATGAGCCCACCACTGGGGCCCAACCTGCGCGCCAAGGCCGTCGACACCTGCCTCGACCTGATGAGGGCCTCGGAGCAGTTCTATGATCTCCTGTACCCCACGGGCTTCAAGTACTTCTTCGTCATATTCTTCATGTTTGACGCCGCCACCGTATTGTGCTCCGCCATCGTGCATGATACCGAAAACAATCTCCCCAAGCGGAGCCAGTGCATCCGCGCACTTCGCACGTCTCAGGAGCTACTGGACGCTATCAACCACCTCTCCGAGTCCGCACGGCTGTCCGCCATGCTCCTGCGGAAGCTCACCCCGACCCTGCCCCTGACCGAAGCCGAGAAGGTGATCCTGGGCGTCGGCTCGCCAGCGCCGTCGTCGGCCAAGAAGATAAAGACCAGCCCTTCATCGTCGTCACCCCAAGGACAGCTCGCCACGGCTACGGCTTTTGGCGGCGCCGGCGGCGACTACACGCTAAGCAGCGGCGGTCTTGGCAACGGGCCGCCGGGCATCCCCTCCCCGTCACTGGGCGGCGCAACGCCATACGAGATGCCACAACAATACCAGCCCCATGCCCAGGCACACTACACGGCTGCCCCGCTGATGCCCCTCGCGGATCCCGGCGGGATTCACCACCCCATGATGCCGGCGGCGGTGCCGGAGTGGCCGTATGATTTCACCGCGGGCCTCACCCCGCTTGCGCAGGAGCAGATGCCGCAACAGCAGCAGCAACAGCACCCGGCTGGCCCATCATCCGCTGCTGCTCCGTCCCATCAGCAGCAGTTCGTCGGGGGCGGGGGCATGAACCCCGGCGACGCGCTGGCGGGCACGTTCCTGGAGCCGCTGTGGGACTGGGAGCACCTTGATATGGACCTGGGACAGTATGCCATGCCGCATTTTGCTGGTAGCAGCAGCGGGCCTGAGTTTTGAGGGGTTGGGGTTGGTGTATACGTGGTGGTTGTGTGGATGGGTGGGTGGCTTTGGGGGGCTGAGTAGCACCTGGGGAGGGAGTGTGCTTCTGGATGGAGCGTCCTTCTGGGCAGACCAGCCCGGAGCGGCTTTAGCGAGGTGTGGTATGGTATGGTGTGGTGCGATGCGATCTGATCTGACCCAATCTTGGGGGTTTTGGGATCAACTATAGATTTATTTTCTTGGGTGGCGTCATTTCTCAGGGTCGGGAGCGGGCGTGAGCGTGTGGGCTTGGGCCGTAATGGATTCGTCAGTGAAGGATGGATGGTTTTGGGTGCGGGGGGAGGGGGTGGTGGGACTGATTGGAGCTGGGTATCTGCGCGGTGTTTGGTACGTACACAAGGAGGTAGGTGCCTAGATAAAAGGTGGGATTCGATTACAGCTAGTCAATTGTGGCTGCTGGTCTTCTATACTTGTCCTGCGCCCGCGTGTGCTGTTTGCTGGTGCGTTGGATTCCTGAGTTGTGGGGGGTTGTCACTGTGCCTGTTCTACTCCCCCCCCCCTTTCCCCCGAACCCAGAGGCAGCCAGCCAGCCAACCCGTGGTTCTTATTAGGACCGGGCAGTGGTCCGGCCGGGTGCTGTTGTTGTTTTGAGCTTACCTTGGAACTTGCTTCTAGGAAACGCTGGCTGGCATGTAACGGTGGGCAATTTCTGGCAAGGCGAGGGGCCCGCTTGAATGGTGAGTGGTGAGTGGATCCTGTGACGGGATATGCAGAGCTCGGGATGGGCGTTGGAACCTTGGGGATTAGGGGGCTCATTTACATGCCTGATGCGATGGAGGATCTGGTATTTTCCGCCTTTCTCGAGGGGGGAGAAAGTCGGAGTTCAGCACTCGGTACCTAGATGATGGCGCCCTTGAGCAGGTAGGTCTCCGACTGGTTGTCCAGGCAGTCGGTCTTGCGGGCAGATCCATGGATGCGTTAAAAGCCGCCCGCCGCTACTTTGAATGCGTCCTCGGAGGCTGGTGGCTTACTGCAATGCCAGACATTCCTGACTGGCGTGGGTACGAGTACTTGTACTTCATCGCAATCATTGTCGACAAAATCACATGTCAACTTGGGCTCCGCTCTTGAATGAAGTAAGCCATTACGTGGGTTACAAAGTTGGTTGTCTATCTAAGAATACTTTCTTTATGAGGCCATTCCTCTCAGTGAGCCTTCCAAGGTTACTCCGTACTAGTAAATCGTCGACGTGGACTCCAGTCCAAGCCTCGGATAAAACGGCCGGATACAGCGACGTACTATGCATATCTGACTGACCAATGCCAGCTTGACCTCGCTACAATCATCCAACATCTCCGCCCTCCAGCTGACTCTCACTTACAGCATCTCAAGTGCTGGCTCTAGGACCTCGGGGGCTCTCACGCGCCGATCAGGGTCGTAGAAGCCCCCGCTGTGGAAGGGGCGGTACGGCTCCTCCTCTTCCATCCAGTGCTGGTACTCGTCGCACAGGAAGTCGATGTTCTGCGCCGCGAGGGGGCAGTCTATCGCGCAGCGCCGCAGCATCTTGGCGAGCCTCTTGAGGGGGTAGACCTGCCAGATTATGTCTGTGCCTGCGCGAGGGGGGTTAGTTAAAGTTACTTAGGTGTTGCGCTCTCCAGTATTTTCCCTTTTTTCCTTGTTTTACTTTTTCTTTTTTTTTTGGGGGGGGGGGGGATAGGGGGGCTTTTTGGATTTCGGTGTTATGGAGGGGGAAGGGGTGGGAAACATGGATGGGCTTCTGGGACTTGTGTCTTCACTTACAGTATGTGCCGACCTGGTCGCGCAGGAGGTTGTACGTCTCGGTCCGGCTCTGCCAGTTGTTGAAGTTTCCGCCCGTGACCACCTCGAAGACGCCAACCTCGGCGAAGTCGTCGGCCGGGCGCAGCCGCCAGTTGGTGCGGAACCTCGCGAAGGGGTCGTCGGGAATGTTGAGATCGGCCAGCTCAGCATCGAGCTCCATGACCTCCTCGGCATTCAGTCCGCGGAACTCCTCGTCGCTGGCGTCGGAGTCGGTGTCCGAGCCGCTGCCGCCAGAGTCGCTCTCGTCCTCGTCGCGGTCATTGTCCATGCCGGCGCCGAAGCCAGGCTCCCCGTAGGAAGGGTCCTGGTCCTCCTCCCGCGTGCCGCTGAGGAACCGCAGGCCGACGCGCCCGTCGTAGGGGTCGTGGCCGAAGCCGCAGCCGGTGGTCATGGATAGCTCGTAGATGAGGGTTATGCGCGTGACGTACCGCAGGACGTCCGACCCGTGGTTGTTGAAGTCGGCCCACATGGCGGAGAAGCGCTGCAGGGCGAACTTGTCGACGATGGGGACGCTCACGTGGGCGTCGTGCGACCGGTGCTCGGGGCCCCGCTTCACCGTGATCTCGAAGGCGTTGTGGGTGTAGTACATGGCCAATGCCTCGTTGCGTATGGCCCGGCTGGTCTGGAGGAGGGCGGGTGGCACGAGGGAGCGGACGATGTCGGGGGTTATGAGGGCCTCGCGGTAGATGTTGTTGCGGATCTCGGCGGGGAGGCTGAGAAGGGGGAACCTGTGCTGCTGAGGAGGATTATGTGAGGGGCATGTTCTTGTCAACGAAGACGGTAGGTAGGTGGGTATTGAGCTTACTGCTTGAGGCATTCCCTGCTGGTTGGCAGAGTTCTCGGGGCACATTGCTACGCGCACCATGATGCCGATTGTCGTGGTTCTGAGAAAGATGATGTACGAGTAGGGGTGAGTGCTATGGAGATAGGGGAAGGCTAAGATATCATAGACGAAGTAGGAGACCGAAGACGATGCTCTGTTGACATGGCAGATTCGTCAAGGCCTCTGGGTTGAGATTGATGGGGTTGGTATCGGAAGGCCAGACCTGAGCGACCCGACGCATGAAACTGGGCAGTGAAGGGTGCGCAGCGATGGTCGACGCCGTGGGTGATTAACTGTTTGCCCTCCTTCAGGTGACCGGCTATAGTGACTTCCAGTTTGACATGACGCTGCCAGCTGCCCCTGGTGATGCCCCGGCCGTTTCTCAGTCAATGGGTGCGTACCGCGTTTGGCAATGGACACCATCAGGGGCTGAACAACAAGATTGTTTGCATCTCCGGCACGACCATCTGGGGCGTGGCATCTGGTAATCTCGTTTCCCACCACACTGTAAGGCGGTGTCTTGTGAATAGGGCCTGCAGCCATTCGCAGCCTTGCGAGGCAGGTGACTCCTATCTGGCGAAGGGGACACTGTAAATATAGAAGGCATCTTTCACACCGGAACGATTGGGTATATACATCATACTTGGTGTTCATAGGGGTATTATGCGAACATGTTGGCATCACAAGTGGTAGGTATGAATATTGCGGGTCCCAGGGTGTAATATATGTAAGAGTGGAAGATCGTTGTTGCTACTAAATGGCGTTGGAAAGCAGGGTGATGTAGGCAAAGTGACAAAACACCAAATTTGAGTCATATTTTCATTAGCAAGCGAAACAGGTGCGAGGAGATCACAGAGCCAAGGGCCCAATTTGTAGGGGATAGTGAGATGTGTGCACCTATCGTATTATGACTATCGTTATCGACACCGTATTCTTTTCAAGCGTTGGGTCTTGAGTCCTTACCACCGTATGAAGGCGCCATGTATGTCCTCGGACGCATACGGAATAGAATCGAAACCACATAGTGAGATGTGTCACGGTACCCACTAGGTATCATGGCCCACTATATAAACGCCCAGGCTTCGCCAGCGGCTTGTAGTTTAGAGCTTTCCTTTCCTCGCGCAACAACAAGTTCTTAACCATGACCAACCTACTAGCCCTGTGACAGATGTGTGTCAGCAAGGTTCAGAAAGATTGCCTTGGTTTCGAAGATTGTCAAGCAGATCTTCCCATTTCCTATATGAGTCCGCTGGAGTGCGGCTGGAAACTGATTCACGCTTCGTTGCTGCAATCTTGTCAGCCTTGAAGTGGTTACTACTAACAATTATGGTGTTGTATATGCATTTTAAATTGGTTAATAGTACTCTCAGCTCTGTCAGTATGTTTCGTCTGTGGTTGAGCATCTAATGATTTACAACCGTCTGAACAAGAGAGTATAAGAAGGTCGAAGTGAGGAACCATTTACCTACAATACAATCGTGCAGGATATACTCATACGATGTTCTCTCCAGCTTCAGCACACAGCACTGAGGCAATCACAATGAAGACGGGAATACATGCTGGACAATCAGGAGCGTTTAGTCGTTCTTAATCTCGACTCCGCTATCCTATCCAGTCAGATCTCACTTTGGTTGACGGCTTTGTTGACCGGAGAAAGCGTCTAATTCAGTTGAAAAGTGCTCACGAGAGACACGGACGGAAGAAACTAGAGCCAGAGTGGTGGTGGCACATTTTATTTATACAATGCGTTGCTCCAGTCTGGATTGACGCGCGAAGTGAACACGGCTGTGGAGTTTTCCCAGCCTGGCTGCCCAGGTATTAACGACCCTCGTCCCAAAGATCCACGCCCATTCTCTGCTTCAACCCACGTGACAGGATTGACCTGGCCGCGGGAGACGCTGTGCTGTTACTACCCGAGCCAGTCCACTTATCCACGATCTCGGTAACCTTGCCATCCGCACAGCTCGCAGGCACGGTGTACGAACGGGGCGCGGCACCTCTGTTGCCACCGTCCCATTGTGGTATTCCGGAACCGTCCATCTTGAGATACTGGTATGAGAACTGCTTCCCGGCAGGTAGCTCGAAGGTGAGGGTCCAAAGGGGGTCATCGCTAGAATAGAAATAAGATCCCAGAGTGACAGCTTGGTGTCGGTCATTAGAGCCGAACTGAGGGATGTCGCCAAGGCTGTGATAAGACGGTGGTTAGCAGAGCATTCTATGCGCTGCCAAAAAGAAAACCCCAAAAAAGAAGAAAGAAAATTAGAATATAGCAGGAAGAAGATGAAGGCTCACATTTGGACGTTTTGCCCGAACGCAGTGGTAGTAGAAATGTTGAATCTGACCAGGCACGTCTCGCTGTCGCCATAGGTAGGATCCTGGGGTAACGAGCACAACCCTGAGCTGAGGGCATCCGTTGCAGGGTAAATCGCCCGCGGTGCCCATCCCATCTCGAACGAAACAGCACCTTTGCGGTCTGCAACGAAGCTCTCGCAGCTGAGCAGGTCGACGTATACACCGCCGGGCGTGTAGTGTGTGGCACTGCGAGGGAGCACGACATCCAGCTTTTGCCCGCCGACGCCCACGTTGGTCAGGACAGTGACGAGGGAGCCCTTCTTGATGGCGAAATGGTGGTTTGTCAAGGGTATTGTTGGCGACGATGTCGTGCTGTTACTGGTACCGTTGCCCCCGCCGCCGTTGTTGCCCGCAGGTGGTGCCTGTGGCGGCCAGACGATGTCTGCCTGTGAGGAGACAAATCTCGGGTCTGTATCGATAGCAAGTGCCCGGGCGGCGTTGAGCTTCGCGATCCAACGGTACAGCTCGGAGTCCTCATTGTAGCCGGAGGTCCACAGCCGTTCACGGTTGAACGGGTCGTTCTGTCCCGAGAAGTGTTGCTCCTGGCCTTGGTAGATGATCGGTATTCCGTCAAACAGGAGGGTGAATGCCAGTGCATTCTTGGTCAGGGCCATGTCGCCTACGAGAGATGCAAAACGTTGTTCTGAAAAACTCTGTTAGCATGCCGATCTCATGGTACTCTAGTGAGGGCTATGGGGAACATGAAAGGGAAAGTTTATGTCCAATATCGAAACAGACGATGAGTTCGCAATAGAAACATATGTAGGTACATGGCCACTTACCGTCGTGGTTCTCAAAGAACGGCGCAAGCAGATTTGTGTTGACTATTGAAGATTTCGGAGGTCAGTCAAGACGTTCACAATTATAGGCCCAAGCTGATACTAATCCAGCCGTATTGTACTTACTTGGTCCATCCCGCATTGTCTTGATGCCCTGGACGAGCTCGGTCATCCATGTCTGCGGGTTTTGAAATATCCGCCTAATCCAATAGAAGCTGCAACATAATTGGAATTAGATATATGCCTATTCGAATAGGGAGCGTGCAGATTCGACCCTGAATTTCCGAGCAAAGCTTACGTGGGGTAGTTCAAAACGCCTTCGTCCTTGCTGGGAATCAGCTCGTCGTTGTAGTTCTTCGGGTCACCGTCGAGATATTCGGCCACGCTGAAGACGCCGGCAGCATCGATGAAATCCGGCCAGAAGTCCCGCTCCACATGCTTGTATGTATCGAGGCGGAGACCATCAACATGGTACTTCTGAACCGTATCTCTGATCCAGTCCTGGAATATGTCTCGGACCACGGGATCATCAGTCTTGATATCGGGCAGAGTGAACACCGCCGTGGATTTGTCGTCTCTGAGCTGGCACACCTCGACAGATGTCTCATTGGAGTTGTCCATTACGCATGGGCGGTGAAAATACCTGCTAGAGTCGAACGGAGTAAACATGCTGTAATTTGTCGCGTTTTGTGGGCCGGGTGAGAAGACGTGGTTGACGACAATGTCGAACATGAGGTACTTCCAAGAGTCAGACTTCCATTTAAGTCCCATTGAGAGTGATACTTATCCACATACCATTCCCCGAGCGTGAAGTGCATCGGAAAGCCCAATTAGATCTTCTTCGGTACCAAAGTGGTGGTTGAGACCGTAGAAATTGCGCGGCCAATATCCATGGTATGAGTATTCCGTCGACGCGTTCTCCGTGTTCTCTATTACGGGTGAGATCCAGATTGCAGTGAAGCCCATCCCTTGAATGTAATCCAGCTTGTCGATGATGCCCTGCCATGATCCCCCGCAGTACTGTTTTGGTGATGGACAGTCCGCATCTGAGTCCGGGGGGCTGATGATACCGAGCCCGCTGTCGTCGGAAGGGGCCCTAGCGAAGCGATCGGTGACGACCTGGTAGATGGTCTGTTTCTGCCATTCCTCCGCGTTCAGGGCGTCGACGCCAGCCACTGCGGCGCAGATTAAAGGGGCCACGGCCCCAAGGAAGTTTCGCATAGCACAAATTGGAAAGAACGAGTGTCTTGATTTTATTATACAAAGTGATTGTAGGACGCCCGAAGGCTGTGTGAATAGATGCTAAAGGAGCGGACGTCGTCGATACAGACGAACGGGCAAGTTTGAGTAGAAGATTCCGAACGTACCGTCTGTTGGGAACGAGGCGCAAAGTGAATCTAAATATAAAGGTTCACCCTTCATGTTAATTTCAGGAACAATAAGCTTTCCCTGGTAGCATTGGGCCTGACTCGGCCTCGCGGACCTGTTTTGGTACACTAAGCCTTATGCGTGGCACTTGTTTTGGCCCATTCACAGGCCCGGCTTGCTGTATCTAAGACAGTTTTGGGTTTACAAACGAGATATTCAGCGCAACTAGGGAGCCACTACATGAATTAACTTAGATCTGCATCGCCCTAGATGACAGCCCTTGCCAATGTTGAGCTTAATTGGCGGCCTGCAGCCGGTGAGTGAGTACGAAACTCAGGCGCCAGTGGTGGCTGCTTGTTTGTCTCTTCAAGGGTATTGCCGGGACAGGGAGATGGAATTAGCCTCGAAGGTTTATCGTCGTAGAGCATAATTCCTTGGCTCCCGGGGCGGAGATTCGAATCAGCCCAGTCCTTCAAGCTCACCAAGCCCCACCACACCCGATCCTGATGTGCTGCAAGCTCGGCGCCATCCGGTAGCACAGATTTATTTTCTGGGAGCTAGGGTCATTCCACCCAGACACGGGCCAGAATTCGGGGCCGTCGTATGGATACGAAGATCCGCGCACATAGCTTGGAAGTCAGACACTTCTGCCATACCCGGAATGGTGCGCGACTGTCGATATTGACCCAAGAGCTCAACGCACAATTACAGAACCAGCCAAATTAAGTGATAAACTCAAATCAGCTGGGAAGGAAGATCCATGACAAAGATCACGGGATCAACAATAGCGATGACCTCTAGGTAGCAGGCTATTTTCAAGGCCATCTCAGTTCTCGCCTCTTCACCGGACTTTCGTGAGTCGCGGTTTGGTTGTTCCTCGAACCATCAGTCCACTTGATGACTTCGCCTGAATGCCCAAGACATTCACGCACCAAAGAATGAGGCCGTCTTCGACTTTGGTATAGGTCTATCGGAATCGCGGTGTGCCTAACCTCTTTTCGTACGCAGATTGCTAGTCGAGCCTCTGCGGACTGAGGCATATGTGTATTGGTGGCTTGGACCATATGTTGTAAGGTTTCTGGTTTTCCATCCAGTCCAGACTCGAGTCACTTAGTGACAATCCAAGTTGAAAAGAATTCGAGCCAGAACCAGGCGCATCTCAATATAGGCCAGCTGGTTGAGATTGTGACCCTCCCGGTACTTTGTCGAGATAGGATGACTCACGATCTGCTAACACAACTCCGTTTGCCCACATTGAACGTCTCCAGTACTTATCGCTCATCGTCTACCCGTGGGTCTCGGTTCTTCTCTTCCACTGCTGGCGCAGGGGGGCTTAGGGGGGCAACTGATGGTCTGACTCCAATCTTGGGTCGCCCACTGGCAGGAAGTGCTCTGGACAGAAACTTGTGGGGTCCGTAAAGTAAGCCGGATTGTGGTAAAGAGCTTGATGCCATACGGCGACATGGGTCTGCATTGTAAGCTTGAAATTTTTGAACTGGTTTCGCTTCAATTCCGCATACGATCGAAGACATACATGGCGCCTTCATACAGTAATGAGGAGTGAAGACTTAGCAATTGAAAAACATGTAGGGTCGATGACAGTGGTGAAAATATAATAGGTGTTAAATACATAAAAAAGAAAGAAAAAGAGAGAGGAAGGGAGGGGAAGACGGAGGGAGGGTAGGAGGACTGGTTTAGGATTAGATTAGAGCAGTTATTGTCGTAAAAAACACTAGGTCCCAAGTCAAAATTACACCTGGGGTGGGGAGTCAGTGCAATGACCAAAAACGTGATGTGGCACTCATTCAGCTATGACATGCTGTAGATGTAACCGAGAGATCCTTCATAAGGCGGGGATGTACAGCTTACGTTAGATAGGTTCCCTACATCTCTCCACGCCCGCGCATTTGACCTAGGATTCTTCTTTTTTTAAAAAATTTCATCACCGCAGTGAATACGGCGGAGCTCGATACATCACCTTATAATGAAGTTCTCCGGCATGCGCTCTAGGCTAGCAGCCCGCTTGAAATCGGGCAAGCGATCCGGGGACACTGGCGATACGGACCAAGCTTTCGAAGGTATAGCATCGACAAGTCGACAACAGAAGGAATCCGCCTTTATGCGAATGCCTCCAGAGATACGGTATCTTATCTTGGAGAACTTGTGGAACGATGCCGGGGCTGTGCAACACATTATACTCGAAAACGGCCGTTACACCTCAAAGAAGTGTGTAACGAATCACTCGGCGCCGGGAGATCTGATGCAGGAATGCGCTGAACATCAGTCGACTCGATTCGAAGATGAGGCTCTCTGGAGCAGGATGACTTCGGCCTGGGGCAACCATTGGAAATGCGAAGAGTTCCACCGGGAAGGAGAGCCGAAGGGGTGGAACCCGTTTCTCGCCATGATGCTTGTCTGCAAGCAAATGCAAGTACCGCTTGATTTGATCATCATAGCAGCATTTGAAGGTCCGAGTCTAAGTTCTTTGCAGGTATATCGAATCCCGCACTTCTGTATACAGTCAGCTCACCCTTGTAATCCACGATATCGAGACGCTGTACAGTTTTACCGTATCCCAGCGTCTGCCTATTATCAACCATATTCGGAATTTGAAGATAGCGATGCGTCTTCCCGTACGCCGGGAGTCGAAGTCGAAAATGAGCCCCGAGGCAATCTCCACCATGTCCCGCTGGCGCGACTCCTGTCAGGCCATGGATCGGCTGCAAAACCTGGCTGCGGTAGACCTGTGGCTGGACACGGCCGAGCCTGCCTGGCGAGCCGTATTGAGCGAGATACCGGGACCGAATGCGAACCCATTTGTCTTTGGTTGCCGGCTAGCTAGCGTTCTGACCGTTGATCTGCCCGTGAATCCCGAGAGACCTGAGGCGTGGCAGCAGGTAGCCAAGGTTGAGCCACGGTTTTCTATTCGAGCACGTGGATGGCCCGTATTTAGGGCGCAGACCGAGGCAACCAGAGCAGCTTACTCCATCATCAAGCTTTGGGACAGTGCAGAGCCAGGTACTCCGCAGCCTCCGCTGGTATTTGGTACCCATATGTAAGTGAATCTGGGAGTCGTTTGCCATCGCTTCTGGTGCATTTCGTACTCGAAAAAAAAAGTCTCCTGGTCAAACTCTCTATTCAACTCTGGGGGCAAACTCGGCTCCCATAAACGAGTAAGAAGGATCCACAACGTGACTAATTCTTTCTACTATAGTGCACATCGACGTCCTCGCTAAGTGTCGGCTGTAAGGCCAAATAGATGTGGCAGCTTGCTGGGATATTTGGGATTGATTGTCCGTTTTTTTGTTCTGAAACGGGCAACATTATTAGTCGAGCTTCACTAACACGATGCTGTGAGTGCTTGTTTTCAAGTTTTCTTGGTATGGCTAGAGTTCCTACGCTACTAAGTTCAGTGAAATGCGTTGAAGCTCGGGACATAAATCGTACTCAGTCTTGCCAGGACGTCTTCAGCTGGTTTTCTCAGCTTTGAACTCGTACTGCAAACAACCGTAATCAATATAACCACCAACTCCCCCATTGTCGCATTGGGTGTAATCAGCAATCAAGATGTCCTGACACTTGGTATGCCCAGCGTTCTCCTCGTTTAGAGGGTTCGAGGCATACACCTCCGTTTGCCCCGTCTGAAGCTCGCACCCATCCTTCCAGATGACATTGTACTGATATGGAGCGCCGTTGGTCACGGTGCTCCAATGGATAAAGGTCGAAGAATCCCCGGCCTTGATTGTTTGTCGCGCGGTGCCAGCGCACGCGAAGCCTGAATAGTACTGCACCCAGGACTTGTGGATGTCGGCGTGGCTGCCAAAGTCGTCCCGGCCGTAGCATTGTTGGCTCCCCATCGTCAGGGGGGTCTTGGGCGTGGAAGGCGGCGTGTCGGCGTCCGGGTCATTGATCTTGTACTTGGCCGTCCCGCAGTCGAGGTCTATCTCTCCCGTCGTGAAGGCGGTATGGGAGTCGGAGGTGCCTGCGATTATGTGTCAGTGAGATAGCCTTGATGCCGTGATGGCTGCGATTTACTCACATGACGCGAATTTCCCAAACACATTGATGCACCTATAGGCTGTGCACTCGTCACTTCTACTTACGTCGAGGGTGAAGTCGAACGACCAGCCTTCGAAGGAGCTGATGCCCAGATCCGAAGTCTTTACTGTCTGGCTTAGGGGGTCTGCCAGCTCATCTTTGCCGTCGCAAAAATTGTCAATGGCTCTGTGGCTCGTTAGAAATGCATAAAGAAAGCATTGCAGATGGAAGAACACATACTGTTGAAACACACTTGTCTCCATGTTGACAAGGTTGGGGCTTTGTGATGTACCGCCATCACACTTGGGATCGGGAACCGGCTGGGGGTCACTTTGGTCAGGTCCGAAAATCCACGAGTAGATCAGATCTTCAACAGCATCGTAGTCTACACCCTGCGCAGTCCAGAAGTTGTCATCTCCGGACTGCTGAGAGGAAGGATTACAGTTGCAGCCTTTCCACTCATTGCCACACTGGCCGAACCTGTTGCCCTTGCAGCGGACCCCCGAGCACGCCGGCGTAGCCGTTGGACATGAAGCCGGTTGTGTGGTACTGGGTCTTGGTTGTGAGTTGAAGATGGGCATGGGCTGGGGATCCGCCTTGAGCTTCCAGAGGTCCTCCAAGATATTGGCGGCACTAAGGAGGAAGGCGAGCGAGCCAAGAACGCCGAGCACTGCGCTACCGACGGAAGCGAGGATCTCGCCTGCGCTCGCGACTTCGACGACTTCGTACTCGGTCACTTGGATGATTTCGAAGACGATGTCTTCATCCGCAAATGTCATCATCTGGTCACTCTCGGCCAGGGCGACGGCGTCATTCCCAGTGGCTGTGGCCACGTCCTCGTTGAGGCGCACCATTTGCCGTGCAACATCAGGGTCTTCACGGAGGAGCTGGTTGAGGCGACTGGTGCGTAGCCTGACACATTCAGCGGTAGGAGGAGCCCGCCGCATGACCTGCGTCTGGTTACCGCCGAGTCCATGTTCAAATTCCAGGTCTCGACGCTTCGCTGCTGCGCAGGAGGGTAGTTGGGAAGAGATTGAGGCCAGTTTGGTTTTGAGCCATTGGCTGAGTGTAATTTCTACTTTGCCGCTGTTCACGCCCACCAGGAAGGCTTTGGGGATGGTTGTGGGCGTGCCTTGCCCATCTACACCCGTGGTAGTGATAGTTGCGGTGCCAAAATCTGTTGTGGTAGCATGCCACTGATTCACGTTAGCTGTCAGAACGTTGGAAGATAAATCATAGCTTCAAGGTGACGAAACAAGAAACAGTAGATGATTGACTTACTGATGTAGTAGTGCTGCCGTCTGTGACAATTTCTGTAAGGTATTCTGTATCAACGCCAATGGGCGCGATTCTGTAGCGGCATTAGTATAACTGTTCAGGTTTGAGAACTCGACTATCCCAATACTCACATATCTGACTCAGGAGGAACGTCCACTGGATTGATGCCAATTTGTCCAGCTTCAGTGGGTATTATGGCCCCAATATGAACACCATCAGGGAGCTTAGCAGTGCGTGAAGGCGCTTCCCCATGAGCGAACGAAACCAAAGAAATGGCTAATATGATAGGGAATTTTGAATACATGATGGGGGATGCGACAAACCCCTTCGATGACAGTCCCTTTGCTTCAAACTAAGAGTGAACTGTCAGTGCTCTTGCCAATTTGCAAGTAATTTTCAATGGCGCAGCGGGAGCCTGCGCTGTTTTGTAATCGGGGCCGCCATCATGCGTGTAAACATTGAAGGTTCTGCCAATATCCCCGTAGCTTGCCCATCGTTTCCACGTCGCAAGTAGGATAACGTGCTTCAATCTACGGCTTTCTCTTAACCCTCTGCTGGTGTGATGGACTCTGCATGTGAAGATGCCGGGAGAAAAGGGTGTGTATGGATAATTTGGAGTTTGGGGGCTTGTAGACGGCATGTACAGGTACAATGGATCATAAATGTGGCCGGAAAATCAGGTGATACTCGGTGCAAATCCTGTCAGAGCCGACGCTTATATGCATTGCCGTTTCTAGAAGTCATCAAGTGTATCAGGTGTGCATGTTGTGTCAGCAGGTAAAGGTGTGTGTCGCCATCTTACACAGTGCGCAACTTCGACTCCAACAATCTCGGCCTTCATCCCAACACATGACGCAGAAGGACCTAACCAGGATACATTGGTGGACTCAATGGTAAAAATGAAGAATACCTTCCGAGAAGACTGAGACTTGCTTGCTATATAGGCGCAGATACCACAAATTGTAGCAATGGGCCATTAGACCCTCCTTCATGGAGGATAGGTATCCCTGAGATGCAGCTTTACTGGATCAAGATGATGTTTTTCAGAAAACTCATTTTCTTTTGTTTCCTCCGGGTTGTGTTCGGGATGCATCGCTATGTGATTGATAGCAGGAGTTGCGCTCGTGAGTACCCTGGACCGGGGCCGCCGTGATGATCCCTACCTGAAATATATGCCCCCAAGCGGCCGGCTACGTCTTCTTTTCTCTAACATCAGTCCTAGCCGAGTCAACCAAACTAAGAATCCAGCTCTACATGGAGAGTGCCATTACTCGCTCAAATTCAGTCGCTAATCTAATTCAGCCTCTTGTCGACGCTGGAGACATCAACCCGATTCCTGACCGTATCAAAAACCAAGCACAAATGTTGTTTGGCAAAAAGGACTTGGACACGTTTCGCAGTCTATCCGGTGAGCTCACAAAGTTGGACTTGGATTATGCCAGTGAGAGAGCAGCTAACAAGGTCGCCTCCCGCGATTAGCAAAATTTGTAGCGGCTGGAACGTACCGGTTCCACGATGTTGACAACTGGTCGCAGGAATGGATAAACGAGAGAGACCAGTTGGACTTGGTAAGATCAATAATTCACATTTATATATACCCAAATATCATTGCTTTATACTAAAACATGCTTTTACCTTTTAGGAGGTTTTTTGTAGCGTCGACTACATTGAAGACGACTCCGCAAATCCGGAACCAAATATCAACTGGAAGGACACAGTTCAGATGCTGCCCATAGAAGATGGAGACGCCATATTGGACCTGAAGGTCAAAAGCGGTACCGTTGCCGTGACCAGTCCATCTAGAACTAAGCAGAATAATGGGAGGTGGCCCCCTGGATCGCCCGAGCTCATCACACTTCACCCGGACTACGTCACGACGTTTTTGCAAAAGAACGTCCTTTTCAACACTGACCGGATCAAAAAGGCTGATAAGAACAGTCTTGTGGATTTTATTGGACGCAAATTCAGGCTCGGGGCGACCGGTGCCGACATACTTGCCACGCCGGAGGGAACCATACTGCATGAGGTACGCGACACAGCCACTTACATGTCTTTTGTTGTGTTGCTTCAAACCCCGTTACAAATTTGCTGTATATGGGAACTTATCAATACTCAGATGATGCATTTAAAGTTTTGCGGCCTCGCGGACGACGTGGACGACGAGGACAGTTACGGCTGGGCCAACTGCGTCAGATTGAAGGACATAGACAACGCTGGTAAGATACTCCTTGCGGAACGAACAAGAGAAGAAGTGTCTTTTGTTCAATAAGGGCCGTGCTGACACATATGTAGAAAGTCTTATGTTTTTCGGGATTGCCTTTGATATGATTCAAAACCATCAATACGATATAAATGAGAAGGGCAAGCTAGTGAAGTTTACATAGGTACCTGACATTGCTTCTATTAAGAATCAGGCTGTTGAGGTTGTTATGTAACCGTTCGAAAGGTATGATATAAGTACAAATATAAACTTACAATATGTCTTTTTAACATGAGTTGATAATAAATAAACTCCCTGACTATCCTATGATATTGAACTATTAAAATTATAGATTTATATTAAAGCATTAATTGCGACATTATCAATATATCTATACTATTACTATTGAAATTAAAGCAAATATCTCAATATTACGGAGAAATATATTGTGTACTGTTGAATTCTTCTTTTTCTGGCTTGGAAATTGGCTTTTTGAATGTTGATTTCTTTGAAGGGGCAGGCGTTGTGTTAAGGCATGCATGCCTTGACCGCTGCCACCACTAATCGCCAGCAGGAGAGGTGCGTAAAATTTGAACTTCAAAAGAATGACCCAGATACGAAGGTCAAAGAAGAAGGCCTAAGGAGACACTCGGTCTTACATGTGTACCAGTCAGGCTCCCTAGGCTCAAAACCAAACCGTCAGCATTCGAACGGTGCTTGCTTCTAATCCATGTCGATTGGTCTAACAAATTGAAATGTTTGGAGCCTAAACCTTGAGTTCTCAAGAAATATATGTATCTTTACTCTGAGAATGCTTTAATTCTGATATGATTGTGCTGATGACCTAATACATTTGTGTTTCTTGCGCTTTGCGCGGTATGACGGCTCAGCGTGAGACCAGAAACCCAAGACACACCGAATTCGGCTGGACGAAGTCAACCATAGGCGTCGAAAGAAAACACCACCTTGCCAAACCCTCAAATAGCTTCGGAACAATACCATGGTGCGCAAAATTTGCTGTGACTCTTTATCCATCGCAACAATCGTCACCTAGATTAATGTCTTTCTTGAAACGTGCCGTGACAGCTTGAGCTATAGCCTCGTGGCCAGCCTGTTTGGGGTGAACGGGGCGCAAAGAAAGGCCAGACTGGCCGTTCTGGAAGGGACCGGTGTGGACTCTCTGCTCCGGCGCAATGACTTCGTTCCAGTCGTAGGTGAACATGCCAGACTGGTACCACATGTCAAACTCCTGGGCTGTTGGGGCTCGGACAGTGTAGGTCCCGTTGTCCAAGATGACACCTTCGGGTATAGCATTCCAGAGGAAGACCCTCGACCCTTGGTATTGGTCCCGCAGGCTGTGCTGGCACTCACAGAACCGTCCCCCGTCAAAGACGTGGCTGATGTCGATGTAGCCGATCCTCGTGTCGTTGAAGCCCTCTGCTAAAGTTTGGAGTTGGCTGTTCACAGCCCCGACAAGGCTGTTGAGCTCCTTACGGAGTTCCAAAGTAAGCTTCTGGCGAGAATCCTGCCTCCACGGGACCACAAAGCTCTCCGTGTTGCACCAGGTTGCCTCGTCGTCGTCAGCAAACAGCAACGAGTAGCCCAGGATGTAAAGATGAAAGTTCTGATTGTACCGCACGCCTGGAGAGTTCAGGATGTCCCATACAGCGTCCAGAAAAGAGCCTCTTAGCCCCGTGTTGATGCGCATACGGGCGTCAACCATGGACCTGACACATTCGCCATTGGGATCCGGCCAGTCTGGCCCGTAGTTCTTGTTCTGCTCATGGAAGACGCAGTTGTTGACGACGTTCCAGAAGCCGACATCGCCACCTCCGGCTTGCATTGTAACGATATCCGCTTCGCCGGCTCGGTCCATTTGCACGTAGCCCATGTAGGCAACATCAGCCATGGTGGAAAGATTCGCCCCAGAACACGCCGAGAAGCGGAAGTCGGTCTGCTTGCCCGTCGGCACCCAGGTTTTGTTTTCATTGACTAAAACGGGCCATGCATTGTTAATTCGGAGACATTGGTCCTTGTTTCCGTCGTAATCAGTTCGTCCGAATATGTCATAACTGACGCCGCTCTATAGCTGGATGGTCAGGGACTTTGACACATGGTACCTAGGTATTCATTCAATTGGGAGGTACTTACAGCCCACGAGTCGCCAATGGCTGCCCAGACAAGCTTGTCTTGCGATGGGACCAGGTCTTCTTCAGGAACCTGCGAAAAGACTGGCGCGAGCTGAGTTGCCAATGCCAGTAAACAAGCCTGGTAAAATGAAGGCATTGCGATAGCAGCCTGACAAGTCTAGAAGCTGTAGAAATGGGGGATTGCAATTGACTGTGTTTTGTCTCAACACACTGCCTTTACTATACACAGACGTCCTCAAATGTAAGTTTTATTCATCTGCGCTGTGTTTGCCTTGTTCTGTCCCGTACAGTGCGAGTTCATATCAAAAGGCGCCGCCTCAAGGTCATGAGACTCTTGAAGTTTTCGAGCTGCCATGAAAAACTTGGATATTCAATCCTAGTAGTTGACTCTTTTCATGAAGGAACGCCGCGATGCTGACCAGCCTGTCTACCCAGACTTAACACAAGCTATAGCTGCTCCAACTTCAGCTACCCCAACGAGCTCCAATTTCCCCCATGCTGCTGAGTTGGAGGGTTGCATGTTTGTTTAGGCCTTGGATAGGCGAGTGTATCGCTTGTAGTGGTACAAGGTGGTGTCGTGAAACGATACATGCAGCAACCCGCAACCGACGTGGATACGCTGAATCCTTTCGCTTAATCAGTGACAGCTGCCCCTTACAGCTAACTGAGCGGGGGCATCGTCCCGGCCCGCCGTTCGGCACGTGGACGCACAGCTCGGACTTCTGCCTGCTGCAGGATTACCCACATCCCGATCTCACATAAGAATACGCAACATCCATAACTCTAAACAGTGGGCCATTAATTTGTAAGCCTTGCCAACCAGAGCCCAAGACATCTACCTCAGCCTCATGCAGTCATATAGCTACCGGTCACAGCTGACAGTGATTGGGGCCCAGGTGACAGGCTCTAGATTCGGAAGCGTGCAACCCGGCAATATCTTCGACAGACAGCAGCCACACACAGCAGCCACATTGGATTAGACGAAAGTCCGATGCCAATACTTTCTACGATATACCACCCTTCTCGGTTTTTTCACACCGCCTTCGGCTGGACTTTACCCAACGTCACCACGCCCACGAATTGACAAGTTCCTAACTAAAGAACTTCATCGGATGTTGTGATATTTCAGTAGGATCTAATCCCAGTTAATTGATAACTCGTGACTATATCATCGGGAATAAGAGCATTGTCACCTCAAGTATCCTGCAAGTAGAGCACCATCTCTAGAGTCTTTCATGTTCGCTGGAATCAGGATCTGGAGATTCTGACAGCCTCGGAACCACTTAATGGGTCACATGCTGGATAATTCACCTCAACCCGCCTCGATGTGCACTTTGGGGCGCGTAACAGGCTTGACTAAAGACTAGTCTCTGCTCTCATCTTGGCTTCGAGCATCAATGATCGGTGTCCCTTGTCTCATTTGACGATTGTTTGACCGAGAAGCTAGTAGCCTTGGGATTTCCGCCCAGAGCATTTAATTCTGTTTGTTGTCTCTCCAAGTCCTTCACTCCATCAGCTTCATTCCGGGTAGTTTCCTTTTACCGAAACAGCCATGTCTTCGTCGTCGTATCCTTGGGCTTGTCGCCACCAAGACTCAATGGCCTCCGTGACAGCTGCACAGGAGTCCTCGGATGCCAGCTCCAGGGCTGTACTATTTGAAATCGTAGGCACTCTTCAACGTCTAGAGTCCACCATCCAAGCCCAACATGACCGGTTGAGCTTCTTCGAATCATCCATTCGAGCCGAGAGCGTGACAACTGCCTCGCCAACCATGAGTAAAAGGTCATTCGACTCCCAGCGGTCACAGAAAGAATCTGTTTCGACTACGCCGCCATTGTCTCCCGCTGGAGAGCGTGAAGGAAGCCCTTTCATGGTGCAGAGGAAGTTCGAGTTCGAGTTTGAGGATGGAGGCCACGACAGCGAATTACGTCCTGGCATGCAAGTATCATCCTCAAATCAGTTTATTGGCCCCAAATTAATCATGTCTTCTAGATCATCATGTCCCAACTCCAAAGATGAAGTAGAGGTCGAGGAAGAACCAAACGTTGTGCATGCCGGCTACGCATACTCGGCATCCAACTACTCCCTTCCACTCTCCCAGATTCTTCTCGGGGCGGCGTCAATGATGAATATCCCCCGCATTCCAAGCCGGTCTCCATTACGGCCCGTGAGTATGGACAACGATGATATCGATCCAATTCCCTTGTCAGGGCCCTCGAGCGGTGATCGGAAAGATAAGACGGCCGCCACTGATTTTTATCAGCTCAACCCAGAACACACATTTGATTGCCGCCCCGTCACCGTCCTTTCGGTGGAGAGTTCTCGTCGCACTAGAAGGAAGAGAGATTGCATAGTTCTCACGCTGGAGAAGTCATTTGGTCTCTATGATAAGTGTATTACAAGCGTCATGTCGTTCTCTATCAAAACACCAACGCTGCATGTAATTGGGAAAGCCACAAATAAGCTCGCCAATGGCTGGAGAGCCTTTGAGACGGATCTGAAGGTGTATGTGTATCGAAAGCGACCGTATCAGGTAGCTTAGGAGACTGGTGGAAAGTCTGGACGCAAGCTAGCTCGACAGGAGAAAGTGCTTGGTATTTCTTTTGTAGTGTTTGCCTTGATTATAAGCTTCAGTCTGCAGTAAATTGAACTTCCTTTCAAATAACTGACAGAGATACCCAAGAAGATCAATCACATCCATTTGTCTCACCTCGTCACTTTTAGAAGAGATACCTTTCAAATCTGAAGCTCGTATATGCTAAGCCATTCAAGTGTCAATAGAACGAGCGAAGCCTTCACATGCCGTTGTAGTTCCAACTAACATAGCTCGCCGAACGCGTACGGCACCTATGATGCCCGACCCTCTTTGAATTGGTCAATCAGGGACAAAAGATTGCTTTCCAACTGCACACCCTTAGGAAGAAGCAAAGCCCGAACTAGAACCTCGAATGAGACCTGCAGGACGGGCACCAGGGTAGGCATTCCGTGTCAGCACGGCGGCCCTGCATGGTACCGATGGGTACAAAACAGATACAAATGCGATGTCAGAATGCAGTTTTGTAGAGGTGTGGTGGGGAAGCTTCCCCAACTTCTCCAAGTCGTGAGCTCCTATCCCGATGTAAGCCACCAACAACAGGGTTCCACAACTCCGAGCCTCACATGGCAACCCGACCTTCAACACCACCGGTGAAATAGAAGGAAAAGTCTTGCTGTCAGAAGACGAATTTTCAAGTTTGCTTACAGTCTTAGTGCCAGCTTTGTAATATGAGAGTTCAGCTTAACTAGCTGTTCAGCCAACTACAGAGTGTCATTGGCCATTTTCAAGGCCGAGCCTCGAGCCTCGTGATAGCTTCCATTTTTCTATGAGGGCTCTTATCTTCAACTAGCAGACTAGTCTCATCGACCGATTGATCCTTCTCAAAGCCTACCTAGCTGGAGACCTCGTGATAGATTTCTGCGAGGTCCTTCTTGCTCGGTAAGCGTAAGGGTGTCATTGATCCTTCCCAAGGTCACGATGTGATCAGTTGAGACTTGTGTGATAGCTTTCCGAAGGACTTTTCACCACATGACGAGTTCTTGGATCATCTTGAAGAACTTGTGATGATCTTTCAGGGATGTAATCAAGGATTGTCCTCGTCCCCAATTGGAACCCTAGGGAATGTCGTGATGACGGATATACTGAGCTCCTGACAGCTATGGCGACCTTACTTGCTCTGCTGAAACTCGGCCAAATACTACTACTTGTCTGCTGTTCCCTCGGCCAGATCTCTCATTTTCCATTCTCATCCTTTCCTCGTTACTGCCAAGCCACCTTCTTCAAGCATAGCGAACGCAATGGCTATTTTCAAGCTTTTCTCCGTTGGAGTCCTCTCCGCTGCCGTCATCACAAAGGTTCAAGCCAACGGCACCAAAGATGGATGTACCTTCTCTCTGTCCGCCTCTGGCGGAATTGAGTGTCCAGCTGGCCAGCTTGACGATGGCCAGATCCGCCTCAACGGCAGCTATCCCACTGCCGAGTTCACAATCCGTGGCGATAAGATTTGGGACTCAGTTGGGCGCGGATGCATCGTCACTCGTAAGGAATTTCCCTCGTCAAATTTCCTCAGAAGTCTCATTGACACTTCGGTTTAGCTGCACCCATCACGCAGGTTCAATGCGACTTGAACGCGGAACCAGCGCCGGGGTTCTCCATCGACAGCTCCAACAAGCTGCTCTACCAGGGCTCATCAGAGTTCTACGCCTGTCCGGCCACGGATACTGAGTACAATGTCTACATCAAGCCTGATTTTGGCCAGACTAAGTGCTTTGCCGTGACTCTGACAGCCAGCGGCTGCGGCTCGGCACCGCCGCCGCCGCCGCCACCAACTTCGGCTCCGACGTGTCCAAGTACTCAGCCTCCTTCTACTGTCACGGAGACGACTACCTGCACCGTCACTCAGGCGGTCACGGTTTCCGGAAACGCCTCAACCGTTTCTGTTACGGGGCCTGTTTCTACCGTCTCTGTTTCGGGTGTTGGCTCAACCACCACAGAGACGACAACTTGTACGGTGACTGACACGAGCACGGTCACCTCGATGGGCACCGTGACGAGCACGCTGCCCTGCAACTCTACCTCGATCTCCTCGACCAGCAAGATCTGCAACAAGTGTCAGAGCCACAATAGCACGACAACTCCATCTTGGACAACTTCAACTACGGTCTGCCACAAATGCATGGGCACAGGCACAGGCACTGGTGGGCCGTACCCGACCGGCGGCAACTCGACGTGGTCGTGGTCGATGCCCACGAGCATGACTACAAGTGGTTCGTCATCTTCATCCTCGTCCACGAGCATGACTACGAGTGAATCGTCATCCTCATCCTCGATGCTGTGGAAGTAATGTCAAGCGACCGTCTAATTGCGGTTCAATGCGCAATTCTTTGCGGTTATCGTAGGTAGAACTAGTGTTGCGTATTAGTAGTACTTGGTCTAGTGTCGACCGCATCAGAAACATTGCGTCTTGCTTGGCCTCTTTGGAAATTTAGCGGCTGCGAGAGTCACTCCAGGGGTGCAATCAAGTGGTAGTAGAGTTGGGTGGTTGATTAAGCTATGGAGTGTTATACTGAGGTCGTAGATGGGTCGTTGAGTGGCTGACTAAGCAGCGGACCAGTTTGTCCGCCAATTGTCTCCCACAGTGGCAATTCATAGGTATCTAGGACGTGAATCGAAAGTCTAGCCGTTTGTTTCCGGGATTCTGGTTTGACCCATGATTCTCTATATGTTTTTTTTATAATATTCTATCCCATATTCGCTATCGATTATTGGTTCGCTAAGTTTAGTCAGCCGTTGTCGAGAAATTAAAGACAGATATTGATGCCGATGACTGAAAGCATAACCGTGTTGCCTAGAGTCTACCGTGGATCATTATCTTTCTGGTAAATCCTATATGCAATAATGCTGCTACTATGAACCACAGGCACGAAGTGAGTTGAAAAGTACAGTTGATATCCGCGGGGAATGGTACTTAGGTATTCATTCAGTGGCATATAACCATATTTTGCAACATGTATCTTCTATGACCATCGTGGAACCGCACGTGCGTGTCAAAATGTTCTGCGTTGATGCTTGTCTGCGCATAATCCTGCAGCGTTTGCTCTTTTGCTCAATCAACACTCTGCGGTGGCTTATCCTTGATGCTAGTGGCAAATGGTGCTGCGGAAAACTCGACCTGCTCACTTGATATTCTACTGACCACCTCAACTCTGGACTCAAAATATCTGTCATTATTTCAATAATAAGCATAGTATACTTAAATCAAATTCGGATCCTTGAGATCCGCCATATGAATGCGAGGTTCCCCTTCTACATTTCCATCGGATAAATGAATCGCGATCTGTGTCGATCTTTTCTTCATTTTATCACAGGACCCATGCGAGGATGGAAAGACTTCATGTCCTGTTGTCTCTGCTCTTAGAATCCATGCCAAAGGTGATGCTTTCCAAACTGAACTCCCGGCCCCTTGCCTTTTCGTGGACCTGACAACCAGCAACAGGAGCAAAACAGTCAGAACAGTTAGTGCAGCTGGAAACGAGAGCCATGCCCACTCAACCTGGAGGCAGGTTGCATAATGATATACCTTCCCCTGTACGTCCCTTGAAAATTGCAAACTGTCTGGTACCTGCGGGGAACCGCCATGTTTGCGGATGTGAGTTGTGAAGGAATTGGATATATTCCCCACAATGCCCTGGATACGCTCGAAGCTCGTGTGGCCCCAATTGTACATCCCATGCATAATGACCGATCCTTCGAGACCCGTCAATTGAACCACAGCAATGTCTGCCAACTCAGAGCCAGTAGTGCCGGATCCTCTTGCCTCAAGCTTTCCTCCTAGATGCAGTGTTGCGACGTCTATGATTGAGTCCGCTGAAATGAGATATAGACAGCCGCTTTGTAGGAGGGACATAATCTCATCTGGGAGGTGAGTCTCGTCCATGAAATTCAGGTTGAAAGGTATTGAGAGGTTGTAATTATACGGAATCCATCGATTTCCGCTGCCAGGGTGAATCGCAGATGAACACTGAGTGTCGATCAATGAGAGGAACGCGAGCCCTCCGCGAGAGTCGTAGATTGTACCCCAGGTAGCATCGGCGGAGCTCTCGATCAGTTTCTCTTCAAGGATCCCTGCGGAAATGCTGGCACCGTAGATCTGTACACACGGTTTGATAGAACAAACGGCAGCACCATAACCTTGGCAGCGCCATGATGACTCTGACTTCGTCGTGTCACATGTTGAGTTTTCGGGGGTCCAGTCAATGCGTCCGCCGGCCGCAGCAGTGGCTCCAATGAGGAATCCAAAGATGAGGTCGCGTTTGTTGTCGAGATCTCCGATTTCCAATACGCTCATCGCGTTGGCAAGCAAGACCCTTCCAGGTCTTGCTCTTGGCACGGCCCCTCCCGTCGTTGATGGTGACAGTATCGTCATTTTGGTACCCAGTCTCATGTCTTCGTGGGCAGTGAGATTAGAATCGACGGAGAAGTTTGAGTCGGCGGGACAATCCGCCGGGGATGTCGGAGGGCTGCTTGCAAGGGGGCCAGCATCTGCGCAGCTGGCCGTGATGGTTACCTTGGCGGAGGCATCCTGGCAGGACGAGCAAAATCCAATGGTGCCATAAGGAGGGAATGTACAATTGCCCGTGAGGCATTGCCAAGGAGGAATCTGTCCTGGAGAGAAAACGGCATCGTATACGTTGGCCTCGAGGTCTTTCTCTGTCATCTCCAAGTCGCGTCTCCGCGGTGTGGGTGACCCTGTGCGATTGACATATCCGCTATATCCGTATCCGACGAAAAGATTTGCTCGCGGCAAGGATGCAGTCGCGTGGTCTCCGGATACCTCGACACTGCAATTGACAGGTCTTATAAGCTGCTGAACAAATGGGTCGACCGCGATGATAAGGACCATGATGATACACCCAAGTGAAGTGAGCGGCTGCCGGAACTTCTGATACCAAATCAGACTCAGCGCCCCATCTGCACCCCGTGTAGCACTGTCAAAGCAGACCATATCAGAGAGCGGGCGTATATCAGAGAACCATGCCCATTGCAGCTGCCCGATGCATGAGACAAGTACAAAGCCTACACAGGCCTTGAAAATTATAGAGTATACAGCGAGTAACGAGTTAAATGAAATTTTGAAAGGCCATTGTGGTAGTGGCTGATTGCGGGCATTGTAAGGATATAAAGTCGCGAAAGTGATGACCGGTGTGGCCAGAACTAAAAGGCAGGCAGCGAATTCCCATTCCCAGTTGGTCCAAATTCGCGACTTCCGTAACTCGCTGGGCCGGTCAGAGCTTTGAGAGACAGTCGACTGTGTTACATGCTCGCGGGTCAATTGGCTTTCTGATAGACAACTTGAAGGGGTTCGGCGCAAGAAGCTCGATTCTGGGGAAATCGCATCAGAAGATTGGAGGCTTGATGGCATTATGAAGGACAGCGCAAGAGCTTTTATGCTGTTAAAGAGACGAAACTTTCTTTCGACCACGGTTGAATAGAAACTTTGGAAAAGGGAAAAATGGAAGCAAGATCCACTGGTGCCTGAGCGAAAACCCCACTTCCGGCTCGGCGCCGTGTTGGGGGCCTCGTCAGTTTCAGAGGTGTCTGGCATTTTCAGCTCTATGTTGTGTGACGACTGTAACTACTCGAAATAGACCCCAACTCCCCGGCTGGAGGTCCCACTTGTTGGCGCAGGAGGTCATTCCTTCATCGGTTTGGGGGCTGTGTTACTTGAAATCTGCAATCTTCGCTGATCATTCGATGATTCAACCGTGCATCATGCTATTTACTCTGCCTCCCGTATCTGCCAGAATTCACCAGCATAGGACCTACTAGACGTGGCTGCGAGATGTGCAATAAGTATCCAAAACCTGCAAAGCTGACACAAGTTCTGCGATCACGGATGTATATCTCCCGGGCGTACATCACATTACATATATGAGTATCAGAAGCACTTAGGTACACCTGGGCAAGGGTCTAAGTTGTCATTGCTTGCGGGACCTTTGCCCTCTAGATAATGTGGATTGTATTCACTTGCTCCCTCTTAAAGGCCTCTCCAAACATCCAACCCAGAACATAGGTCGAGCATACTGCCATGTATTGAGTACCAAACCAGTCTGCATTTGCTGGATCCAGAGGTCGCAACACCATGGGGGCGGCCACGCCAGCTACGAGTGCGAGCCGGTCTCCGGGTATTACTGAGTCTGTGCCACAGCCGAGATATCCATCAGAGGTGATAAACCATCTCGAATCTCTGTCGCCCAGAATGTCGATTAGTTTTATGAAAAATTCAGCTAGGCTTTCCTCATAGAGCGAGTTCAATACATCCTGTGCAGCATCTAGAGTCATTGTAGGCGGTCGAGACTTTTCACTCTCATCTCCTCCCGTGAATATATCGTAGACTTTCCTAAAGCGCAATAAGTCGTAATCTGTGGCTTTGACGCGACTCTTTCTGCGTATCAAGAAGGTGTAGACAGCCGTAGCAGGATGTTCGGCCTGATCTCGCCACGTGCAACGGCAGTCTCTTCTGTTCACTTCACCGCAACGAGCTGCTTCGCAAGCAGGGCCGCGGCGTATCACTTGGTATCTCATGAAAACGAACTTCCGAAGTGCATCTACCCAACCCGAGAACATCTCGATGGATGCATAAGCAGCATCGTCTTTGCGCAACGAGCGCGAAACCTCAGGTAAAGTCACGTGCTGCAAATTTCCCATGCAGAATGCAACAGCCCCTTTCCAATGTCCCGAGACTAGAATTGCTTTTTGGTCGTTGCTGAAGCTATTGACGGGATGAATCCCCCTTTCTGTAGCCCAGTAGAACTCAGGGATACTAGAAGGGTCAAGATAGTTGAATTGCTTTGCCCTGAGTTTGCTCCAGTCAGGGACCCACGTTGGCGACAATTCTGCCCGTGTACTTGAAGCTTTCTCGTGGTGAACTCTATTGGCGTACATGATTAGGTTGATAGCGGAGGGCCGGAATTTCAACATGTCCAGACAAAGCTCATGAAAAATGCGCCCTTGCGCCTTGGTGTAGTCGAGTGCAGAGAGGTCGACGCCAAAGCCGCGAAGTATGCCATACAATGCATAAGACATATCCTTTGGCTCTTTCGCTTTCCGATAGCTGAGGTTCTCAATGACTGACGACATAAGTTGATCCTTGACGTGCTTTTCAGCTTCCCTGATGTCCAGATCCCGACTGTACCCTTCCGGGTTGTACGAGACAAGCTGCAGTGCAAGAAGCACACCGGGTGAGCCGAACAGGCAAGCAGTAACCACTGCGAATACTTTTGGAATACTTGAAAGCCCGGTATCCCCAATCTTGGTAGGATTGAAACCCACAACTGCAATGATAATGCAGCATACGAGTAAGTAAACGGCTATGTGTGTCGAAAACAGCCCAAGTTGTCGTAAGTGACGGTGCCACATATCGATGTAGGGCCGTTGGTCCAAAAGGATAGACCGATGATCAGGGACCCTGTCGACGTGCATCCAGAGGAAGAATAGTCGCTTCAGAGCAATGAAGCCACGTGGGACCCTGAACTCGCCCTCCCAAAAGTCCTCTTGGCACCCTATCGTTTGTCCTGAGGACTTTTCGTACAGAAGAATATCTTCCTTGTGGATGCGGTCGATGCTGTCCGAGTAGCCCACGCGGTTGTTCAGGAGGAAGTCTAAACACCGAAACCCCCTCACAAAAACGGTCCAATCCAACGTTGTCGGCCCACACAGCATGACCGGGTTGGTTGCGAGCACAAGCTCTTGAAACGTCCAGATTCTTGAAAACCAGGCTACGCTGAGAAGCTCTTCTAACTCGGCAAGCGGGTATGAAAGACGTAATGCGCTCAACTTCCACGCGTTGCGCATCAGCTTGATGGTCACGAGAGGCGGCAATACCTTGCATAAGAACTTCAGTCGCTGATAAGCACCACCAGTAGCGCTCTGGTCCAGAGGAAGATACATGAAAAGTTGCCGCGAATCGAAGATATTCCAGGGCTCGTCTCATGCCTGGTGTCTCGTGGCCGAGCCAAATGTAAACCTTATCGGCTCCCGAGTACACATCGCCCATGAGCGAGACTTGGTGATGTCGTTCGTCTTGGGAAGTCTGGTCGATACAGATTGAGTCCACCCATATCGTGGTGTTCCCATTCAAGCTTCGAATCTGCCTCAATGCATCCTCACAGTTCCTAGTAATGGGTAGATGACCCCACCCCAGGTTGATATTTGCCTCCTCCGTCGGCTCTGCATTACCCCAAACGTACGAGAGGGCCGTATAGTGAGGAGGGTTCTCCTTGTCCAGAGATGCGCACCGGAATGTACCCACGAGCGGGTCGTCGTGGTGTTGTGATGCCTGCAAGTCAAGAAGGCGTATCTCTGGCGATATCGTAGATATTGGGAATGTGCATGAGAGATATGAGCCCAGAGTGAGCTTCGGCGTTGGCAAAGAGAATGATGGACTGGCTCCTCCCGAAGTCGAAGTTGGTGGCGCGGCGTTGATGGTGACAACGTAGTCGTCATCCGCCATGCCTTTTGTGCATTCGGTCATGGTCAAGAAATAAGCGCGGCTGGGGACCTTGGGACGGACAGTCTCACGATACAATAGTATCTGAATACTGTGATCTTCTTCTCAGTGACCCTTCCAGATTCTTTCGTAGGAAAAGTTTAACGCCTCAGTAAGTGATCTGAGAGCCGCCACTGGCAGTTATTTATAAGTGACTTCGTTCTTGTTCCGCATACATCCCGAAAAGGTGCGAGGTGCCTTCACGCCATCATAAAAAAGCTGAAAGACATTTATTTATAAACCTTCCAGTTATCTGCAGTAACCACATATTGCTGTTGCAACGCTAAATTGCTATCAAAGGGGAATCGATGCAGCCTGTGTTTGTCGCCCTGAGACGGCACGCCTGTGATACCATAACCAGGTTTGATAAGGCTGCGCGTGTGAATAAAAGAAGATGAGTGGTCAGAAGCGAGTTACATTCTGTTCTGCCTTGGCACAAAATTCCTGTTTATAGAGGCGCAGTCCAATTTGTCTCGAACCGCCTTCTCTTTTGGTGCACATCACGTCGTGGTGGGAGGGGGCCAAAGAAGAAATTAGATCGACCGTATGCAGCAGAGCCAAAGACCAATCAAGTGGTGTAAGCGCCCCCAACACGGCACAACCTCCCGTTCTGCGTCGGCAGCTCTTCGTACCCCTCCGGCTTCCTGACCTCCCACTCGTCCCAGCCCGGACTCACCGCCGCCAAGAACAAGCTCCACGGATCCCTTGACTTCTTGATGGCCCCCAACCTATCGTACTTGTCCCCATAAAACGCCTGCTGCCAGTCAGGCTCTCCAGCATCGGCCTCGTTGATATAGCTGCCGGCCCCGGGCGACACATCAATGAAACCCTGGAAGTACCGCCGGAAGCGCGCATGATTCGCCACCATGCTCTCGAGCGGCGGCGTCGTCGACTCCGGGCCCTCCCACCCTTCACCATGCATTACCGTCCTTCGGAACGCCGGGTTGACGCCACTGTCGCTTCCGGGCCACCCAGCGCGCTCGCTCGTCGGCGCGTAGTTGATGCCGTGGAAGACGTAGCCACCCTCCTCGACGTAGGTCTGGATGACCTCGGTGGTCCTGTTCAGAAGCGCCGGGTCCACGAGGTTCTCCCGCGGGAACAGCCGTGTGGCCATGCGTTGCTGCTCGACAGGTCCGCCCGGCGGGGAGGTAGGGGGAGGGGGAGGTGTCGTGCCGTTGGGCCTGGGACCCCCGGACACCGACACGACCGGCGTGTTGAGATTGACGCCTACGGCCCGCAGGTCGGCGACTAATGCGTTCACGCGCGCCGTTGCGTCCGCAGAGCTCATGGCTGGGTAGCTGATGCTGGTTGTAAAGGTGAGGTTCCGGGGTACGTCGACGGTGGCGGCGGTGCCATTGAAGACCGGGGCGGGCCGGATGAAGTTGTATCCCTGGCCGCCGTCGTCCACCATGGCCGGGACAAATGCGAAGTAGGTGCGGATGCCACGCCAGAATGCGGCCGCGGAGGTTGCGGGGAGGCCGCTGCGCGGTGTTGTAGCGAAGGAGATGCTTGCGGATGCAATGCGGATCGGGGAATACACTTTGATGATGGCCGAGGTGACGACGCCATATGTGCCTTTGAGGTTTTTTGTCAGCAAGTACCTTCTCACCAGAGATATTCTGAACATAATCTGGGGTGTCATACCCGCGCCACCCCCTCGCATAGCGTAGAACAGATCAGTATTCTGGTCCGGATCCGCCGTCAGGAACCGGCCGTCGGCCGTGACGACCTGGATGGAGAGCACCTGGTCTGCGGCGAGCCCCAAGTACGACGTGTAGCTAGAGTGGCCGCCGGATGCGATGAAGGCCCCCAGAGCGCCGACTGTCGGGCAGCCTGGTGCGACCATGGAAATTCCGTATTGCGATTGATACGTCGTCAAGTCGAATCCCTGCAAGCCAGCACTCATCCTAGCGGCTTTGCCGGTGTAGGGCCCGATTGTGAAGCTCGGGATGAAGGAGAACTCTTTGAGGGCGTGGGTCCAGATGGAGAGGGCGCCGCCGCCCGTAGAGCGGCCAAGAAAGTCGTGGCCTGTGTTTCTAAATCAGTGTCAGTCCGACCTTATTTGTCTGTCTATCTGAGTAGTATGATTTGTCCATATTGTAACAAGTTGGCGAGTACTCGACATTTCTTAGAGCTGTCATCATGTTGAAAGTTCACTTACTTAATCACGAGACGTATGTTCGCATTGCGGGCGAAATTTATGGCCAGCTGAATGTGCCTCACCGTTGTTGCTTTGACAACGTAGGTCGGGAATCCGTCTAGTGTGCATGTGTCGTTAGGGTTGAAGGTTGGCGGACAGGTGTTGCCTTCGACCCATTGAGGGCCGATCGACACGGGATCGTCCATGCTGAATGCTTGTCAGTTTCTTGTAAGTTGGACATTCTTTCTGATTCCTCTCACTGGATGCGGGAGTCGGTCCATTGCTGTTGGATTCTAGCACAGCTCAGTGAATCATATTGCGGTCCGGCATAGCATGGTGCAGGAATCGGAGTTGGCCTTATCAGAGCACCTTCTAACGTTGTGTTGAAATCCTGCCATTGTAACTCCGAAGGCCAGCCTGAGTCTCCTGGGTAGATCTTGCATTCTGAGTCTGGGAGTTCCGGATTGAGGATGTTGCCAAAGGCGATGCTGGGGCTGTCAAGGACGTCATCGTCCGTCAATTGAATGGCTTCAAATGGGAAGTTGTATGAGACAGCAAGGGAGGCAAAGGCACTGAACAGCAATATGGATTGCGCCATTGTGATAATACTGATGGTTACAAGTTTTTACAATTTGGAAAGATCAAGCACAGCTGCTCGAATCTATCTTGAGTTTCCAAATATGCTGAACCCCATCACATATATACTTCACTGACACAATGGCGGGCTATAGGCCGACCAAGATTTGTATACATTTCAAATCGCAACGCGTAGAGTATAATGCCGAAAATACCACATCGTTCTTTTCTCCTGATCAGACTTATCATAAAAGCCGATGCACCACGATATTTACATCGGCGTACTATTGAATGCGAAAAGTCATGCGCCAGCTCTCCTCGAGGCTCAGCCAGTCCCTGTCCATATGCCAAGACCAAAGCTTTCAATATTTAGATGAAAAGAGTCATGATACTGCAGTGTAACGGGGTCTACAAATGAAGAAACTGGTTCGCTTCGACGAAGTCTGGCTTTTCGTTGCATTTAGCCGTGGAGAATCGGTGTCGGGGTTGCTTTATCATGCCTTTCCCCATGCAACGTGATTCTGAAATCCTGCGACCCAAACCAGGTAACATCGCACCCTGCTGTACCACCACGAGTTGTTGCAACCGGCTAGTGATGCCCTATTTGAAAGCAATTTATAATGATTAGAAAGGGTCCGTACCCGCAGAGTCGTGTATATTCAAAGACTAATCGACGGTAGACAGCGGTTACACACATCTGCTGAAGCAGTGTTGGAAGCTGATGTCTGCTGCCTGTCTCATTGCTGTTGGATCAGCCCTATTGATGTACAGGTCAAAAGTCACCTTATATCGTACCGGGGCTTCTGGGCACCCTATAATAGTTGCGCAGGTACTCAATAGTTGCGTTGTTTTTAAGCCTTATTTAGTGCGTAATGGTTGTATAGTGTATAATGGTTATTTAATTTAAGGTATAGAGGTTATATAATGAAATTTTAATAGATATAGTAGTATAAGTTTATTTAAGAATTATAAAGAGGTAAGTATAAAGAGGTAAGTATAAAGAGGTAAGTATGAAGAAGTAAGTAAGAAGAGGTAAGTAGATGCTATTAGGACTAGATGCTATTAGGATTAGATAGTAGATTAGATAGTAGTTAGGGAGAGGTTAAAATAGCCTTAAAAGTAAATTCCTTTTTAATTAAACTTTATATTAAAGTAAATAAATTACTTTATTAAAATATTATATAACTTTTATACTTAAAATAGCTTATTTATTATATAGACCTTTAATTATTATGTAGGATATAACTATTGTATAGGTATGTAATAGTTATAGGGTGCCTATGAGTCCTATTATGGTACTTTGGCTTAATGGGGGCCTCTCGACTTGGGATGTACACGATATTTGAATCGCTGCATTACATCCGCCAACCAACATACGGCTTGGGATTTAACGCGGGGCCTTAAGCGTTTACCACTGTATGAAGGCGCTACATACATTTTATTTGTATGGGGATTAAAAGCGAAACAACTCCACATTGCTACATCGAGGTGATTCGGCACTTACCACAATCTCTCAGTATCATGGAGTGTGAGTATACGGGAAAAGCAGAAATCAAATAGACTTTATAAACCTTCATATACGCTTTAGCCAGCATCAGCATCCTGTGAGAGCTCTGATACTTACACCTTAAGGGGTACAAGATCACCCCATCAGCGGCGATTATGCACAGAGTCTTTAAAAAACCGTAATTTATGCCAGAAGAGATTGGTAAAGGGCAGCATTGGCTAAACATATCGCTCACAACCTGTTGAAAAGGAACACAAATAGTTTCGTTACCTGTGAGCGAATGTGGCAAATTCTCCGCCAGTATCCATACCTTCCAATGTTTCTAACGGACAATGGAAAGCTATGCGGTGTTTCCTTAAAGGAGCTACGGTGATAAGGTATTTTCCTCCGCCACGGATAACTCGGTTATACGCCATATACCAGCTGACGATCAACCACCGACACTACGGCGCTCGGATTTCCGAGCGCCGCTCGCCGCTCTCATACTGTCAGCGCCAGTCTATATTATTCACAACTTGCGTTGTCAATCGTGTCGATAGGTGTGAATAACAACAAAATCATTCTTGAACTGCGTGCGAATATCTTGTCTCATATATCATCTACGTCTTCGATATCACGGACCTTTTGGTGGAGCTGGCGCGTGGTGACCAGAAGACTTCAGCCTTAGACTCGCCCATTTCCCCAAGAGTCGCCGAGCAAGCTCTTTCCTTTAATATTTTGACCCCATATCTAGGTATCAGAGACCTTCTTGTTCCACAGCCTGCTTCGTTTCATCCGCATATCGCCTCCTGGCAACACCCTTATCGTAGAGAAACTTTAGATACATATCTACTATTGGAATGAGCACAGCCATGCAGACCAACGCCAAACATCTTCCTCACCAAACCCAAAATGATAGGGAGACACCAAGAGCAGAGATAATGGGGAGCAGCGATCTTGAACAAAACAGAGGCCTGTACAACGAGACTAGCGAAGCCGACAAAGATCAGGGAGGAGATGTTTCTAATGATTCGAATGCATTCCTCGTCACTTTCAGCCCAGATGATATCCAAGATCCGCTCAACTGGTCGATGAAGCGGAAATGGAGTATCACAGCGGCTATTTCTGGCACGGGCTTCCTCCGCATCATGGTCTCGACGGTATGAGTACAGTCCACGTATCAAAGGCGTGGCCACAGCTTGGACATGTCGAATGCTTTGCTGACATAGTCGTCGCGCAGATGATGGCTCCTGCGATCGACACAATAGCGGAGGAGCTGAACATGTCAACCACAGAATCGACTATGGCATTGTCAGTGTACCTGCTCGCCACCGCGTTCGGCCCCATGGTCATCGGCCCTCTCTCCGAGGTTTACGGCCGGAGCTCCATCTTCCACTTCACAAACATCTGGTTCCTGGTCTGGAACCTCATCTGCGGCTTCGCCAACTCAAAGGGCCTCCTGATCGCCGCTCGCCTGCTTGCTGGCTTCGGCGCCAGCGCCGTGTACAGCATGGCATATGGCGTTCTTGGCGACGTGTGGTCGGCCAGGCAGAGAGGGAGGTCCCTGAGCCTCTACCTGCTCGTCCCGCTCACCGGCGCCGCCATCGGCCCCATTATCGGCGGCTTTATTGTGCGATATTCTACCTGGAGGTGGATGTTTTGGGCCACCACCATCCTGCAGGGCCTTTTGGAGCTATCCTCGCTGTGGCTGTTCCGCGAGAGCTACGCACCTGTGCTCCTCCGCCGGCGGGCTCAGGAGCTGCGCGCTGAGACAGGCGACTCCCGCTTCCACGCCGAGATCGAGATGCGCGAGTCCGGGCGCTCAGCCGCGTGCATAATCAGCCACAGTCTGTCGCGACCGATCCGCCTCCTCGCGTTTCACCCCATCATCCAGATCCAAGCCATACTCGAGGGCCTCAACTACGGCCTGCTGTACTTTGCACTGGCCAGTTTCTCCTCTCTGTACGTGTCGGCGTACGGCGAGTCAGCCGACATGTCGGGCCTGCACTACATCGCCATCTGCGCCGGCGAGATCTTGGGGTCGCAGCTGTGCGGGCCGCTGATGGATCTGGCCTACAGAAGGCTAACCTCGCGTACCGGAGAGGCATACGTGCCTGAGCTGCGCGTCCCGTTGATGATTCCGGGGGCCCTCTTCACGCCAGTTGGCTTCTTGGTCTATGGCTGGGCCGCGCAGCATCACCTTTTCTGGCTCGTCGTCGACGTCGGTGTCGCCCTGCTATCCCTCGGGATGCAAGTCTTCGACACCCCGCTCCATGCCTATGTCATGGACGCTTACCCGGAACACATCAGCTCGGCATCGGCTGCTACCCAGCTGCTGAGAAGCTTGTTGGCCTTTGCCTTTCCGCTCTTTTCACATAGTATGTACAAGGCAATGGGCTACGGGTGGGGCAATACCCTGTTGGCTTTCCTTTCTGTCGGTATCACGTTCCCGGCTATTGGCATTCTCTGGCGCTTCGGTGCCAAGTTGAGGGGCAAGCAGCAGGCAAGCTATTAGGTGGTCATATATAATTGGCCCAAATAGTATGTTACTGTGTTAAAGTCAAGGTGGTGTGAAGTTCCTGCTCGGTGTGAACCTCACTACGTACACTGGTACATGCCCCAAGGTGCGCAGTAATGCATTTCGCTCAAACTGAATCGGACGTCAAACTTTTTGCTTCGTGATATTTGCTTTCTCATGTTGAAACTTAGATGACCTTCTCACTGCTGTCCTTATATGCCCCTAGTTTGAACAGCCGCTTCGCATTTTCCCTGCCAATCTTAGCCTTGTCCGGAATGCTCATCTCTGCGTTATCAAACCAGGTGCAAGCCGGCTCGAACTTCTCGAAAGGATAGTCCACCGAGAACAGTATCCTGTCCGACCCGACCTCATTCATACAGAAGTTGAGCGTGGTGGAAGAAAAGTGGCCGCTCGTTGTGATCCAGATGTTGTCATTGAAGTACTCCCGGATGGTCTTCTTGCAGTCCAGGCCCAGCGGCTTCTTGACATCCTCGAACCAGTGGTTGATTCTCCACATGTCGAAGGGGATGTGCTCTCCCAGGTGGCCCAGGATGACTTGGAGTTTTGGGTGGCGGTCGAAAACTCCGTTAGTCACCATGCCCAGGACATGTAATGACACTCCCTGTGCAAACGAGAGTGGTGGACCGACAAGCCATTGGCGGTCTTTCCACAGCTTCTCAAAAACGCTTCCTGTGGGGTTGCGAGGATGGAGGTAGAATGGGACATCGAGCTCGGTGACAGTTTGCCAGAAGACGTCCCACTCGGGCTTATCGTAAAAGATCATGTCGTCCCCATCCTTGCCCGCTCTTTGGGTGTCATTCACCAGCGCGCCCTTGAAACCGTATTGGGTGACACAGCGGCGAAGCTCGGCAGCTGCCTCCTTGGGGTCATGCATTGATAGTGTCCTTTACGATCGATTATTAGTGAAACAATGTTACAGATACTATGTCGATGATGTGCACTTACGTGAATGCGCCCAAACGGTCCTCGTGGCCCTTAATCTGGCCCGCGACGTAGTCATTGATCTCGGTGGCCAAAGCCTGGGCCTCCTTAGGGTCGCTGACGTCTTGAACACCGGGAGCAGTGTACGAAAGTATCGTGTACCCAACTCCGTGCTTGTCAGCCTGCTTCAGGCGGATATCTGTGAGATCCATAATTTCTGAGAGGTGGCGATCTGGCTCTGGGCTGAAGAGACCAGCCCACCAACGGGCCTTCTCAGAGAAGCGTGGGAGGTCGAAGGCCTCTTCAAGAATGACTTTTCCGCGCATGGTCGCTCAATGAGGTAAGGCGTGCTTGGATGTGATTTGGGTGTATAATGTTTTTGAGATCGTGTTGACATCGAGCACTTGAGGAAATTGTATTGCACACAGCACTTGACTTTTAAATATTCAATGTGTCTGAACGGTCATCTCTGAGTCGCGAAGGCCCAAATGTCCCCGATTTCTGACACGGTCTCAACCAAAACTATGGTCCATATGCCATCGCTTGGCTATGAGATGGTCCCGTGATAACATTGGTGCATAATCCCCTATCCGCCCGGTGTGGGCGGCAGCCGTCCGCCGTCGCGGTTCCCACATCCGCCGGCCAAAACCTGCAGCTCCTCGTATCCGGCCCCTACCTTACCCCCAGCCTATGATCTGCACATTGCTCTGCGGGGATGTGGAGTAGATAGAGCGGGAGCCACTGTGATAAAATCCGGGGAAATGGCGGGGCCGTCATCCCTCATCCGCCGCGTTGCTCCCCGAGGGTCGCCTCGAAGCGGCACATTTCCTGCGACGGTGGGGACGTAACCGACTTCAGGGCCCCCCCCCCCAAAAATATGTGAGACTCAAAACAGCAGCCGTCGCATGGCGCTGATTTATAAAGGGTGTTAATTTGTGTGAGTAATTTATGCGCAAAACCTAGACATCCCTCTTGGTAAGCCGGCAGTCACAATTTGTTCATTCTTTATTAATCCACAAACATATATACGATTATAGGGTTTAGTCACCTAATAACGACATACTAACTATATACTATACTAGGAAAATAGAGGCTTTAGTAATAGTTTCTTATTAAAATTAATAATTATATTTATAATAATAATTCCTTTTTTAATAATAAATAATCTTTAATTTTTAATTAATTAATTAAATAAATTACTTTTTATTTTAAAATTAAGATTATTTAAAAAAGAATTACTTTATAAGTTTTTTTTATATATAAATAAACTTAATATAAAAAGAAAATTAATTTTAAATCTATCCCTTTATATTCTTTTTAATTCTCTAATTTTTCTTCTTTTTTATAGATAATAATTTAAAGATCCTATAGTATACCTTTCTTAACCTTAACCTCCTTTTACCTATAGGTATACTATAGAGGGCCGGCTAATTAGAAGTTAGGGATTATTTGTTATTAAAGGAGGAATTATTATTAGGAGAATAACTATTAATTCTAAAGGGTATGTTAGTACCTTATAGTAGCTATTGTTAGTACTTATAGACTAACGGTACGGTACTTAGCTCTTATGTATGGAGGTTAGAAACGAGGCTATATACTTGGGCCTAGTATGCCGTGTCTTATGTTTACCTGTGGTGACTGGTATTGGGTGGGGGCTGAGTGAACGGTTACCTGCCTGCGGGAAAAAAGGTCGTGACTTGTCAGGAAGATGACCCTCGCCTATCTAGGTCATCAATCCGGGCCGCCGCAACCGAGGCTGAAAAAAGACAAATCACAAAATGTGCCCTTTGACACGCCGCACTTGGTTGCGTACTCTAACCGCATCCGATTACTCATGTGGACAAAGAATGGCTTGCAACATAACCCGCGCGACACATCAGTGATATTCATGTAGAGCCCCAACACCCGTGACACAAAGCGACCCGACCCAACCCAAGGCTACCACAACAATACAGTAGAAGCCCGACTCGGGGCCTACTCTTAGGCTCGAGTAGACCGCGACGGAGCAAAATCACATCTGGCCAATATGGCGCAACAAGCCCCGAGACGAAGTCTTCAGGGATTACAGCACCGATACCAGTCTCACTTTGGTCAAGTCACCGCCGGGAATAACCTAAGCAACGCGGCCTTGAACGCGTTATTGGCTAGACTCCAGTGGCAATACTGCGTGCTTGAGGAAGAGTTGGAAGGAGCACCATGCGTCTGTGCTGAGAGGCCCGAGACCCCAGAGGTCCCAGATGTTCGAATTGCCCCGGATCTTATCACTCTTCCGGAGGAGCTTCGAGACATGATCTGGTGGCAAGCACTGGCACCCAGCAACGGGATTGTGCGCATCGTACCCTATAACATAACAGACCCCCAAGACGGGCGAGACAGGCGTATAGGTGGCCCAAATTACCACCCTCTGCGCTTCGAGGTGCCTGGGGCAGCTAGAGAGCGGTACAACCGTGAGCGTATGACTTGGATGCGTGAGGGGGAGGGGTTCAGCGAAAGGCATAACCAGTTCAATCTTCTTCGCGTGAACCCCCAGATTTACCGCGAAGCCGATAGCGAGTTCTGGAGAATGGCCGCGTTACGGGGACTGATGTTTTCTTTCGGCCCTGAATTTGTGGAGGTACGCGATCCGGGGCCCACCGGCTCGTCGGAATATGACGGCATACTTTCTGCGTGGACCTTTTTCAATACTCTTCTCAGAGACGATCCGGCAGTTGATCCAAACTTGCCAGAACGCCGTCGGTACTTGCAGTACATGCCCGGAGTCGACTACTTACCACTCATTCGAAATGTACACCTCGACCTGTCTGATACCCCGTTGGGGGCAAACAGACAAGCCCTACGTACTGTTATGCGATACAATGCAGTAAATGCCATTCAGTATCTGGACAATCTACTTGACCTCATGAATCAGAGGCTCACGGGATTGGAACACCTGTCGCTAGGCTTCTGCGGCTGGCCGCCCGATACGACTCAGACACCGGTGAGTGACCCATCTGACTTTTTCTTTCTACTGATGTTAACATTCATGCTCAGTGGCTCGAGGGCGCTCCCTTTATTCTGGGTTTGAGAATACCACCAGTGCTTTTAGAAAGTTCAAGTTCTGCGCACTGGGTCAACCGATTGTTGAACTTCAGACGGGTGACCCGGCTGAGGTTGCGAGTGGTGTTTTTTACGCGCCGCGCCGACAGCTGGAATGCTCCGGAGGCGCTTCTACCACTGAGACAGGACGTATTACGCGTAGCTCGTTTCATTACCGAGCTTCGGTCACGTATGTTAGTCAATGGAGCCGCACTTGGTCGTGATTTCTGGAATGTTGAGCGTGTTTATGATGGGAACAATCAATATATGCAACCCAGAATGATAGTCCAATGCGACGACAGTTGGGACGCGGAAACGGGAGAACACGCACATCACACAGGAGATTTTGAATATGATCCTCCTTAAATCGAGCAGGGAAGAGCTGTGGTTGAGAATCGGTCGATACGTCTTCTGAAGGCACTGTTGCAGAACTTGCGTGCCCAGGTGATTAAGGGGATGCGTCGATCTCAGGCAAGATCAAACCAGTTTTATTATCCTCTTCGTTAAAGGCTACAAAACACGTTCGCTGGGAACCTTAAAACCATGATAAAAAGGTAGAATAATGACAAATGACATGATAGAACCTACTTTCAAGCCTTCACCGGGTGGTTTTCCACCCACTCATCCAAAATGCCAGCAAAATCAGGAGGCGTGTACGGCTCAAGCAATTCCTTCACCCATGAAGGTTTCCGATGCGTCTCAAGCCCCATGTCTCTCATCAGCATATTTGCATAAGGCAGTCCTTCGAACACGAAGTCTGGCAGACTTGCCCCGTATCCACAGGGGTATCGCCACTTCCCCCACTGAGTGTGCAGCATGATTTCCTGCGTGACCTCCTCTGGCGTCGTTGCGATCCTGTCCAGCTTGCCGTCAAGGAATGCCGTGATCCAGGCCGCCTGGGCCGTCGCGGTGACAGCCGTGCTGACGCTCGAGACCATACCGGCGAAGGCGAGGTTCCTCGACTCCAGCATCGATGAAGGTACAATGAAGCGGTAATATCGCAAAGGATCAGCCTCCTTAGGCTGGAAGCGCAGCTGGGGCTGGTCTTTGAGGCGTGGGAACGCTGTCAAAACATCGCTGTCGGCCTTAGCATTTAGCTTGAGCCTGTCTGCCTCCACAAGGGCCTGTGAGAGACCAAGGGCAACTTGGTCGAGGCCGGTGAATTTGATGGACGATTCCTTCTTCCACCCTGTGGAGCAGACCATACCGTCTGTTTCCAGAATGTCTCCCGAGGAAAGCACCACCTTGCCCGGCTCAAGATGATCGATGTTATCGATGTGGACCCGGATCTTGCCTTGCTTGACCAGGTCGAAGAACGGAGTATCGTAGTTCAGGATGCTCAGCCCGCTTCCGATCCAGAAGGCCGAGTTCCACGGCTTCAGCTTGGCCAACTCGGGATGCGAATCATAGCGGATGGCACCCAACACATCTCCCTGCAGGACCTTCCAGAACGAGTCCACCAAGAATCTGCCAAATGTCGTCCCGTGCAGGAATTTTGTGACCCCGGCCCCACCGCCCTCTGCACCCCATGGGCACGGGCTGAACCACGTCAGACATCGCGTGCTTAGCAGGGTGTCCAGCCTGCGCTTCAACGGCGTGACGAGCCGAGGTGCAATCCAAACCGGCCCGTGCCCGTTGGACCGGATCACTAGGTCCACGGTTGCACCGCCCTGCACGAGCGCGTAGGCGACGTCGTACGCAGACTTCGCCCCGCCGACGACCACGGCCTTCTCGGCGGTCTTGAACTCTGAAGCACGGCGGCAAAAGTCCTTGGCATGGAACAAGGGTCTTTCAAAATTTTCCGCGCCGGCGTACTGTGGGAAATTGGGCGTGGAGGTGAGGCCGGTAGCGAGGATGAGCTTGTTGGTGGTGATTTGGCGCTGGGTGCTGGCGGCGTCACTGGTCTTGGTTACTGTGAGTCTCCAGCCGGTGATGTCGCCGGATCCGGACTCGGGGGAACGTAGCGCCTCGACGTTATCGACCTTGGTGTGGAATTGCATGCGCGCCAGGACACCGTACTTCCTCGCGAAGTCCGTCAGGTACCGGTGAAGCACGGCGCCGGGTATGTGGCTGCCCTCCTTGAGGCCGTAGACGTCTTCGGACATGGGGAAATCAGGATACTCGTACGATCCCACCATGTTGTTGGACTTGAGTCCCGGGTACAGGCGGGCTTCTGACCATGTGCCTCCACAGCTCTCGGCCGACTCCAGCACGGCGATACGCTCGTGCGGATGGGTTTCTATATACGCCCTGGCAGCTGCCAAGCCGAACCAGCCTGAGAGGTTCTGTTAGGATCTAAGCGAGCAGTATCGAGGAAGAAGCGACATACCGGCTCCGACTACCACCATATCATAGTTTGACTCTGCCATGCTGAGACTTGCAGGTGATAAGACTCAACTCGATCTGTCTTTGAGGATGGAGAAGGCTGACAGTAACTCTACTTGGAGAATGGCAAGCGCAGAGGTGGTATCCAAAAAGAATCCACTGGGTCTCTTTTAGTCCCCCTCTGTCGCCTTTATGGTTTAGGGGATCACACTCTCCCTAATCCAGCTGGCGGCTGCTCGGCCGCCCATCACTATCAGGTCCATAACCGACGTGGCTGTCCGGCGCCGTGGGATCAAGATACTGATCATTACCGGCGATGAGCCTTGACGTGGCCTCTAGTGCGCCCCTAAATTAGAGTTTGGCTTATCTTTCGGGCATTGCTGTGTGGTCTCGTGTCTTGACTGGTGGCTTGGTCTCAGGGGAGACTCCCCATCCTGGCTAAATGCGGGGTGCATGGATCGTCTAGATACCGGAAGTCGGTCCCTGGCGGATGTCTCTGGCTTGTCGGCTGTTGCACCTGACGATAGCATGCATACCCCTGGACCACTAGTCTACCGCCAGGCTGAGGGCAGTCCTATCTCGTGAACGGACCGCCACGATGTCAGCACGTGCTGAGCGGGCCAAGGCTGACGGATATAGTGATGTGGAAGGTCACGGCTTCATCCTGTGCAGCCTGCGCCACTGTCATGAGGCTTGGTGAGTCTATATGATGTTCCAAAAAGGTTGTGGCTCAATTTGAGGTGTAATAATCGGTACTCAATGTTCCAACTAATATCTGAGTCTGGCTTTGGAATTATTTCTATTTGGTCACTGGCTGGCGGGATACGGGCAAAGACTTCTACCGACTGGTACTATAATTCGCGAACCAGGTCGACATTTATCGCCCTATTAAACTTAGAATGGAGAGAAATTGCCCGTCATGGGATAGATACTGGGTGCCCACTGCGGCGGGAATGTCGGGTAAGAGGGGTTGATGTGGATTTCATTGAGCTGGCCCGTCTACCAAGGTATCTGAGTAAGGAAAGACGGAGTTCTCCTTGTCTCAGGAGCTTTCATTCAGCTGTCTTAAAATCTGGCCATGATTTCAACCAGGTGGATACTCAGCTCATTCTTCAATTTCATAGTGACTTATAACGACGTGTTCGAATAGAAATAACCACGGCTTTTCAAGTACGTCCTAACTTTGAAACTCTTAGACAAGGAATATATGCTTTTTGGGGGCGCTATCAATTCAATGTAATCATCATAATACAGTCCTCTGCGTCTTCTGAAATTAGCCCCCCCCCCCCCCCAAAAAAAAAAAAAAAACTTCACCGCAACTAGCAGTAGTGGAAGTCATTGCCTCCCGGAGAATAATGAAACCAAAGCGAGAATCCAACGTGACCGAACTTATTTTTCAATCCATCTCCCGTATTTATCTGTTGATTGCGTACTTCCTGAGTCCTTTCTGTGACGATGTACCAACTGGTTCGCCCGTGTCCCAATCACACCATAGGCTTTATAAAGTCCAGCAGATCGGCACCACAGCTTCAATGACGCCATATATCATCCCCTTTTTGAATCGACTACGATTTCGATGACAGGGACCGACACAGTGACTGCTTCGCCTCCCTGGTCCGAGTCCTCCGCGTTTTTAGAGCCCTCTGCCCCCAACTTGCGTTTCCTGATGAACCCCAAAGCACCCATGCTAGCCCCAAACATGAGCACTCCCTCGTAAATGATAAGAGTCTGCCATTTGCCGGCTCCGTAACCGGGAAGTATACCAAGGTGTTCTGAGGCTCCCACTACTGCGGCACCGGTGTATCCTGACGCAATACAAGCAATCCCGCGGGTCGCCAGGAGAGCACCGGACACGACCAGCTCCTCGTTCGGGTGAAGTTTGTCTCCGACAACCGCCGCCGCCATGTGGCTCCGGAATACCACAAAGCTAAAAGAGAAGGCACCGAAGAGGATTGAGAGAATGACAAGCATCCAGTATGATCGGCCCAGCCCCCAAAGGACAAGAACGGCAAAGGCGCTCACGAGGGTGCTGAGTAGGAGTGGCACCAGAGCACCGATCTTATCAGTAAGTAGGCCGAGGAGGAACTGGCCAATCATCCCCGAAAGGCTAAGTACGGTGATGAGGAGGGCGCCTTGGGCTGTAGGGAGTCCTAGGTCTGTGCAATAACTCGGCAGGTAATCTGCAGGGAGCATGTTAGCCAAGCCCTGGACCAGCATAGAAAGCGCGAAAAGCCAAAAGAGCGGTTTTGCAAAGGGCTTCCAAGAGAAATTCTGCTTCGACATGGCCGTACGGGTGGTGTTTCTTGATCGGACGAAGAAGATGCTGAGGGAGATACCCGCACCCGCGATGACGGCCCAGGCAATCAACAGCGCGCGGGGTCCAAACTTCCGCAGCACGATGGCGAATATGGGGGAGCAAGCCGCGGCAGCGAAGTTATTGGAGCCGAAACTAGGTAACAGTCATCTCGTTAGCATGAAATCAAGAGTGGCAGGGATCGTCAGGAGGTCATCATACAAGATGCCGTTCGCAAGTCCCCGTCGCTCCACAAACCATTCGTCAATATATGCCATAGATGGGGCCACCAACAGGCCACTCCCAACGCCGTATAAAGCTCCCTGTGTAATAATGACTTGATAGGGCTTCGTAACTGCTTGTCAGTCTATTTTCAAATACATGATAGCTGATCAGCTTACTTTGGTCGAGAATGCAGCGCCGAGTGAAGCCGCAACTATAACCACCATGCCTACCCACATCATAGGCTTTTGATGTTGAGGCTGACATGTGAGGTATCGAAGCAGAAAAGTTGGCAATATGTGCAGCACACCCTAATCTCCATATCAGCTAGGCGTAATAAGCAGGTGAGAGGCTTCACCCACGATTTGGATTACTCCAGAAGAAACCACAAGCTGATTGCCGGCCAGTGGTCCGTTGTGGAAATAATATTCCCGGAAGACACCGAAACAACTTCCAAAGCCTATGCACAACTATGGTTAGCAAGGTTTCAGAACGGAGCTCATTGCTGGTACACACCCCAAGTGAGGGTCATCGACAAAGACACGGCAACGAGGACTGTCCAAGCGGCACGGCCTCGATCCCTGGGCGGGAGATTCTGATCCTCGTGTGCAAGCATTGCTAACTGAATGGCTTCTCCGCTATCATCAAAAAGATTCTTGTTCGATCAGGACACACGGCGTGATCAGCTCCGACAAAGTCCTGGTTATAAACCTGCGAACCAACCGCCCACCCGGCTTCGGCCTTGGAACGCATAATACTTTTTATGTGTACAGAAAACATGGGCTCTGGCTAGAACGTGGCCCAGCCGATCCCCACAAATCCCATTATGGTAGGTGAGAGTTGTGAATACGGCTTTCGGGTAAGCTTCCACTGTCCTGTCTCTTGGCCTTGGCAGGTTCGGGTGTCAGCGGGCTATGTATCAAGTGATCTAGACTCGCTTAAACGCTTCATGTCGCCACCCCCAAGACGGAATACGGCAGAAAGCCATATGTGGCCGCGCCTACAAACGCACCCCTGGCCGACCAAAATGTTCCGGTCGCTAATTTTCAGCATGTCAAATTTTCAGCATGTCAGCCCTTGGCTATGCGTCTACAGTCGCAAAGAGGCTACACAGCCTAGACTTTCTCAACATTTTAGACCCATATTTACCTGAATCCTCCTTCTCCACTTCGCAGCATGTCTGCTCTTACTTGCATTCTGCAGACATTCCCATGTAAATGACGGCCTAGACTTCGCCAATCCTCTTATACATATCTCGCACTGAATTGACACCCGCTTCATGACTTCCGAGGTCGGAAGATCCCAGCGTATGCCTGCATTTCTGTACCTAGTTATTGTCGCACAGAAGACAACCCAGACCCTTCCATTTCTCATGGGTCCCATAAACCATAAGTCCCTCTTCTCTTTTGGTCAGAATGTTGTGTCTTGGCTACATAGCCAAGTGAAACAGATTCAACTGCTTCGACGAACTCTTCAAAGACAGAAGAGGCAGGCGAGCAAAATAGAGTCAGGCCGGTGGCAAAATAGATACAAGCGGGCGAGTGAAGCTGCCTCGGTGAGAACAGTTGTTGAATTCTTTTTTGAATTATATAATATGAGCAGCAAATCACACGTACAATATTATAAAAGACCTGCCCGCCGCCATGAAGCCCAATGTTCATCTTGTTCAACTCGCCAGCATCGACTAACACCCATCAACGCATAGTCATTCGCCTTTCTCTGTCAATTTCCACTTAACTCACCGTCTCAATGCCTGCCCTATCTTTTGACGTGAGCCCCCAAGGGGAGCCTCTGGCCACTTTGAGGACCATAACATTTGCCAACCTTCTGGACCGCGATCCCATTGAGATGACGAAGCTGATACGAGCATGCGAGGAAGTCGGCTTCTTTTACTTGAAGCTTACTTGCCCTGGCTCACAGAATATTCTTCAAAATCTGGAAGAACTTTCTTCGACTATGCGCGAGTGGTTTTCTCAGGATGAGGACACAAAGCTGAAGACGGCAACCATCAGTAATTCTCATGGGTAAGACGGTCTTATCAACCATTGATTTGGCTTCTTGACGCTAAAGTCTGAATAGATACAAGCCACTTGGCCAGCACGCGGGAATAGGCGCAACACGAGACGGCTGGGAAGCTTTAAAAGTAAGATAGCCTTCCATGGCACCGCGAAATGGCACTAACTCGTGATGATGCAGATTGGGAGCTCCGAGCTTTCTGGCCGATGGGCCTTGCCGTCCGTGGTCAGGGACAGAGCCGAGAAATTCTCTGAGTTCCACAGCGAATGCCACTATGTCACCAAGATTCTTCTGGACTGCATTTCATCGAAGCTAGGGCTCTTGGGCCAGGAGAGCCTCCAGCAATACCACCGCAACGACGCACCGTCGAAGAGCTCCCTCTTCTTCATCCACTACCCAGCCATGGACCTCTCGCAGGGGTCGCTCGGGCAGAACCAGCATACCGACATCGGGTCGCTGACGCTGCTATTCGCGCAGCAGTGGGGCCTACAGGTCCTCTGCCCCGTCAACTTCGTCTGCCCTGAGACAGGCGAGCGGCTCCAGTGGCGCAGTGTTGAGCCCCGGCCCGGCCACGCCATCGTGAACGTCGGCGACACGCTGCGCTTCCTCTCGGGGCAGAAGCTGAGGTCGGCTCTCCACCGTGCCATGCCGCTCGACGGTGTGGGTAGGTACAGCGTGGCCTATTTCCTGCGGCCCAGCGACGACAGCGAGTTCCGCGACAGCCGCGGCCAGGCGACCACGGCCGTCGGCTGGTATCTCAAGAAGAACGAGACCTATGAGTCGCACGCGGCACAGGACGAGGCTATTCTCACCGGTGGTATTAAGAAAATTTACAGTCTCGATACTGGACGGGTGTAAGCTGGAATGCATCGTTCTTATTCCATTAAGCCCCGACATGGGCATAAAACTTGGTGGTCTTCTAGCTGGTTTTGACATGACATAGATGCGACTTATTTTTTATCTCATGGGCGATTCATCCATTTGCTGACACCTGTCTTTCGAAATCTTTAAGGGCCGTCTCTATATTATATTCCAGTGTCTCTCTGTTGTCACGATAGATAGGAATAGTTTACAATGAGTGTGAAATGTGCGGAGATAATGCTCTGTAATCCTATGCTCTCCAAAATCTCACCACCAACTGACATAAATCCCATGGTGCTACCACCAGATTAAACGGATTGGTGCCAAAAAGATCAGAGCCAAAAGGAATGAGACGAGACTGTTGATGGTGATCAAGGTACTCATTCCACAATTGGTATTTAAACCAAGTGCTAGAATGTATACATCTACCCAGTCACTTGCCAATAGTTATGTAATCGGGGCACCTACCCTAAGGCAGGAATGGTATTGTAAGATTTGCTGCAAGTGAGTAGATACCACTAATATTTGAGGAAGCTCTCCAAGCAGTATATAAGCTAAGCAGGACTCTTCAAAATGTTTGCATATCATGCCATAAGAGAATCATGTGGCATAGAGATGGTCTTATTCTCTTTGATGAAGGGCCATATGCTCTCGTGAGGGATTTGTAATCACGCCATGCGCTCGCTGCCTGCGAGTCCAGTGCGGGTATCTCCAATGTTCTCAATGCTTTTCCGGTGAGGACAAGTGACCAAAACACTGACACACCGTAAATATGAACATCAGCATATTCACTCACCCAGTGAGAGGGTTACGAATGACAGCTTAGGGATCATATAGGGCAATTACAAGACAAGCAGGTGGAAACCTTTCGATATTTCAACTATGACCAATATCACGAATATCTTCAGTTACTCGTAGCTAATGACACCATCGATAGTTCCAGCGTGCAAGCCGCCGGTGATCTGAATGTCAGCCGCCGTCGTATGCCTACTCGCATCGCTCAACAGGTAAACCACCGCTCCGGTGAGATCGTTCTGAGTGCTCAGTCTCTGTAGCGGAGGAGCCAGCCACATTTGATCTCCTTCCCTCTTGCTCTTCATCTCGCGCACATTTCTCGTCATATCACTGTCCACGAACCCCGGGGAGATGGTGTTCACCCGGATGTTGTGTGGCGCGAGTTCAACAGCCAGCGCTCTAGATAGCATCAGAATGCCACCCTTGCTTGCATTATATGCTGCCATGCGACTGGTAACCTGTAAGCGCGTGTCATACCTTCCAGATATGGACGAAATGATAATTATACTTACTAGCCGGGCAGCGCTATGTGGCTTGATTGCGACGCAATTAGTACGATGCTGCCTCCTTTCCCCTGTGACAAGAACTGCTTCGTAGCCAATTGAGCCGCGAAGAAGGTTCCCCTGACCTGGGTTTGGGTTAGCGGAATTTCAATCAAGAGAGTCAAGCAGATACCAACATTGATCTCTTGTATTCTGGTGAATTCCTCCCACGTCTGGTCAATGAACGGCTTGTCAATGGCAATGCCTGCCGCAGGCACCAATCCATCCAGCGAGCCCAGCTTGTGGACAGCTTTGGCGAACGCAGCGTTCAGGCTCTCCTGTTTTGTGACGTCCGTCTGGATGTAAATTGTCTTTGAGCCAAACTTCTGACTGAGGCTGTCCCATTCCTTTTCGTCGACGGGCTTGTCTTGGATGTCCATGACAGCCACATTTCCACCCAACTCACAGATGGCTCGCGTTACTGCGAATCCAATCCCCTGCGCGCCGCCTGTCACAGCGTAATTGCGCCCGCGCAGCTCGAACATGGGGCGAACATCTTGCAGTGGTTCAGACATATTTTCCACAACTTTCTATTCAGTGGCTGCTGAGAACTTGTGAATCCGGAGCCTTCAAGTGTGTGTATTGAGATGGTGCCAACATTGAAATGCTCTTCAATGAGTGTATGATCAACAAGTACTTCAACTCTCAGGGTAGCCTTGAAAGGAGGGGGAAGAACCTTTGACCTAGTGCCGGGCATGGGCCCCGGCGGCTAACGCACCCGTAGCTCAAACTTAATTCAGGATGGGACGCTTGACAACTTACCGCCCACGCCAACGCCGGAAATGGTGAAGATCTTGGCCTCAATGCGCCAGGCGACTGCCCATCATAGATAAGCGGAGGCCCATAGCCGACGCTATCATTCAAGGCCGAGTCAGCACGTGCAGGGGCGGAGTCTTCAAGAAATACAAAACACCAAAGCTGAACCCATGTCAGAATCAACGACGGGGAAGGATACCTCTTCATCAGTCCTATCAGAGTATCCACAATAATTGAGACTGAATAGTCGACACGGCTCCACCATGTTCAACGACATCAGCAAACCCGCTCCTCCACTTCCGAGCCCGGAGCTCTCGGAAGTCATGCCGGGCGTGTCCCTCCTCCGGCCTCTGAGTCGCCTTGGCACTGGTCCGGGGATCATCGTCCTCACGCACAACTACGAAGACTCACTGGCGATCAACGAGGGTGTGCCATCCCCGCTGGTCAAGTGGGCAGAGGAAGGATACACAGTCGTTGAGATTCAGACTAGAGCACTTCGCACCGGTGCGGGGCATATCATCAAGGCTGCCATTGAGGCTCTGAGAGACTGTGATAAATGTGAGCCGAAGGACAAAGTTGGGCTAGTTGGTCAGTATTGCCCCTTTCAGTCGGTATCGTTAATGTAGACATTGTTCGCCGGTCTGACTAGCATGAAAAGCCTACGAGCCCGGCTCGTGGATTGTCACGGCATCAACGATTTCAAAATACCCCAGCATAGTTGCGGCTGCAGTGTATGCAGACGTACCTGATGAGGCTTCCTCAGAGTCTCTTCCCAATGTCTCGATCCCAGTAGTATACCATCTGGCTGGCAAAGCGCCGGCTGTAAGGCCGAAGTTAGATGCGTCATCGAAGCGATACATCTACCCGACCGCCAGCTCCTACAAATTTGCTACACCTTTCCAAGCCTCTTTCCATTATAACACTGAAAACCTTTCTCATACACGAAACCTTACCTTCTTGAAGGAGAGGATGGGCGGTCCATATTTTGACCTGGAGACTATCTGGGAAGAGCATACCTATTATGAGTTTGCGGACCGGTCCGTTGAACATACGATGAGCACTATGGTCCAAGAGCCATATGTGAACCATGTACCGACTGTGAGTAATTATCTCATCGGAGGACCTCGATCAGAATGAACTGACCGCGGTGCATTAGATGACGGGCGGTATCGGTCGAAAAGCTCTCTCACATTTCTACCGGCACAACTTCATCTTCAACAACTCCGCAGATACCGAGTTGGAACTCATCAGTCGGACCACAGGCATTGACCGCATCATCGATGAGTTCATTTTCAAATTCACTCACGATCAACTGATCGACTGGATGTGTGTTTATCTGCTTCGATTCGCTCCTTGCTCTACTTGAGAACTGAGTCCTCAACTGACATCTCGGCAGACTCCCTGGTGTGCCTCCCACGCACAAGAAAGTTGAGATCCCTTTCACAGCCGTCGTAAACATACGCGGTGATCGGCTATACCACGAGCACATAGCTTGGGACCAGAGCAGTGTGTTGCGCCAGCTTGGACTACTGCCCGAATACCTTCCATTCCCATATCCTCTACCTGAGGGATCGGGTGCAGATGCGGGTAATAAAAAGATTGAGTACCGGCTACCAGTGGCGGGAATAGAGACCGCTCATAAGATGAGGGATAGGAATGCGGGTTCGTCGAATGAAATGTTCAAGTTCGAGATTCGCGAGGCATAATGGTCTTGGATTTAGTCATATATGTACGAGATAGCAGAATGGACAATATTACAGAATTATCTTTCATCACACAATCAGTAGGTAGCTGTTAAATGAGAAATCAAAATCCAGCCTTGGGTACCTAGGTACCTAGGTACGGCATCTGTATGGCTTTGAGCTTTTATTACTGTATGAATGCCCCGTGTATGAATTTGGACGTATGCGGAAAGAAGCGAAACCAAACAACATCTGTACGTAGCTCTTTGAAGGTGTTATGCATGCCGTAGGTCAGGCACTAATTTCAGTAACTAGTCTTTTGATTTATTCAAACGGTTATAAAATTCCAGCAGCGACCTCTACATAAAGCTTCCCCAATGCTATAGGTTCTCGATAATTATGAATTTGATTTTGCGTTAGGAGAGTACGACTTGAAGTCATGCACTATATTCATGCAGCGTTCTTACAGGATTGGGTAAAGACAGCGCCATTTTCTCTTGTAATCGAATACCGGATCAGATATTGTCCGGTGATCTCTCAAATTCATTTTGTACATTACACGTTTCATAAGCCAACTAATTAGCCAAATAATTCATGCGGCATTATTTTCCGGGGCCCCAACTGGCTGTAAAGGATCGTCAAAACTCATTGTATACCCATCCCAAAGAATCCGCAACATGAGCTCATTGTCTGCAGGGGATGGCCACTGGTCTGGGAACAAGTCAGACATGTTCATTGAGCTGAGGCTGTCACTCCCATCCCAGGCACTGGCAGGATTCTCGTCCATATTAAAGTCTGGCGTAGGGAGCTGCGACAGACCCGAACTTGCGCCGAAGGGGGGTTGTGGGCGATCCTGCCCTGTATCAACAACAATAGCGTTGCTATCGTTGCAAGTGGCTGAGGCTCCACTGTCATGTATCGATGCACTCACACCAGACGCAAAATCATAAGACAGTATCTGCTCAACGAAAGGGACTCCTGAGCCGTTCCTTTCTCGTCGCCTCTGTCGCTTATAGTTGTCGATGGCGTCGGAAAATGCGGAGAGGATTTTATGATACTGTCGCGCCTGCGGGCTCAGCCGCCCGATGATGAAGAGAACGTGTTGGGACCCGAGGAACGCCTCTCGGGCCTCGGTATCAGACGACTCGTCCGCTAAAAGAGCAAACCCCAACGCAAGGCCGGCTGCGAACACCCATGCTTTGATAATGCACATATTGCCCAGGAAGACACCAGCGTCGATGGCTTCCTTGCACATCTGGGCCATGTAGATTGCAGCTCCGATACAGGAGCGAGCGAGGTCTTCCACGGCACCAGCTTCATTGATCCATCTTCTCGCATTTTGAGGCTGGCCCTCTTTTGTTCTTGGCGAATTGCCATGCAACTGTGGCATGATATGTTGGATCAGAAATTGCCGCGTGACAAGGATAATACCAAAGTAATATGTTCCCGCAACATGAACGTTGGCAATCATCTTCTCTCGATATCCAGGTTCATTCAGTAAAGATTGGTCTCCTCTCTTGGGTCGTTGGCGGAGGGAAACGGGTAGTGCCTGGCTCCACTCTTGCAGAAGCTGAAGGAAATGCTGGGCGGAGGAAGAGTGCAGTACTCCGTCATCCGCAAACTTGCCAACCACCGTCTCAAGAATTGAACACGATTCGTAGGTGGCTCTGAGTGCCAGGGCTCTATGAGGCGTGGTGTTGGGTTCCTGCTGCACGAAATCACCGGTAGTAACGTCTCCAAACCTCAGCGACGAGGCGCTACCTCGTCTTCCCAGAATTGAAGAGCAGATTATGTCGAAGACTCTAATACTCTTGGCCACCCTCAATCTGTTGTTTGCTAAACTTTAGAAAAGTCCCAGAGCTTTAACGGAAAACACTCACCTGGAATTCTGTTCATCCTTCGAGATGTGCTTGTGTTTTGCCGCGGCATGAAGCCCAAGTATATCTGCAGATTTCGCTGCAACACCCAGGTACATAAATGCCGAATTTCGGCGACAGGCTCCTAGCATATAGAACGCGAGCAGAAGAAATGCCCTGGCCAGATTTATGGTAGGATCTTCGAGCATTTTCTCGAAGGCCATTTTCCTCCCCTGGCTGAAATATTTAGAGGCAAGGCCGAGGTCATCCCGCGAGCCCCCTCTGACCTGATATCCGATAGCGAGCATAAGGTACAACGAACCGAGAGCTGCCTGATCAACTCGTCGTGCATTTTGCGGTCTGTTGTTGTTGTTTTGTTGTTTCGAGGCCAGGGATATAAGGTCGGTGATCTCATCCTCAGTGTACAGGTCTAGGAACCCGCTTGACTGTATACACATGCGGTCTCAGCATCATGCAATGGGTCACGTGGGTGACTTTGACTTACAGCATCTAGGAAACACTGAACGATATCTTTCTTTTCGTTCTCACTCAGGCTATCATAGAAGATCCCACCATCGACATCCGATCCAGTCATCTCAAACCAATTATGGCTATGTTGCCGATCGGTGAACCCGGATGGCCCAACATAATGTTTCAGTGTCTTTTGCAAGAAGCGCAAGAATGAAAGTGCTGCCGTATTACCGACGAAGACTAGTCACATCAGCAAAGTCAACTTGTAATACATCTGACAGGGCCCACTTCTTTTCGCAAGCACGACAATCAGAAGCAGCAGGGTGGATTGTAATTTCAGACCCAGGAAGTTCTTGGTACCTTTGTCACCACTCGAGCTAGACAGCATCAGCGGCCGCTGCTGATCTGTTCTTTCAACCGAATTCCTCGAGTCCGGAACGTAGTCGGTCTCACTGTCTGCGTCCTCATCTACTACTTCGTCCCCCTCTGCGTCTTGTGACGTAACAGATCGGTCGCCAAAATCAGGTCCTGAACCCTGAGATGGCCCGGCGATCGCGGAACCGAAGTCCACCGTGGCGACATCATGGGCAACAGCAATTGAGTTTGCCTGGGATGTTTTGGATCCAGAGCGGTGACTGCGCCTGTCCCTAGCCGTCGGCGTGAACGTGCACGTGTCCTGGGTTCCCTTCTTGACACATAACCGACAAGGCTGATTGGCATCACACCTCTTTTTCGAAGCCTTACAGGCGTCACACGCTTTGGCAGAGCGCTGCCTGTCCTGCGGCTTCACCTTTGGTCGCGGCATGGCTAGATTCGACGCCCAACCGGCGATGCGGTCGCTGCGAGCGGCGGAACGGGGATCGCGGAGGTTTGCCCGGGCAGAGGACCCACAGGCGAAACAGACCAAAGCGAAATCCGGACTGGAGTAGTCTTTTTCGGGACGTGTCTCGTACGATATACGGTATGAGAAGGGTGCTTACCGCAGCGGAGCTGTGGGTTGCCTTCCCTCCAATACACGGCGGTTGATAATAGCGCTGAAATGAAGTGGAACGCGGGTCTTGAGGACGTGGGGGAGGACGACACTCGGAGCGGGTGTGGGAAGAGATAAGCTCTCCCGTTGCCGACTCATGCGGCAACTCGCCTTCTCCGACACTAATTGGCGTAGCGGCCTTGTGCCTGGTTACTCGGTACATTACCCGCAGTACTGAAACTCTACAGCGGTAGAGCGGTTCTTGGGTGACATGGGTCTGATCGCGGCTACCAGGGCGGAGGCGTTGATCGATGAACCACGATCATCCGAAAGACAGTAGCATCAATATGCCGCTATCCGCATCGAAAGGGTTGGAGGATTTTCGAAGCCATTATAATGGAATCCAAGATCATCACGATAGTCTTCATTATACCACTGACTGACACTGTCAACCTTGAGCAAGACCAAATACTACGAGTTTTGCAACACTACACCTCCTCACAAGCACCTTCTCACCTTTTTAATTCCAGAAAGTCATTTACGACGACCATGGGGTCTCACACTGACTCAAGCCCTGGGTGGCGTCACCTCAATGTGGGTGTCATCGGCGGCGGTATTGGCGGCATGTGTGTTGCCATTGCCCTTCGACGAGCTGGCCACAGTGTAACCATCTACGAGCGAAATGATTTCGCTGGAGAAGTCGGTGCATCAGTTTCCTGTGCTGCCAATGGTGCCCGTTGGCTGCACGAGTGGGGCGTCGACGTCGAGCAGGGCGACCCCGTTATACTGAAGAAACTCATCAACAGGGACTGGAAAACGGGCGAGCCGGTCAGCGTCTTCAGCCTGGATGACTACAAGGAGAAATGGGGATACGAATATTATATGTTCCATCGCCAATACATGCACAAGATGTTGATGAACTGTGCCTTGCAAGAGGAGGGAGAGGGAGAGCCAGCCAAGTTAATGGTGAACCACAAAGCAAGTCAACTCAACGATTTTGTGATAACGAGGCTCCGGCTAACTTCAACGCGCAGTGTGAAGATATTGACCTCAAATCCGGCGCCGTTACCTTCGCAAATGGCCACGCAGCTCAACATGACCTCATCATTGGCGCCGACGGAATAGGCTCGGTGGTGCGGAAGCTCATCGGCCTGACCCCAGACAAAAAGCCCGCGGACTCTTCATGTCTGCATGCAAATGTGCTGACAGAAGATGCCGTTCGTCTAGGCCTCGTCGACTATTCCAAGGATGCGGCTTTGGAGTACTGGGGCGGCCAAGAGGGCAAGTGGGACAAGATTGTGCTCAGTCCATGCAACGGCGGCAAGCTGCTGTCGTATTACTGCTTCTTCCCACGAGAGGCCGGCGACTACACGAGTCAAAGCTGGGGTGGCGAGGATAGGCCCGTCGAAGAACTGCTGGCTCCATACCCACATCTGGATAAGCAAGTGCGGGATCACCTCGCCATTGGCGCTGAAATCCAGCCTTGGCGGCTGTGGGTACAGTAAGCATCCCATCTCTGAAGATGCTTGAGGTCGACATGCTAATTCCTCGACTTTCAGTCAGCCATATCCGTACCTCGTGAAGGACTCAACATGCTTGCTCGGCGATGCAGGCCACCCAGTACGTTCAACCAGAGACATCAAAACTTTCCTGGGCTTTGAGCTGACTTCCATGTCAAGATGTTTCCTCACCAGAGCCAAGGAGCCTGCATGGCTATTGAAGATGCAGCTGCGATAGGCATCCTGTTCAGCAAGCCATACTTCAGCGGCGACGTCACTGAGGCCCTCGATGTGTACGAGAAGATCCGGCTGCCGCGAGCTACCAAGGTCCAGGCCTCTGCAGCAAAAGCGGCGACTAACATCAACGAAAGGATCGGTGCGTGAAAGGCTTATCAGAAAATATTGCTCCCTTGTACTGACAAGATCTGCCAGGTTTCTCCAGTAACACCAACTTCAAGGGATACAAGGTTGCAGATGAGAAAGCAAAACTGACAATCGAAGAGATGAATGCGTAAGTTCTAGGTGTAACGCCGGAGCAATATTGACTTTGTAAGAAACTCTTGCTGACTTGTAGTTGCAGCTACGATATGTACAAGGACGTCGAACAGAGACTGGCCGAAAGAAGGCACAAAGAGTATACTGACAACTACATCAAGGGGCTTCCAGTCGGTTTGGAGATGTCAAATGGTGTGGTGGTTGGGAAAGCCTGAGACGTCACTTGGTCTGCGACAGTCTGTGGGAGCTGCATGACCCAGACCCAATAGCTTTATGTATTCGTAGTTTTCTACTGCAGCTGCCACCTCCAGAGACCAAGTTCCGTGGTAGCTTGGCCTCTCATAATTTCACTTATCTAGACCTAGTCTTGGCTTTTGTACCGTACTTGTTGCATCGTGGGACATGTAATATCAAGGTACTCGTGCTTGGTGCCGTTGACATTGCACAGATCAGGCGGGGACAGAACAAAACGCCTGTAACATGCATGTTATTCATATGGGGCATATGCAAGCCCCAGGAGCTAAATCTAACTCAGCCTGACCAGGTATGCTAACATTTGGACTCCAACCAGGGTCGGGCATCAGCCTACACTTGGTGATGGCGTTGTCACGACCTTGCGCAATACCTGCTGCTGTTGAGAATGCGCCAGCACTTCGTGTAAAATTGGCTCTTCGAACGTTCACTCTAGTCAGGAGGTTCTTCAGAGCTACGGGCAGGAATTCCTACGCCACATCTGTAAGACGGCATCTAGGTATGACCCGAAGAAGGTGTTTCGGAACCTATGTCCTGGAAGCTTCAAGCTGCCAACTATGGGAAGGGGCTAGGATCGGCGGAGGAAGTCAGTTCATCCCACTGCAAACAATGCTACTACATCAGCCTATGTACCCAGGACATGGTAGCGTCAAAGATCTTCAGACTGATGCTCCGCTACAAGAGGAAGATATTGGACGGGAAGTACAGTGGAATCATACTTGTATATAAGGCGATCCGAAATTTACCCAGACAGCCAGAGACAATATCAAGAATGACATTGACATAGTCGAAGTCAGGTCCAACCGCCATTTAGAGCTATTGACGATGGAATACTACCTAGGTAGCTACCCTGGCTACTCCCCACCCCCTCACATATGTTTAAAAATTCGCCTCGATCTCTCGTTGATTCGATTGAGGATGGTAAGGTCAAAGCGATGTTTTTCCCAAATTAAATGTATTCCCTTTCCATTCTCCTTGGTGTTTTTGTTAGGGGTATTTGGTGCCATGGGATCGGAATTCCCGGGTGATCGTGGCCTTCGGGAGTGATCACGGAGTCTGCCCCGGCGGACTTGCCGGAACCGAATAACTAGGTATTATGCCAGGCCGGTGGCATCTTCTCCATTTCCAAGAACGAGATCTTCTGCGACTAAGAACAGCTTCAACGCGATGATAAAATTCCGCGTGAGACCTTAGTGTAGTCACTGGCGATGTGCTCTCTGAGAAGTAGCTATTGAATAACAACGCGGATCGATGCCCCGCACTTTCAAGGTTCTTTAACGTGAGGCCAGCGAGATTGACGAGGGTCTACGCGTTCTGTAAGTTTTCTGCAGGGCGGTGGATGGCACGCCGGAATGCCAGCATACTTTAGTACTCGGATAAGCCATCGGTTTATCTCTATCAACCTAGGACTGTAGACGGTAGCTTCGCCGTTAAACGCTCCGAGTTGGCAAAGGCTTGCACCTCGGAACCCTCATAGAACCCGTCTCGGCCCCGAGACCCAATGATCCATGGCCCGGTCCCTGTAAGTAATCCAGGACGGAACGCAACCTAGAACCATGTAAAGTGTGGATCTCAAATTCTGTACCGCCGCATGACTGCCCCGCAGATTCTCCATGAAGTTGGAGTGATTGTGGGGAGATCTGGGGAAGTGACGCTATCCCATAGCATCTACCCTGATCACTCACAACAGTAGATCGCACCTGAGCAGTACACTAGAGACTGGGGCTCTCCTAACGAACGCAATCATTCGAAAAAGCCCTTCAAGAAGAATCCTCCATACAGCCAACATCAAGCCTCCGGTCTATACGACTGTAGCATGTGATCAATCACATGCAAAGTAGCACTCGCTACAACATTGCAGTTATTCCGACTCGATGAACTGGTGTTCATCCATGAGATGCCAAGTCCCTCTCCGCTGGGAGTCCGCTTCTCCACATTCTGCTCGGTACCATGACCGTTGAAGGGCCCAAGGAAAGTGCCGCGGCCGAACCATGCAAATTAACTAGACTAGTGTAAAAGCAGGCCAAATTGCCCGAGGAACAGCCGTCAGGTACGCGGGGAAGCACGTATTCGTACTAGCAGGGCTTGTCAATAGCCCTATTATCCTTGGAGACATTCGCCCTCGGTGGGTCGAGAGCATGACTGCGTCGTCGTGAGCACTCAGGAAATTACGATCATGGGATAATCTAGGCAAACTTGGCCAGGGTACTAGTCTCGCAGCAAGAAAACGAGGACCTATATCATGAGCAAGATGACTAGATGTCATGAAGCTTACAAGAAACTATCCTTAGTCTTGTGTCTGTCTCCTTTCTGGGTCATCCTTTGGGTAGGACTTTGACCTCTCCTGTCATAGTCATCACAAAATGATGTTGGACCTCCTCCTCCTCCTAAGCGTGGCTGGTAGCACGTTTGCTCAACAAGTCTACGTCCCAGTGAACGGCACTGTGCCCCGTCCTCAATGTAGCTCGTCCTCGGATTCCGCGCTTTACGCGACTGCCAGCCCAACATACGCGTTCTCAACATTCTCTTTCACGCAGACAGAGACCGTCCGGACAGCGACGTCGTTAGTGCCATCTGCAACTACCGCTACATATGCCCCTCCCTACGAGTCACTCAGCCATCTGTTGCCCAACCTATCGACGACAACATGGGGCAACTGGTACCCCGATGCCACGGCCTCTCCAACAGATACTGAGGACCCCTACGGACAGGCAGCATGGTCAGCCCTATGGGAGCGTGCCGCACTACCCAATTTCACGACGAGGGGAATATACTCGACTACAGTTTCACCAACTCCGGTTCCTACGAGCGAGTTGGTCTTCCCACCTCCGGATTATTTTACGCCGCAGGACTGTTACACCTTCCCCAAGGGCTTCAAGTTAGGAGTTGCAGGCTCCGCTGCACAGATCGAGGGAGCGGTTGCTGATGAGGGACGAAGCCCGGGGATCCTGGAGCTCATCTCGCCTACGACGCCCAACTATGTGGCCAATGAGAACTATTATCTCTACAAGCAAGATATCGAGCGGCTGGCCTCCATAGGAGTGCAATATTACTCCTTCTCCATCTCTTGGGGCCGAATCATGCCCTTCTCCCTCGAGGGATCTCCCGTCAACCAGCAAGGTCTCGACCACTACGATGACCTGATCAATTTTGTCTTGGAGAAGGGCATGCAGCCCTTGGTGACCTTGATCCATTTTGACACCCCTCTCACCTTCCTGGGAGATCCATCCCAACTTGGCGGCTCATTCGGTTTACCGGGGGCCTACGACAACGCCACGTTTGAAGATGCATTCGTCCATTATGGCAAAGTCGTCATGATGCACTACGCCGACCGGGTCCCGGTATGGTATACCTACAACGAGCCACTGCTATCGAGTACCAGCGGCAAGAGCTTTGATACTGTGATCAAGTCCCACGCGCGCCTGGCACACTTTTACCGCGAGGAGCTGAACGGCACCGGCCAGATTGCGCTCAAGTTCAACAACAACTTCGGCGTGCCTCGAGACCCCTTGAACGAGGACGATTTGAACGCCGCATACCACTTCAACGACTTGCAGATTGCGACCTACGGAAACCCGCTCTTCCTGGGCAAGGACTATCCAGAGGCCTTCAAGATGACGTTCCCGGATTACGTGCCTCTCACGCAGGAAGACCTGGAGTACATCAACGGCACAGCCGATTTCGTAGGAATCGACCCGTACACCGCGACGGTCGTCTCGCCTCCCAGCTACGGCATCGAGGCATGCGCTGGGAACCGCTCGGACCCCCTGTTCCCGCTCTGCGTCAACCAGTCGACCCAGACAACGACGGGCTGGAACATCGGCTACCGCTCCCAGTCGTACGTGTACATCACGCCAAAGTATCTCCGGACGTACCTCAACTGGCTGTGGAACACCTTCCGCTACCCCATCGTCCTCACCGAGTTCGGCTTCCCCGAGTTCGGCGAGTCTTCCAAGGAGGACCTCTCGGACCAGCTCTTCGACTCGGCTCGCAGCAACTACTACACCAGCTATATGAGCGAGGTGCTCAAGTCTATCTGGGAGGACGGCGTAAATGTGGCTGGTGCTTTTGCTTGGAGCTTCATGGACAACTGGGAGTTTGGCAGCTTTGACCAGCAGTTTGGAATCCAGACCGTCAACAGGACGACGCAGGAGCGGAGGTTCAAGAAGAGCTTCTTTGATTTGGTGGACTTTGTTGCTACTAGAATGCAAGATTGAAGGCACGTAGTCTTGACAATACCAGTAATTCATATCTTTTCCGATTCTCAGATCATCAAAATAGTCTTCCTCGTCCGCGACTTTGGCTGTCTTGTCTCCAGATACTGAGCGCCAAGAAACTCGAAAGGAAGTGATCCTTCGACCTGCAGGTGGGCTGGTGCTCGACTGTGGGGCGTGTCGTCCGTATGGAGATAACAATCACCAATAACCTCATAGCTGTCAGACTTCAGAGATTGCACCCACTCCGGGTATTTCGTGTCCTGAGGTGCGATTTCTGGTGTTTTCGGTCGAAGCACAAAGTGCGCACGGCCGCTAGGGAGGATGTGTATCGTGTCTCCCTTCTGCATGGATGCAGGCCCAAGGCCCATGGAATTGTTCTGGGTCATAAAGAATACGCGGCCATCCGTCGCAACCTGTATATCTTCGAAGAATGGGCTGGGGGGTCGAGGTAATGCAAAGCTCTGTAGCATGTCAGCCCACATCCCGAGGTCTTTAGCCGACAAGGGCGCAAGATTTATGACCTACTATAGTGTCCAGGAACTTCTGCGCTTGCACACGTTTCTCTTTGTGCATGGTTGCGTCAGTGATTGTTAGAACTCGCCCGACCGACTAAAATGTGTGCATCACCTGGGCGGTTTGGCGGTGGGGTAGTTCCCATCAAGACTAACCTCTGTCGACCACCTTCAGACACTGCCCTAGCCACTCCTCAAGAGGTCCAAGAGATCTCCCATCTGCCTCTGAATAAGAATCCCCACACCGACACATGCCGCCGATTAGAGTTTTGATGAACTGGCGTGTGGGTATACGAATCAGCCGGGACTCTGTCGATTCAATGTGTCGGTCAATGAGCGCTGCACGCAAAGAGTGGAACCAAGAGATGAGAGTGTGTAAGCCAGAGTCGGTGTCCGCCCAGCCCAAATGTCTTGGACCACAGAAGGTAACAGTGTCTACTTCAATTGATTGCAGTGCCATGACACGCTCGGGAGTCACCGCATTCGTACACGGCTTAAGTCCATTGTCCAAGTCGAGTGGCTTGGCTTGCTTGGATTGATACTCCGTCAACCAGGACGCCGTGCCTAAGAAAGAGCACGATGCTTGGAAAAGCTTTTCTGGGGCTATGATGCCCTCAACACCCTCTGTCACGTATTAGCGACAATATGTTGAGAAGCCCATGCCACCCGCCGGAAAGGTTTTGCATGGCGTAACTGGCGAGTACAAACACAGCATTTCACTCACTACATAAGGATGGAAGTTGCTGACTTCGGCTAATGACTGCGTCAATAGCCAAGCTGATTTCCATTCCCTTGATTATTGACTGTTAGTAGATCTGTATAGCGGCATTTATTGACGCAGAATGCCAGTTTATCTTACCAAAATGGTTGTCGGTCCCTTTAACCAAGCGTGTGAGCGGAACTGCGTTTTCTTCGTGTGCTTAATCCAAGTGCGGTCACCTGATGCTTACCAAAATGATGGACTCAAGGTCGTCTATGGCACCCTGAGCGTTGTGCTTTGCTACTTCTAAGGCTTCATCCTCCGTTGCAGGACCAAGCTCTCCTAGACTTTCGCGCATTTTGGCGTTCCCAGGCGGTTCATCAATTAGGGTAAGGTCGGGTCTCATGTAGGCGACAACTCTGGGCGCTTCCAGGTATCTTATCCACCGCTGTAGCAGTTTGGCTCCGCAGCGGGGATAGATCTGATGTTGCTCACACCATTTCAAGTGCGTCAGCGTTGAGTCTGGTGTGACCTTATTTTCGCTGTCCCAGGTGAGGTGATCCAGGCCTATATCTTTCAGTTCATCTGGGTCAATCCTGAACGACTGTAGTGATGCGACCCGCCGTCTGAGTAGGATGAGGTAATTATCAATGAACGGACTCAATGACGCTGGTAGCATCCCAGCTTTAATCTCCAAACTGCACATAAGCAGCTCCATTTGGTCCTCGACTGCGTACCAGTAATCCCTCTCGCTCTCGATGATCTGAAGGGTCCACCCACAGTTCACGCTGTAGCTCTTATAAAGGTCCATGCGACCTTTGTCTCCGGTATCGACAGCAGTGCTCCAGTCTGGAATCCACGAGGGGAGTCCTTTGTTGAATTTTCGCTTCTGATCGCCTGCCCAGCAGGCCAGAGACCGCCCCTTTCCGATGAGAGCCAACGCTGTGGCTCTGTAAGTTTGGAGGACGTCACGTGTGTAATCAAGCCGTATGTACTGCTGGTCCTCCTCCACGAGATTAAGGAGAGCATAAATCTTATCGCGGTCGTCGCTGGCCTGACGGTCTGAGAACTCCTGGAGAAGCCGTACAAGATCCGACCCACCCTCGGCGTGCCACCTCCTTCGAGTCTGATCTAGGCCGATGACCTGTTTGGCGAACTGTGCGAAGACTTTGATATTCGCTGGCTCGACTCCGGCACTTCTTGCCAGCTGTTTCGTCTTCGGTATGGACCAAACTTCCGCAGCTGCGACAAGGGATTGCCAGGATGATGTGATTGTGCCATACTGGACAGTGACGGCGGTAGCCACGGCGAGTTCCTGAACAACCCATATCCGACTCCACCACGGAGAAACGACGAACCCTCGAAGACACTCAAACACTTCAAGCCTTGTGTGTTCTTTCATTTTCATGAGCTCCAAAAGCCCTGTCTCAACGCTCTCCTGATTTGGGAACAGCAATATCAAACCCATCGCGCAGGTGGCAGCGGTCAGAGTCGATGCAACTTTCCATGTCCCGGTGGATTGACATGTTTCCAACATCTCAGTCAACAACGGACGGTCCGATTCATGACCAAACAAGTTGACTTTTGGAGATGGAGGCGGCTCCCTCAACTGGGACTGGCTGACCCTGTGGGAGCGTCCATCACCCATAAACACAACGACCGCCTCGGCGTGCTTGTATATCAGATGCATGATTCCAACTTGGAATCTTCGCTCCGTGTGATCTTCCTGGTTGATGCACTAATCCAACATTAGCGGGAATGGCTGGCTGGATTTCACGGGCCGACAAGGCGAAAGAGTCAAGATGGGATGGATCCTCACCAATGAGTCCACCCATAAAGGTGTATCCTTGTCGACATTCCTCAGGTGTCGCAGCGCGCAAGCTAGATTCAAGGTAATCTGGATCGGTAATCCGTCCAGTTGAATGGTTTCCTTGACCTTGGCCGAGCCCCAAACGTATGACAAAGCTTTGTATCGTCTTCTTTCGGAAGAGTCGTCGCCAACTTTGCATCCCTCAAGCCTGCACCGAAGTGGGTCACGCCACTGGCCAGGCTCGACGTGAACGATGCGAAAGTATTTGGAGTCGTGTAGATGTGATTTATACAGGGTATCTGTCCAATACGTGGAGAACGACATGTCTGAGGACCTGGGTCCCGAAGTGGTTCGTGAAATATTTAACAGGAGATCAGCAGCATAGGTATGTTGTTCTTGAGTTATGTTGGGACATTTGAACAGCCCGTTCGACGCAGAAATAAGCAGCCAGCACACTTAGTGAATTGCCAACAGTCTGGCTGCATGTACGGTGGGGAGGCCTCTTTTCGACAGCCAATGGTATAGCCCCCCGCGCGGTGGAACAGTATTATCATGCTGAACGGTATGCGGAGGCGCAGACCTTTTTCTACTTTTCGCGCGAACACTTTGGAGTGCCACGACATGCGTCTAGGGGGACACCACCAACTTTGAAAACCTGCAGTCCCAAGGCAGCAATGCCATCTTTATTGGCCAAATGGATCGGCCGGGCAGCCACAGCCTACTCAAGAGATTACTGTCCTCAATATGTTTCCGTGACCTAAGAGAGCTTGATATATGTTCACATCCCCAGACGCCGTGTGATATAATTTGAGCCGTCTGCTGAACTTAAATGGCAAGACGCGAACCCCTGTCCGGGATCTGCAGCTCATTTATCTCCCCTGCACTCAGAAAAGCCAAACTACCTGCCAGATCCGGGGGCTACGCGGGGTAGATGCCATAGCCATTTGTCGACGTAACCATGGATCAGGGAGCCGCGATAATGCGGAGATCAGGCGGGACGAACGGTAGCAGCAATGGTGTTCGTCCTGCGGGTACGATCGCGTTGTTAACAAGTGTGCTTTGAGCTTCGAGCTGAGCTGGCCCAAAACCGTAGTCATATGGCATATGTTGCAGCTACTAGTACATCAAGTTCTTAGGTATTCACCACAAACCAGTCTTGAACGTAGCAGATCGGCCAACATCTGCTACCGCGAGGGGCGCCGACTTGACCCCTCCTACTAGTAGGTGAGCTGCAAACCTTCGGTGTCCGGTCACTGCTCTACATCTTTGCATCACCGTCAAGTGCTCATCATCTATGCAGATGTAAGTATTCAGCATGGCTCGTCTGCTGTCCGTAAATCTTGCCATCCTAGCCCTCCAAGCTCTGGCACAAAACAACACAAATACCACCGCGGACCCACTGGAATTCGTCGACCCGCTCATAGGCTCCACAAACGGCGGCAATGTCTTCGCGGGCGCCTCCCTCCCGTACGGCCTCGCCAAGGCCGTAGCCAACGTCGACGGCCAGAACACGGGCGGCTTCGCCACGGACGGCAGCAACGTCACGGGGTTCAGCTCGGTACACGACTCCGGGACCGGCGGGAACCCCAGCCTGGGCAACTTCCCGCTGTTCCCGCAGGTGTGCCCGGACGACGCGGACGTCAACAGCTGCAGCTTCCGCATCGGTGACCGGAAGCTGCCGTACGCCACTGACAGCGTGGTCGCCCGGCCTGGGTACTTCAGCGTGCGGCTGCAGTCTGGTATCGGCGCTGAGATGACGGTTGCGGAGCGGACGGCGTTGTACCGATTTGACTTCTCAGGTGCTTCGGGAGGTGGCGGGAATTCTCCGCACCCGTTGGTGTTGCTGGACTTGACGGACCTATGGCAGAGCCGCCAGAATGCATCGATTAGTGTTGACCCGGACACCGGACGCATGACTGGTAATGGTACCTTCCTGCCGAGCTTCGGGGCAGGATCATATGTCATGCACTTTTGTGTGGACTTCTTTGGGGGCGACATCTATGAGAACGGCGTGTGGGTGAACAACCGGGCAGGGACTGAGCCCAAGGACTTATTTGTGACCAGAGGCTTCAACCTATTCTTCCTCGAGGCGGGAGGCTTTGCCAGGTTTTCCGGTCTAACAGACAACACCGTGACAGCTAGGATGGGTATCAGTTTCATCAGCTCAGAGCAGGCCTGCAGCACCGCCGAGTCGGAGATTCCTGACCCCATCCAAGACTTCGACACGCTCGTCGGCAATGCCCAGGACTCGTGGAGGCGGAAGCTGAGTCCGGTGTCAATAGATGCGGGAGGCGCGAGCACGGATCTCCAGACCAGCTTCTGGAGCGGAATATACAGGGCCATGATGTCGCCGCAGAATTACACGGGCGAGAACCCGTACTGGGACAGCGGGATTCCGTACTTTGACTCGTACTACTGCATCTGGGACTCGTTCCGCGTACAGCACCCACTTCTGACCATTATCGACCCGGTCGCTCAGACGCAGATGGTTAACTCGCTCCTCGATACCTACCGCAACGAGGGGTGGCTGCCCGACTGCCATATGTCGCTGTGCAACGGCTGGACACAAGGCGGGTCCAACGCGGACGTCGTACTGGCCGATGCCTACGTCAAGAACCTGTCGTCCACTATCGACTGGGAGCTTGCCCTCGAAGCTGTCACCAAGGATGCTGAGGAAGAGCCGCTCGAATGGTCCAAACAAGGGCGAGGCGGTCTCGCAAGCTGGAAGAGCCTAGGTTACATTCCCTACCTGGACTTTGACCCCAATGGCTTTGGAACCAACTCGCGGAGCATCTCGCGCACGCTCGAGTACTCATACAACGACTTCAACCTCGCCACGATCGCGCAGGGGCTGGGGAGGTCAGACCTTTACACCAAGTACCTCGCGCGGAGCGGCAACTGGCAGGCCCTGTGGCGCGAGGACCAGACCTCCCTGATCAACGGCAACGACACGGGCTTCCAGGGTTTTTTCCAGCCCAAGTACCTGAACGGGACGTGGGGATATCAAGACCCCATCGCCTGCTCCACGCTGGCAGGCTTCTGCTCCCTGACGACCAACCCGTCCGAGACGTTCGAGGCCAGCATCTGGCAGTACCAGTTCCTGGTCCCGCAGGATGTCGCGGGGCTGATATCACTCATGGGCGGCGACGACGCCTTCGTGGACCGGCTGTCGTACTTCCACGGCTCCGCACTCGCAGACATCTCCAACGAGCCCGTCTTCTCGACCGTGTGGCTGTACCACTACGCAGGACGCCCCGGGCTGTCCGCGGAGCGGATCCACGGGTACATCCCGGGCTCCTTCACGGCGGAGCCCGCGGGCCTGCCCGGCAACGACGACTCGGGCGCCATGGGCAGCTTCCTCTTCTTCAGCATGCTGGGCCTGTTCCCCGTCGCGGGCCAGGACGTCTACATCATCTCGGCGCCCTTCTTCCGCTCCGTGAGCGTCACGCACCCGACCACGGGCAAGACGGCCACCGTGAGGGTTGTCGACGGGTGGGATCCCGGCTACGGCAGCATATACATCCAGAGCGTCACCGTCAACGGCGAGCCGTGGTCCCGGAGCTGGATCGGCCACCGGGTGTTTACTGAAGGGTGGACGGTTGAGGTGAGCCTCGGGGCCAGCGAGTCGCCCACCTGGGGGCGCGCCCTCGAGGACCGGCCGCCGAGCTATGGGGCCTCATCTCCGGATTCGGTGCTCGTGGGTATCTAAGTTTAGCTGGTTTCAGGAGGGATGGGTGAGCGGGAATGATCAGAATACCATTCTTCGGGCTCCTTTCGTGCTCGCGGCTCGGGAAATGTGCCCGGTCAGCGCTAAGTTGACCGGCAATTATGTGCGGGATGACTAGGTAAGCTTATACACGTTGGTCTCAACGATCATCTGCTGTGCTACTAGCCAACTGCCGGCAGTCTCGGTCCCGAAAGACTTCGAGTGGCACCTTCATGGTACTTCATTGTCCATTTAGAATCAGTGAATATACCGACTGTGTACCCTAAATTCTTTTTCTGGCACAACAGACGAGTTCCTGAATACACAAGAGAGAACAACAGGCGGGCTTCGGCGCGCCCCTGAGGGCCGCATCGCCGCGCAACAGCTCATTTGTGCTCACTCTTGCGGGCGTCATGGTTACTGCTGCCGTTGTGGAATCATTGCACACTTTGTACTGCCAAGGTACGTTCTATCGTTCCCATGCTGGGAACGTTAGGGGTGAAGCACGAGCACACTCGCCACTCTCAAGCCAGGTAACAACTCTCAACGATGGTCAATTTGCCAAGTTTAGTAGATCATCAGGCCACAGGTAGAATTAAGGGACTAGATCGGTATAATTGTACCAGTCTATAGCCGCGTAGGACGACACAGGCGTTTGCCTCCTACAAACACCCGTACCGAGCGCGTGAATCCACTCACGTGAGAATGTTTTCACTGTGCTCAGGCGTTCTGCTACCAGGCTGGAGATCATCTCGTCCTCAACATCCCAGTGTATCAGGAAGCGGTGCTCGTGAGGTTCGTCAAAGACCCCGTGGTAGACGGATGCCTCGCAGAACCCGTGCCCGATGACGAGACCGCCCTCGTCCCCAATGGCAGTCCCCGGCGCATCGAAGGGCACCATCCTGACCAGCACCGGGCTCGAGAACATGCGGAGGCTCTCGGAAAAGACGGCAAAGTCGCCGGGTCTCGCCCATGGGGGCAGGTGGATCTTCCAGCCGTTCAGCCTTGACGCGGTCCAGGTCGTGCACCCGGGGCCGTCGGACAGAGAGCCGGGCTGGATGACGTAGCCGGGCCCGGTGATGACCATCGCCGTCGATGAGACTCTCGGCTTCGACTCTGGGGTCGAGGGGGGCCCGTGACGTGCTGCGACTGCCTCAACGACACCGTCCGACTCGAGGTTGAGCCCCAGGTTCCGCCATGTGAACTTGGACACTGCCGTCAAGGAGCTGATCATTCTGTGCCTCCTCAGTCTCGATATTGCCAGCACGAAGTCCAAAGCAACCTCGAAATCCGTTTTGGTGTAGTCGGGTTTGACTGGCCTAACGGGCCCCCAGTCCAACAACGAGACTATGCCGTATATCTTGTCCTTGTTATCGGCGCACCGCAGTCCGCTCGCGGTGTCCAACAGCGATGATATCCTGCGCTCGGTTGGGTCTTCTGACAGAACATGGAGAGCTATCAGTAGTCCTTTCTTCATTGCCAGGGCACCTTCTCTATCCCTTGCCAGGTCGTGACTCTTAGGTATCGCGTGGGGGTCCGCGGGTTGCCACATTCGTACTGCCAGAAGGGGTGACTCCCGGGGCCCCTCAACCAGGAGCCTTCTGCAAAAGGTCAACGCCAAGGACGTGACGTTGCGCACGACTTCTTTTGTTGCCATGTCTGGCCCGCACAAGAAAGTGACCTGTTTGGCGTGCTGTTGTTCCTGCAAGACCCACATGCGCGTGAAATATGGACGTTGGGTGAAGCTGATAGCAGCCCACAGGAGTCTGCGGACCATAGCCACTTCCCCGGCCAGGTAAATCACCATGCGGCGTCTCGCCTCTGAACTTACTCGGGCCATCAAGATTTGTTGTGCCTTCTGGAAGAGAAAATGACTGTCGTCCATGTGGTCGCCCACGCTTGCCAGGACGTGGGCAGCCTGTTGGTAGATCTTGCCCATTATCGAAACCTGTGTGCTTTTTTCTTCGAAGTTTTCCTGGTCGATGCATATAGAGTCGACCCAATAGTAGCGGCCTATTTTACACCAGCGGGCTTGCTTCAACACAAATTCGCAGTTTTTACGGATTGTGAAGGGCTTCTCGTCGATGAGGATTGTCGCATTGGACCCTGCGTCTCCCCAGGTATAAGAGATTGCATGATATGGTGGTGCGTCGGTGATCCGCCATGTTGTTAACTTGCATCGGATTTTGATGTCCTCGGTACAGTTGCTCTCGAGGACTTCGAGGAGCCTAATGTACTTTGCTGTTTGTGGAAGAAGTTCGTGCTTGAATATGCCGGGGGGTTCAGCGGGTGAGGCGTCGCTCTTCATTCTTGGGCTGCGGTGAAGTAGCTCATGGGGAAGCTCAGAGATTCGAGGAGGTTGTTAATTTTGGCTAAGGGCTGCTACGAGTAGTAAAGACCCTGTTGATATTCCCAGCAGAGCACCAGAAGCGTTTGATGCACGCCAACACCTACAATGGCAACAAAAGCGGGGGGTGGGGGCAGCATGTCAGAATATTGCTCTGGATGTCCTGTGACATGAGGTCTCCAACATGAATGCAAACAGGGCAGGGATTAATGGATGAAGATAGCACTAACCCCATCCATATCCTGATGGCTGCCAAGGCATCCTGTGGCTGAGAGCACTGATTCTTAGTGGCTGTTCTCCATGTGCAGAGCTGACCACCAACGCGAGTGAACTATCTGGGCAACGGCAGGATAGCACCATGCTAGGAAGATCGTGTATTTTGAAGCGACACCTTGAGCATACCCTATGGTATACCGACGGGCTGTCCTCTTAGGGGATCATCAAAAGGTGTTGAATATCTCTCAGCCGATCTCCTTATGGTACGAAAATGAATAATGCTTTGCACAGGGAATCGTCGGATTCGTTGGCTACCACACCGACCACACACACCGCAACAAACCTTCCGACCATTATGTAGCGCTAAAGACCCTGTTGTCTTCACTCGGGTATAGCATCATGCATTCTAGTCCCAGTTAGAGTCTATCATCAATAAACCAAAGAATGTCAACCTCCATACAAAAAGCGCCATCAAACTATCTGTTATACCCCTCAGTCTGTTCCAACCACTTTATGTCAAATTCGATAGCAATATTCCTCAAGTCTGGTAGCAGTAAATACCCAGACTACAACCACCAAGTAAACATACTACTCCATTTCATGCTCGCCCATAGTTCATCTGTTAATAGAAAACAACTCATGATTATTATCGCAGTCTAGTAAGATACACGAATCAAGAAGTGTCTAGAGTTTCACGAGGTCCTTCCGTCATCTCTTTCCTCCGTTGTAGCAGGTGTGAGTAGGTATCTAATCTCCCATACAATGGTAAACGCCGGTTGTTTTACGTATTTGCCAGACACTTGATCGGTAGCAGCCATCTGTCAGACGAGACATAACAACTGGCAGCGCTGCAGTGTCCAAGTAATTGCTTCGGCTCCGGGGCGCATTTCTCTCAAATGGCTGCTTACCCGTCCGAAAATGTACTCGAGAAAGACACGTTCGCGGGTCTTAAATGTGTTGGTAAGTGAGGGGAATCGAGGATTTAAGCCATCAATGATGCACATGTGGTATCGACTCGGTCACCGCCGATGCTCTTGAAGGGATATGATCTCTAGTTGAATAGGTATATAATCGAGTTCGTGACCAAAGCCCCGTCGATACCCTCTTAAAAGGAAGGAAAAAGTCATCAACGCCGTCATGGAAGTTTTATTATAACTGAAACCGTTCCTCGACAACCACTCACCTCACCTGGACCCAACACGGCCAGATAGTCCAAGCCCCCCGTCATCAATTTACAGTGCCCCCGGCCACACCACAACGTCCCGCCCCGCCAGTCAGGAGAGCCCGCCCCACAACACACCCCTCAAAACCCATTCGAGTCCTTCATGTCCTGCGCGGCAGTAGCCCCCTTGACATACTCACTAAGCCGGATGTCATTGCTCTCCCCCGCGTGCCCGCGCATCATCATCCCCGCCCCCGCCGCGCCGCCGCCGCGCCCGTTGTTGTTGACAGCGGGCGAGTAGGGCGGCAGGTCGACGGCGACGCCGATACCGAGAGCAGCGCCGTCGCCGCCCGTGTAGCCGCCCCCGCGCGACCCGTCCGCCACCATGGCCAGGTTCGCGCTCACGTCCGTCGGCGAGAGGATGAAGCCCGGGGCCGGCGAGTCGGGCGAGAGCGGGGAGACGGGCTCGTGGGGGTGGGGGCGGGGGTGCTGGGCCCGGCGGTATGGTGTGGACGAGGAGGAGGAGGAGGACGGGCCCCCCGGTATCGAGTCGGCGGCTGCGTAGCGCAGCCCCGGGCGGGCGGGCCTGCTTGATGATGAGGAGGAGGATGGCGTCGCGTGGTATGTTGTTGCCGTGCGGGACTGGAGGGAGTTGGCCCGGCTGTTGTTGTTTGCCGCTGCTGGGAACCCGTCGTTCGGCGGCCGCGGCGCGACGGGCGACATGTTGCGCGTCGGGGTCGGCGTCGAGAGGGCCTCCTGGTCCTGGAGCTTGTGCTCCAGCCTGATGATGTTCTCGCGCTCCTGGAGGAGGTCGTCGAGCTCCTCCTTGGAGAACATGCGCATCTGGCACACGCGGATGACGGAGAGGATGATTATGAAGATGAAGCTCAGGCTGCGTCCTTGTGTTAGTGGCACGCACGCCACTACGGGACGGTGAATACGGAAAAGCCATGTTGTGTGTGGACTTACATCATGACCAGGGTGATAAAGTAAAAGGCCTTCTCCATGCCACAGTACTGATCCAGGTTGCCCCTGTCGGGACCCTGCATGTCGGTGAAGCCCATCGTGCTGAAGCCATATTTCTCGAGGCCGTCTTTGACGTCTTCATCAATTTCCTGGGAGGAAGCTGTGCGTGTCTGTCAGCGACTGCCCCCCTCGACGCGGGTCTGATCTGGAAAGCCATACTGGTGACTGATATCGACAGCCCGCTGCAGTTGGCCGGGACCCCGGCCACGCCGAGTATGGAGACGATTGCCACGGCGATAAAACAGAAGACGATGTCAAGGCATATGCTGCCGGTCATCCACACTGGCCGCTGGGCGAACCGGTAACCGTGCATCACCAGAAGCGATAATACCGTATATGAGAAAATGAGTGTGATCTAGTATGGTGGTTAGACATTGGGCACCGGACTGAAGGGTGTTCCTCAGACCAGAGGGCGGACACGTCCACGAGGAAGTTGGTGATCAGCGGCCAGCGGAGACAACATACTAATATCTGCAGAACAATTATCGAGTTCGACAGGGTGATGCCCTTGTGGTCGATGAAGTAAAGCAACCACCCGTTCAGCGCGCCCGGGATGAAGGACCCCATGAGCTGCACCGAGCGCACCGAGACTATCCATCTCGTGAGCTCCCAGCCCATCGTGAAGGAGTTATACGGAGCCAAGGGACATGGAATGGCCTCAGATGCGGCAGCTGGAGGAAAAGGAGAGTAATTAGGGCAAGAGGGCAGACTCTAGGGGGTCGAGGGGATAGTCGAGGGACGAGCAGGCGGGATATGGGGGTAAAAGGCAGTAGGCAGAGATGGTGAGTAAGAACACCCACACGGAGACACAAACTGGCACAGACACAGACACAGACACAGACACAGACACAAACACAAACACGACCAGGTCAGGGGAGGCAGGCAGGGTTATGACGGATTTGAATCCTCGCAAAGACTAAGAGACGCGGTGCTACATGACTGCCAGCTGGAAGAGCTGGAAGGCGAGGTGATATGTATGTAAGAGGCGATCCCGGGGCTGTGTGCTGCTGTGCTCCTCCCGACATTCCAAACGGGCAGACGGGCTGGAGCCGGGCGGGAGAGAGATGCAGGGAGTAGCCACCCAACCAAGGCCGGCCCTGCAGGTGTGGTGGGCTGTACGGAGACTTGGGTATATCTGCTCGGTACACTACCGCCGCGCAGAAGAGCAGACCTACTCACTTACCTCTGGGGGGGTGAGCAGCAGCTGAGGCCAGGCCCGGCGCTTGCGGCGAACGAACCACGACGTCTTGTTGTCCTTGCCGCACGTACATGCCTACAGTAGATACACTGGGGGCCCTCGTGCATTGTTTGTGCCGCGCAGGTGTGCACATACAAACATGGCTCAGAGGGCTACTACTGCAGCTGCAGACCGAGGCTCCGGCACGAGGGGGGCGCCTCTCGGGTCCAGAGCCGCGTTTCGGGGGCCGTACGCTGCAGGTGTTAGCGGGTGGCCCCACGCCGTGGTTGGACAAGACCCAGAGCCGGTGGGCCTTGTCATATCATATGATTTGGGGGTTGTCCGGGGGGCTTTTTGGGAAAAGCCCGTAGGCTCGTCATGCTCATAAGCCTGTAAGTAAGCCTGCCTGTGGTGTGTGCCAGGTTTTGTGTTGCTCGTGATGACCCTTTTGTCCAGGGCTGGAGGGCTGGACAGCTGGCTGCCGAAGTCCCCAGGCGAGAGGTCTGTTATGATTGTCGTTGATTCCAGGTGCGGGTCGGTCAAGGAAACCTGGCTGATGAGCGAGTGGGCGTGTGTGGTCTCGGTTGGTTGGTTGGTTTGGTGGACCCGGCAAAGCCAACACCAACAAACAGCCCCCAGGCTCAAAATAGCAGAGACATGCTGGCAGTGCAAGCAAGCACTTATTGGTCTCGGGCTGAACCACATCCGGCAACTAATATCGACAGCCTCGAGGGACTGACTTCTTGAGAGAGACGGGTGTCTGTGGTCTCGCTCGGTTCCCCACGGGCAGAAGACCAAAAAAAAAAATCCATCGGCAAGGGACCCGACCCAGGATTGCCGACAGAGACGCAGCATCGTGTTTCTTATATTAGTGAGACAGCGGGTCGACGGTTTGACAAGACGGCCGTGGGAGTCTCGAGGTGACGAGGAACTCGCGTGGCATCCGGGCCATGGCCGTCGTCACCTCAGCCATGGGCTTCATCGCAGTTGGATGAACCCCGGCGGGATGGATGGTCAGACAGAGCGAGGACGCGTCACCGGCAGCCACGGAAGGATTAGCTGCATACCGAGAGCACAGAGCAAATAAGGTTGTCGGCCAGGTTGGTGGGGGTTGGGTCGGTTTGGAGATGTTGGACTGGCAGAGTAGGCAGAGAACTCGAGGGTTCGGGTTGGCAACACGACATCGGGAGGGGGAACTAGGGTGGGCATCCCTGTCAACAGGTCTCCCTCGACGGTGGCTTAGACGGTTCGAGGTCGGCTGTGATTGGCCCCGTCGAGACTCATGGCTTGAACGGCACAGGCAGCAGCGTTTCTGGACACGCAAGTGCGTGAAAATAGACTAGACTACAGTACAGACTGGCTGAGGCTGAGCTCGACCAGATTCCAGGCGGGGACGTTGTTCTTTTGGGATCCTCGTTCGTCCATCAGGCCAGGTTGGTCTTTTTCTCGACTCTCGATTGTCTGATCCGGCCAGAGACTTCCTCGTTGGACACCTGATCTCCAATCAGTGAGTCGGTCATCTGTGGTCCAACTCGTCGTTGTCGTTCTCGTGGTTGTCTCTCGTAGTGCCTGTCCTCGATGCTCCCTGGCCGTGGAATTCGCCTCTGCTGACCGGCAGACGGGCCCATCCGCCCTCCCTCCCTCCGTCATCCAACCCGTCATTGAAACGCCGCTGGAAGTCCAACCATCTCCGTCGCCTCCGGGACCCACCGTCCACAAACCACCCCCCAAAGGTGTACGCCAGCGCCTCGTGGACATCCTCAGATAGCGCACAATGGTCGAGAAGCCGGTGGTGCCTCCTCCCACGAGGTTTAATGCCGTGGGGTTCTGCCTGACCGCCATCCGAATATGGCAGTGGTCCTCGTCCTTCTTCGTCTATGCCTCCTTCAGTCTCCTCTATGCCCACATCCAGAATAACCGGCTCGGCGAGAATGGCCGCATGCGAGGGGTCCAAGTCTTGGTATGCTATACTTCGTGTCTGTCTCAGTGACCCATATACACACATATATACTAACACACGCTGGCCAACGACAATAGGGCCTGGTATCACTCGCCTACTCCACGGTCGTCCTGTGCTGTGTCCATGTCTTCAAGACCCTCGGCCTTCGGACATGGCGCCTCTTCGCCGTCATGTCCGTCCCGTCGGACCTGACCATCATGGGCATCAACCTGGCCAAGATCACAATCCTGGCCTACTCCGGCCTCCCGGCCGACTGCCACGGTCTCACCAGAGACAAATGTACGTCCCTGGCCGCAGCTTTGTTCTGATCAAGTCCAGCTGACACTCCCATTAGACAGTGGCAATGACCTTGTCCGCCAGCCCTCTGACGGCTTCACAACCATCCGTTTCGGCACCGCAGCAGAGAAGCTCGCCGGCGAGCTCGACGCGCTGTGCACCTTCCCGAGGACCGTGTATGGTCTCTCCACGGTCGCAATGTAAGAACAGCCAGCCCGTGGAACAACAGCGTCCAAAACACCATCCTGACCGCCGGCAGCTGACATCCAAACAGCTTCTCCTACACCTTCTCCATCCTGCTGTCGGTCCTCTACCTCCAGCAGCACGGGGCATCCACCGCGGCAGACAGCGAGAAGCAAGCCGCCCACGGTCCCGCACAGGTCGAGTCCCAGTCAGCCCCGAGCAGCAGGCCCGGCTCCATCCGTAGTAGTGGTGCAGCCAGCCGGCACCCCTCGTTCCTGGGGAGGGGGGGCCCTTACGACCCCTCAAGACCCCCATCGCCAGGGTCCATCCGGTCCGCCGCGCCCTCGTACCACAGCAGGGCCCCCTCCCACGGGCAGCCACGATGGGCCCCACACCAGGACGCCGCCACGCCCACAGACAGCAGCACCGACAGCACGGGCTCCCGGTCGCGCTCGTCGTCCTCCGCCTGGGACGTGACCACCCTAGCCAGCGACGCCGACTCCATCCGCTCGGGCATCTCCCTCCCGGACACCGACTCCGTCGTCTCGGGCGGCTCGCTGCCGCCTCCCCCGCTGCCGGGCTCCCCCGCGCCCGCGCCCAGGCGGTGGTCCACGTCGACGAGCTCGTCGTACGACGCCAACGCCTTTGTCGTGACGGATGGGTTCCGCCCGGGCGGCAGCCACAACCCGCCCGAGTATTCCAGCCGGCCCGGGAGCCTGTACCACGAGACGGTCAAGTACGACGCGGGGCTGGGGCTGCCAGGCGGGCCGGCGCCCTGAGGAGGCGAGGGGTGGAAGGAAAATGACAACTCGGTTTCGAGGACCAGAACTTGTGTGTGTGAGGATCCGATTGCTTGCGTGAGAACGCATCGTATGACCGGGCCCAAATGTGACGGGTGGGTGGGTTTTGTACACACACGAGTTGAGAGCGCGGCGTCGAGGTGACATGACATGACATGGTGCGATCCAGCATTGGGGGAGGGGGGGGGTAAGAATGCTGCCAGTTCCCTTCGGACGGCCGCTCGACGGTGGAGACGGGGAGGGGCCGCGGCTCGTCGGCGGGAGAACGAGCCATGGGCAGGGCTGCGGTGGAGCACGATCCTCCACGCAAACAATCGAGATGCCGCCGTCGTGGATGGGCTGGCATGAACGCCCGTGGGAAGCTATCCCGCGAGACATTCCTCGACGGGAGCCCAGGCGCCCCCTCTGGGGTCACGGAATGGGCCCACCACATCCTATAGCACACATCGTAGACGTCGTCGGCGAGCAAGGGGTTGTAATGTGTAATAAGGTAGATGCGATGGGGTCTGTATGCTCGCTGACTAGATACGGGTCTCGCCCGGGAGGACAACCTGGAGCAGCAAAGAGTGGATAGCGACTCCGTGACAGCCAAGTCAATCGACCCGGAGAAGAGCTGTAGATGAACCCCAGCACCACAGCGATCCGACCTGAACCACTTTGCTTGCATCCTATCTATCGTGATTCCATACGTCTCGTCCGCTATCACCCGCCCATTCCTACCCCCGACAACAGCCCGACGCCCAGAACCCCGTCCCGCACCGCACGGGGAACAAGGAGTTCATCCATTAATCAGGCTCTTCCCAGTGCTGCCCCCGAGATTCATCGACCGGCAGCATCTGGCACAGATGCCAACGCGAGCACGTGAGGTTTCCGCATCCAGGCAGGCAGGCAGGCAGGAGGCAAGCGAGGCGAGAAAGGCCGGTCACTGGGGTATCATTTTGATCAGCGCTGCACCCCCCCCCCCCTGTTGCCGTGAGGCGGAGTGTCCTGTGCTCGCTCGGTACGGGCAGAGTCCCCTCGTTATAGATGGCTCGCCTGAGCGATGCCGTGGCTGTAAACCCCCAACCCCCACCCTTTGGCCCCGATCCGGCTGTCTGCCAGCGGGCTGCGTCGAGTCGGTCCGTCAAGCTCCTTGAGTCACTATCTCCAGGCTGGTGGCATCCCGCCCGCCCGCCCGTCCGTCCACCGGAGGAAAGGCGTGATGACGATTGATGTACGTACACCAGACGAGGCCCCCCACGCCGGAATCGCCTGGCCCGACAGCACGGAAGACGGGGCTGGGCAGCAGCGAGCCGGTGTTGCCGTGTCATTGTCGTCGGAAGGCCAACAGGGCCAGGCCAGAACCTCACCTCAACCCACCCACGTGAATCAATCAATTCAATCAATTCAATCGATCACGCCTCAGCCCCATCCCCAGCACCACCAGCCACCACCTCCCCCTCCCGCGGCCACCGCACGACCCACCCCGTGCACGTCTTGCGCACCTCCTCGTCCCCGGGGTCGTCCTCGAACAGCGGGCGGTCCATCTTGCGCTCGAGGACCTTGTCCACGGCGAACCCCCTCCCCCGCGCGAGGTCGAAGAAGGCCATGTCCTTGTGCGCGAGCCACGGCCGGTAGCTGGTGAAGAAGACGTACGCCCTGGCGCCGGGGCCCGGCGCCATCGTGTCGCGGATCGTGTCGAGCAGCTTGCCGTGCTCCGAGTGGCGGAAGAGCAGGTCCGCGAGGATGAGGACGTCGAACTTTGGGTGCGCGGCGGGCAGCTCGGCCAGGAGGGGGGCCGGGTCGAAGCCCCAGACGAAGCCCTTGGAGACGATGACGTCCGCCTTTGCGGCGATGATCCCGCACTCGGCAATGTTCCTCTCCATGGTGGCCAGGATCTCCGCGTCGGGGAAGTCGGTCATGACGACCCTGCGCGCGCCCAGCGCCGCGGCCACGAGCGAGGGGAGGCCCGCGCCCGCGCCCAGCTCCAGGACGGTGCGGCCCGCCACCGTGGCCGCGGGGTCGGCCTCGAAGTACTGCGCCGCGACGCGGGCGCCGTTCCACAGGTGGTGCGCCTCGGTGGGCGAGTAGCCCACCAGGTGCAGGCCGACGACGTCGCCGCCCGCGGTGGTGAAGGTCTGCCTCGTGGGTTTTGGCGAGGGCGGGTAGTAGCCTTCTGGCTCGGCGAAGAGGTCGCCCCCTTCTGGGCCCGAGGAGTCGGAGCCGTTTTCTGAGGGGGGCATGGCTGTTTTTGGCTGGTTTGTGTGTGTCTGATTGTTTTTGTGTCTTGTTGATATGTTGTGAGTTGAGTTGTGTGAGTTGTTAGTTGGTGACTGAGTGGGTGGTTCTTGAGTGAAAATCTTGACCTGGCTGGCGGGTGTCGAGATGTTTGCCAAGATATATATATAGATATAGATGTAAATGGAAAGACGATGCTGTAATGCTCTAATGGGACACTTCCAACTAAATTTCCAAGTTTCGGTCTAAATGATAATCAATATGAGAAAGATAACCTGACCTAGTGAACAAGCACATCAAGTTGAAGTTGAGACGGCCCATGTCAAAAATTGCCAAAATGGCTGGCGACTCGCCGTCATGTGACCATCACCAACACCTCACCAAACACACCCCCTACACAGAACATGAAGTCCTCACCACACCCAATTGACATAAGAATGGAACTTGTCTCGGTGAATACAACACTTACTATATGCTGCAATATATCCAAATAATCAAACAGCACTTTATGATTGACCAACACCGACGCTCATAAAAAGACACACACCCCCCCCCCCCCCACGCACAATAGAACAAGCCATGCAAATCCTAGATCTAGGATTATCGTACGTGGATGGATACATGCCCCCCCCCCCCCGCCTCACGAACATTCATCCCCCAGCCCAGCCCAGCCCAGCCCAGCCCAGCCCACCCCCCCCCCCCCACACCCCCTACCCAAACCGCGCCCTAGCAAGCTCCTTCAGCCCCCTCAGCTTCTCCTCCTCCCGCTCCCTCCACTCCCTCAGCCGCTCGAGCCTCTCCTCCTCCCTCGCCCGCGCCTCCGCCTCCCGCCGCAGCTCCCGCTCCGTCTTCCTGCGCTGGGAGGCCGCCCTCGCCCGCCGCAGCTCCGCCACCGAGTCCCCGCCGCCCATGAGGTCCCCGTCCCCGACGTCCTCCACCTCCCCCGCCGCACCATCACGGTACCCCTTCATCTTCTCGTTCGCCGCCGCCCGCTTCTCCAGACGCCGCTCGCGCGTCCCCGGGTCCGCGCGCGGCGCCAGCTCCTCCAGCCGCTCCCTCTGCAGGGCGCGGTCGGCCCTGCGCGCGCCGCGCAGGTCCTGGATGTGCGACGAGCGCTCCGAGGCGGCCGACTCGCGCTGGAGGGCTAGGTCCGTGAGGGTCGGGATGCCGGGCCCCTTGCGGGCGCCGGGCCCGGGGGCTGAGGGGGATCGGCCTGGGGGCGGTGGGGGGCCGTAGTCTGAGTCCGAGTCGTTGCCGCTGTTGTTGTTGTTGTTGCTGCTGCTGTGCACGGGCTGTCGCCCACCGTCACCATCGGCGCCGTCAGAGGCGGGTGAGTATCCCCCCTCTCCTCGTCGGCCCCCTTCCCTCTCGCCATCACCCCTGCCGGCCCCCTCCCGCGCACCGTCGTGATCATCGTGATCGTGCCCCGCACCCGCACCCGCGGGCGCCTCCCGCGCCACCCGCTCAAACATCTCCGGGTCGTACCACCCCTCGGCCAGCTCCCCGCGGTTCCACTTGCCCACGAAGCTCTTCCACCTCCCGCGCGCCTCGGCGCCCCGCGCCCCTCCGTCCAGCGCGTACAGGTCCAGGCTCTTCTGCACGTCGAGGTAGTACGCGAACAGCGGCGTGAAGGCGGCGAGGTCGTGCTTGTAGGACAGGGGGCGCGCGCCGTAGGGGAGGGTGGCTGGGGCGGTTGTTGTTGTTGTTGGTTTTGGGGTTGGTTTGTCTCGGTGGTGGTGGTGGCGCTTGTGCCTGTGGTGACGGTGCCGCTTTCGGTCCTCGTCCGCGGGGGATGCGTCTCGCGCGCGGTGATGGTGGTGTCGGTGTTTCCCGTGCCGGTCGTGGCCGTGGCCGTGGCCGTCGCTGTCATGGTGGCGTTCAGGCGACGCCCTCACGCGGTAAAAGTCCTCGGCGGCAGGCCGTCTCCTGGGTGATCTTGACCTCGACCTCGACCGGGTCCTCGTCCACTCCCCCCGTCCTGCGCCACGGCCACGGCCATGGCTCCCCTCCCCGTCGCCGTACGGCGCCCTCGGATCTTCCTCGCCTGGCTCGCGCGGCATGTCTATCGCGATGAACCCTTCGTGAGCGGGTCAATGGGCCACCGGCCTGCCTGCCTGCCAGCCAGCTCCGCCCCAACGAACACGCTCGGGTTGTCGGGCGGCTGTTTCCAAAAGTCACTCCTCACAGCTTCGATGTGGGCGGTACAAGGAAGGCAGGATTGGATATTGTGCAGGCAAGCACGGTGGTGCCTTTGGAAACGATGGTTGTTTGGCGAATGGAATGGTTCGAGGCTGGTGTTTGGGTGTCGAGCGGTGTAAAAAAAAGAAAGAAAAAAAAGTGTCGCCAGGTCAAATCTGGACAAGAAACATTTGTTTGCTAATTGAGTTGACAAGAGCTGTCGGCCTGGCCGCCCTTGGGATGGGGATCATGGGCGGTCGCTGCCCGCATAGGACAGGCTGGGTAGGTGCTCCCCCACTATGGAAGCTTGGCAGGTAGACTTCCGTTTTGGTTGGCAGGGGTCCAGGGCGTCGATCTCCAGGCGGCTTGGGGCGCTAGCGGGATTCACTCCAGGGGGCTCTAGCGTGTTGATCAGTTGATGGATGAATGAATCTTATCTTATCGGGGCCTTGTAGAATTGCGTGTGCGTGTTGTTTCTTCGTTGTATGCATGTTGCAGGATGATATTACCAAAAAAAATAGTCCAACATGTCCATTGCCATGCGTAGATTCCTGCTTCCTACAGAGAATACCCCGCTTGCACATCATCCATATTTTAGGCGTGGTACGGTACAGCACTGCAAGACTGCACAAACCCCCCGAACTCAAAAGAACTCCATGCTGCGATGCTCCCGTAGAATGGCTGCTGCCGACCCCTCCTCCGTGCCGTATTTACCCAGGGTATCAAAGAATATGTACAATCTTTTTTGTTCTGCTTTAGAAAGTATCCGAAAAGCCCGGCCGTTGCCTCCGCCCTGCCTTTCCTTCCTTCCTTCTCTCCCGGTGGCTTGAAACTCTCCAGCGCCCTGCGTGCCGGCCGACCGTTCCTGTTGGCGTCCCCGTTGCGGCGCCCCCAGGCTCGGGCTAGCTCCAGTTCGTCGCTGGTATGCCGTTGCCGGGCTTGCCGTGGACCTGGCATCCTATACAGGCGCAGTCGTCGCCACACGGACACCCCTCGGGCATCCCACCGCACAGCCCGCTCATGTCCATGTCGCCCATGTCGCCCATGTCGCCCATGTTCCCCATGTCCATCTCGGGCGGCATCGCCCCGAAGCTGAAGTCGGGCTGCGGGTCGTACTGGTTGATGTTGTCGAGCGGGAATGCAAAGTTGAACATCTGGAAGTCGGCCGGGTTGAGGAAGATGTCGGTCGCCTGCTGCGGCGGCGACTGGTGCGGCGACTGGTGGGGTGGCATCATTGCCTCTGTGAAGGGCTGTGCGGGCGCCATCATGCTGCTGGCCATGGCGCCGTTGGTCGACGGCCACGGCTGGTTGAACGCAGTAAGGGCGCCGCCGTTTGAGCCGCCGGTTGGTGATACGGTCGAGTCGTTGGTCGTCATCATGTGCCCGAATTCCGAGGCGATGTGGTTCATCGTGGCAGTGTTGTATGGATGATCGATGCAGAGAACACAGTTGCAGGCAGGGCCGCAGTTACACATGTGATCGCCACCGTTCGCATGCGCTGCCTGGGCTGCGGTCATGGCCAACACCTTGAAGTCGGGGGCAGATTGGAACTGCGGGGCCGGGGCCGGGACTGGCGCTGGCGCTGGCGCTGGCGCTGGCGTCGCAAAGCTGGCCGAGGACAGTGACTCGGTCTTGGTGTGCTTGGTGTGCCCGTTTCCATTGTGTCTGTTTCCATTCGTGAACGGGGTCGGGGTCGGCGCCTCAGATTTAACCGGCTGCGAGCAGCAGGACGATTGTGCCGGGGTGGCGACAGGGGCCGCCGGCGTGCTCGAGGCAGGTTGCGAGCAGCACGAAGACGGCGCCGGTGTTGAGGCGGGGGCTGGTTTTGGACCAGAGCAACAAGACTGGGGGGGCTGGAGCTCTATATCAACAGGCTCGGTGGTGACCTGCAGGCCTCGGGCGACGAGGTCCTGGAAGAAGATGGGCTGCGTCTCCTCGTCCGGAGTGGCCGGGGCGGCCCCGTTGCTGTGGCCACACATGCACTTCTTGCCGGTGCCCCCTGACCCCTGGCACGAGCACTTCTTGTTGCGTGGGACGGCAGCCTTCAGCCAGGTGAGAGGGAAGTAGTGGGCGCATAGGCAGAGGTCGCCGGGGCCGTGTACACAGGCCTTGTTTGGCCTGCCAGCTGGGCGCACTGCCCACAGGGGCCCGCCGAGGTGGTTGCATGTCGAAGAGCGGTGGCCCTTGATGCAGGATCGACTGTTACTCAAGTCAGTCGCGGCGGGACATGGCGGGAGCACAGAGAGGATGCGTGGGCGTGTTGAAGAAAGAGACAGCCTCAGAGTCGCCGACAGAGAAGCGACTGCTTGCTGCAGCTAGCCGGGGCGGTATGGAGAGGGACGGGGACGACAAGAAGAACTTGAGCAAGACACAAGAGATGACAAGGTGAAGCATAGTGTAACCAGCAACGGCGGTCAAGAGTCTCGGAGGTCACACTCGAAAGGTCCGACTCGGAGGATGGACTCGGAGGATGGACTCGGAGGATGTCTGGACGGGGGACGGAAGGAAACCGACACATATTGGCCGGCCTCATGGTCCCACGTTGCACAGAGAAGAAGGTGGCACATGGCACGGAGAAGAAGGAGGACGGGCGGGGAGGAGAGACACGGGACAGACAGAGAGAGACGAGGCTCACCATGACATTTTCTGTTTCCCGACCCAGATTGCCATCTCGTCGGCGGTCCGAGCCTTGCTGAGCTCGGTCCAGGTGGGAGAGGGAGGGACAGGCAGACAGCAAGGGGAAAGGAAGAAGAAGCAACAGGCAGCAAGTGGATTGGACCGGATGTCGAGGCGAGGATGCCGGAGATGGGAGGACCAGGACCCGAGGGGATGGGAGGGAAGGGAAGGGACCTTCTCGAAGGTTTATCACGATGATTATGAGGCTCGGCAGCGGGGCCTGGCGTGGCTGTTGCGTGGTTCCGTGGGCCTGGGCTGCAGATGGGGAGGGAGGGAGGACCAAGGTCGGCCGGCGAGATCGGTCCCTGTGCGTGCACCGCTAAGATCTGAGGTGTTTCGAGTTTCGGATTTGGAGTTTGTTTCTCCTGGTGGCGGGTTTGATGCGGGTGCTGCGATGCGATGCGAGGTGATGCGATGCGGCTGGGGTGAGAAAGGTGATGCGAGTCGATACGGAGTCCTGAAAATGAGAGCGGGTGCCAGTCCACACGCAGCAGTTCGCCGGCTGGGTGGGTCAGATATGCCGATGAGGGTGTCGTGGTGTCGTGGTTTGAACCGATGCGGTGAGTCGAGGTCGAGGTCGGGTTTGTAACGGCATGAGATGGGGCGGGATGCGGAATGCGACGGTGCTTAGCTTGGGCACTCAGGCACTTTCTTGGGTCTTACGGGCCATGATCAGAGGGGTCGCGGACCCTTAGACCTTAGGAAACGGGAGGGTGGGGTTACCCACGGTACTCCGCAGCGTACTGACCCAGCCGCAAGGGCAGGGTAAACGTCGACCAGCTTGCGAGCCTTCTCTTTTCGGTTTTCGAGGCGACTAGCGGGGGCCAATCCCCCCCCACCTTCCACCTCCCTCCCACCTTGGCACAATGCACTTTACTCAAGTACCTTTCACATGCATCTGGATTTACGTACATGGCCACCCACGTGCTGCCTCCCTGCTGCCTCCATGCATCTGCACGGAGAATCAATCAAAAGAAGCATCGGTACGCCTGGCAGTTGAACTTACAGCACATACGAGGAAACAGCCGACCTGCCCGAGGACCGGTCACACGGTACGTAAACCTTCCTGCGGCCCCAACCCCCAAACGTTCCTCCTAGGCCCCATCCGTGACTCCTCCATTCTATCTATGGCAATGCTAAGCTCCTAATGCACCCTGTTTGGTCTGGCCCCCCAAGACCTGCCCAACGTTTGGCCAGGCCACCTCCAAGCCGCCCCCCGTAACCGGCCTGCCGTCTTGGTCCTGAACCATCCTGTTTGTGGAATAGCCGGACGAAGCTCTCGTAACATGTCCTCCCTAGCCTGCGAGCTCACTTCGAGCTCCACTGTGCTGTGTCAGCCTCGGGCAGGATGAGCACTGGCTGCTGTTGGTTTCTGAGATTCACATACTCAAGTATACATAGACTCAGCGTCAATATCACGCGGGAGACCCCATCACCAACACCTTCGGAAGTCCTAGGCAACGTCCCTAGTCAGCTCGGCTCCAATCCCCCACGGGGTGAACGCACAGGAAACAGTGTACCTAGGTACCATCTCCTATTCAGTGTATACATTATTACCCATTCCAACAGCCTGATATAGATAGAAAGGGGCCTGCCTGCCTGCCTCCCAACCCGAAAGGACCACCAATGATCTAGTTACCACATCTTGAACAGTAATATCATGACATGACATCCGGACCACCACCAAGATGCTCACCTCCACCTTAGGTCTCCCCCCTTTCGCCAACCTCTGATGTCAGCCCCAATCCAGTCCGCCTACGAGGAAGGCTATGTGCTCCCAAGAGCCCTCTCACAACAACGGCAGCCGCGTATCCCCATCACCATCCGAATACATAATAGAATTTGCAGCTCCCTGAAGGATCGCGGGCTGTCGTTGGGAAATTGTTGGGGACTTGTTCTTTGGGTGCTGTGCAGGGGGTACTCTGCTTCATGTGCATGCCGCGCGGCGGGCGTGGTTGGGCTTGGGGGGGGGGGGATGTGAGTCGCTGAGTGATGACTGAGTGAGTGGACGGAGGTCCATACGACCGGGTGGGTTGGCAGACACGGCTTAGAGGCCCGAGACGGCTCCCTCCCCGGCCGCTGAGCAAGATATGATGTTGCTTGACTTCGAAACACAAATCGAATGCCAGGTTGATGGATGTCAAGGCGCATTATGTATGATTCATTAAAAAGCGGACACGACATCCCACCCACAACCCGCCAGTCACGCCCCCCCCCCCTTCCCTATTTCCCATCCGAGTCAGAGTCCGCAAACATGTCCGCGGCAGTAACCCGCTTCCGCTTGCCCCCGGGACCCGAAGCCGCCGCCGCCGCCGCCGCCGCCGCCGCCTTGGAGGCGCCGCCGGGGTCCTCCTGCCCCTGCTGCTCATGCTTCACGCCAGGCGCGGATGATGATGATGATGCCCCGTCTCCTCCTCCCATCCGCACGTCCTCCCCCCCACCATCAAGCGCAAGCCCCTCGATGTCAACCTCGAGCAGCGGCTCCCCGTCGATGTGGTACCGCGCGAGCAGCTCGTTGTCAGCCTCCTCGTCGTCCGTGTACTCGTCGTAGCTCCCGTCCGAGCCACCAGCATCGTCCTCGGCGGCGGGCGTCTCCGCCGCCGCAGCAGCAGCCGAGGCGGTAGCATCCACCGTCTTCCAGCGGCCACCCCCGGCCCCCCTCGCCACCTCGGCCTTGGGCCCCTCCCCCTCCCCCTGCCCCTCCCCCTCCCCGCGCAGGCCGGGCGGGCTCTCGAACGACCGCACGAACAGCTCCTGCGAGTCGTTGGGGAACACGCACCACCCCTCCCACAGGCCCAGGACGAGCCCGATGCTGCGCCGCCACTTCTCGGCGCGCAGCCGGCCCCAGCTGAGCCGCTCGGGGAGCCGGCCGAGCCCCTCGAACGACCGCCGCGCCTTCAGCGCCGCCTCCAGCAGCTGCCGGTACCGCCAGGCGTGGCGGACGCCGCTCGTCGACGACGACGAGAGGATGTCGCTGATGACGTAGAGGGCCACGAGCTTGGACCCCGAGGTGTCGCGGGATGCCGCCGCGGCCGGGTCGGGCGCTGCGTCCTTGTTGGGCGTCGGGGATGTGTCGCGCGAGCGGTGGTGGTTGTCGCCCTGCTGGTCCGGGTTGGCGGAGCTGAACGAGAGCGGGTTCTCGAGGTTCGTCAGGATCAGGTCGACTATCTCGTCGGCGCCGCGGTTCGCGTGCATTATCGCGAACGCGGTCACACGCGCTATGTCGCCCTTGCGTATCTTGCTTAGCGTCGTCGGCAGCCGTGACAGCAGGTGGACGAGCTTGGCCTTTTCGATCGGGTTGAGGAACACCTCGTCCGGCTCCTTGGCCCCTTCGGTGGTGATCTTGGGCTCCTCGTCGTCCTCGTCGTCGAATTCGGAATCATACTCGGACTCGGATACGAATCCGTCGACGGCTGTGGTGTACTCGTATGCCAGCTGCTTTTCCGGCACTTTCCAAGCCGAGCCCCCATCAAAGAGAGGCAGATACCTGCCCCTTTCCTTTCTCGATTGCCCGCCGCCAGTGAGGATCTCCCACAGGCGCCATCGGTACCATATCCCACCCTGTGACCTGGCGTCCCAGATCCACGCCCATTTCTCGTCTTTTTGCACGTCAGGCCGGGACATCAGTAGTGCCTCGAACTCCGGCCCGTGCTCAAGCACTGATTCCACAACCTTGTGGATCGTGCGCAGCTGCTTGATGTCCGCTGGTGGCTGTATGGGAACATGCAATAATACACCGCGGTTGACAGGCCCCATCGAGTTGTATGAGGTTGGAGGCGCAAAGCGGCCCCGCGTATCCTGCCCGCTCGGTGGCCCGGGCTGGGCTACCGGCTTTGCGCCGAAGGGATGATGCGACGTTGTGGTCGAGGCTGTCACGTTTGTCATGGAACCGGCGGCGATAGCCGCCGAGGACAGGTGACGGTGCAGGGACAGGTAGTATCCAAGGCCAAGATAGCGGTTCTGCAGCGCGCTGACGGCAGCATCGATCTCAGAGGCTGCAGTCTCTTGCGACAGGGTCACGATGGCGGCTATGGACTTGCGATCCGTGCCCGCGACGCCCGGTGTGTTGTGGGGGAGTATCTTGACACCCTCCACCGCGAGGTTTGTCGGGATCAGGGCCCTGATCGCCGCGGGGGATGTCGCGGGAGGCAGGTTCGCGAGCCGCAGTGTCGGGCGCGCCACGGCCTTCTCTTCGGACCGTCCCAGGCCCGTATGCTCTTCCTCGTCGTCGCTGGCGTCGAAGGCCTTGGCAATAGGTTTCGAGCCGGGCTCGCCGTCGTCGAACCCAGAACCAAACCGTCCCGCGCCCGTGGCCGAGTGATCCCTCCTCCTGTCGTTGTTGGACTGGAGGCCGTCGTAGGTCCTCTTCTTGCCAAAGCTCATGGGCGGCGGCGCAGGGCCGAGGGATCCTGGCCCGCTGACCTTGATGCCGCCAGCGCCAGGCGGGGCGCCAAAATGTCTTCTCCCGCCTCCTGCTCCCCCAAAGCCGCCACCCCTCGGCTGGGGCGGGCGTCCAAATGCGCCTGGGCCCCGTTCGTTCTGTGTGCGGTCGTCATGGTCGTCGTCGGCGTCGAAGCTCTTGACAAAGTCCTCGTAGACGGCGGCGGTCTCGGCGGCTTCTCGCAGCCGCTTGGCCTCGGCCTCGGCCTTCTGGCGCTCGAAGGCGGACTGTTTGGTGGGCTTCTGGAGCTTGGCCTCGACGTCGGGGAACTCGGCGATCTTGTTAGGGGCGGACATGGTGGGTGGGCACTATCATGGCTGCCACTGAGGCGTGAGACCGATTGCAATTGCAAGGAAGGTGCAGTGGCCTGTCGGGAAGATGGTCATCTCGCAAGTTGGAAGCAGAGAGAGGTGCCGTGGCTGTTTAGTTTGGGCCGGGCCGGGCAACACACTGCAAGTCTGGGTGGGACGTCGAGGGCGGAGCTGATCCCTGCTGGGCGGATGGTCCCCTGGAAAGTCGGCTTACTAACCAACCACTGGGCACTTACCGTCTACCAGGACAGCCAAGTCTTCTAAGCACTTCCTATCTAACACTCCCGTGCTGCACCAAAACCATGGTACACACCGTAGCCTTCTAAGCGAAGCACTGACTCTGCACGCTAAGCTACAATTAAATTCAAAGGTGCCTCAACTTGAATATATTTAGAAATAAGTATCTACTTTTAAAATTCTGGGGGATGTAAATAGAACTGGTTCATCTTCTAGAAACTTAGGTTATACCGACTAGCCCTACTCATGGCCCTCTGCTATGCTCCAAGGCATGCCATGCCCCCTTTGCTCAAGCCAGCTCCTTATAAAAGGAAAACCTTTGGCAGTTCAACAAGACCAAGAAAAGGTGCCTAGGTAGGTACTTATGTACGTTCATGTCCGTACGTGGGAGTACCAGACTGGGAGTGCTGGTCCCTGACCTCATGTTTTCTTCCCGTGAGCGCTCTGCGAAATCCAGCAATCCATCTTGACTCAATCATACAACCTTGAAGCCTGCTGTGCTCGAGTCTCAGCCGAGAGGTGGGGCTTGGGTGCGAGGCACCAACAACTCCCCAGCGGAGGACCATCCTCTCCTACACGAGCACACGCCGAGGAGTGATGTGACGGGCGAGTCGCCCTGGAGCATACCTCAGCGCCGAGTTCCTAGATTGTTTGTGCACCGGCCAGCATCTTTTCGAACCGCATCACATACACCAAGTCAATTGAGAGACGGAGCACGTCTCTTGCCACTATCTCCTATAAATGAAGAGCTCCCTGCATTTCGAACCCACAGCCGACAATCGTCTATATCTTCATCTGTAGCCGCCAGCATACAAACAGAGCCCGCCGGGGATTTCCCAGATGTCGACCAACGAAACCGTTCCTCCTGGAGGAAGAACCCCTTCTCCCGGAGGGTGCACGGACCACCCCACAGGCTCCAAGGGATGGAGGCTTACAGCAAACAACGCCGTTTCATCCTCCAAGGGTTAGGGGCGAGAAAGAAGCAAGCAACCCGCAGACAAAGGCCATGAAAAGGGAGCGCAGAGGTCCTTCTATACTGTGGTACACCATTGGCCTTTCTGCCCCGCTGGACATGGCCATGTCCCGACTGCCAGCCCCGTCTGGTGACTGACCGACCTTGCTCTCTTTCCCAGTCAGCATCCGTGGCGACGACCAGGGCCATGCCTCGCGACTTGCTGACCACGGCCGGGCCTCTCTCATGACGCCCCAGCAAGAGCTCGGTCAGAGTGCATGACTCAATGCTCGAGTCTCGACTGAATGGCACTGCAATGTCAGCTCGAGAATCGTCACTGCACACAGTCAGTGTACCGACCCCCGTCTGCCGCCCGCGCAAATCATCAGGCCATGACTGGCCCGGTGGGCATGGGCGGGGAGTGGCCTCATCGTGGGGCAGCCCAAGCAAGCAAGCTGCGCGATTGAGCAGGCAGGCCAGGCAGGCCTGGCAGGGAAAGCCGAGCAGAGCAGTCTGAGTCGAACCAGAGCACGCATGGCATTTTCCTCAGCTGCCCGGCTCCGACCCCGGCCATGGAATTTGCACGCTACCATAAAGTGTGCAGCAGACACACACAACTTTTTTCCCGCCGTCTTGAGGCATTGGGACTAATTTGAACAAGATCACATACTCGGAGATACTCTGATATCTGTTTCACCGACTCCACGGCCAGAGCCCGCCTCCCATACCATACCAGGACGCATTCCAGCGCTGAGACAGGACAATTTGGGACCTCTGGTGAAACAGGCCGCCCGGTGATCAGCCAGACCGAGCCAGAATCCTGACGGTCGTGTGTCACTCACGCCAACAACAAACGAGCCAGGCACTACCGACGTGAATAGCAACACGACTGCACGACTGACTCCAAGCCTCTTCGAGCCACTGCCACTGCCAGCAGCCCGCCAGGCCCGCACGGCACACGCATTGGTCTGGGCTGGCTCTGGCCCTGGCTGACATTGAGCCAATTGGTCTCTGCCCCCTTACAGCCGAGATAATGTCAGCCCCGAGCTTCTTTCCCTCCATCCCCCTTCCACATCCCCCCCAATCCCATCCCCCTTCCACAGCTTTGACCTCTCTCTTCTCCCTCCTCACTTCATCCTCAACCACCCTTCCTCCTGTCATGTTAATCCTCCCACAAATTAACCGTTCTAACTCTCTCCCTCCCCCTCCAGGCCTTCTCCATCCCCCTTAGCCACCAACGACAATGGCGGCCCCCTGCCCTCGAGCATCCTCATTGTGGGCGCGGGCGTCTTCGGCCTGAGCACCGCCCTCTCCCTGGCCCGCAACCCGTCCGTCCCGAAATCAACAACCATCACCGTCCTCGACCGCTCCCCCCAGCCGGGCGTCTTCCCCAGCCGCGACGCCTCCTCCATCGACACCTCGCGCATCATCCGCGCCGACTACGCCGACCCGGCCTACGCGGCCCTCGCCGCCGAGGCCCAGGAGGAGTGGCGCCGCCCGGGAGGGTGCGGCGCCGACGGCCGCTACAGCGAGTGCGGGCTCATCATCACCACCGATGACGACCCCGCCACGAACCCCAAGAACTACGCCCGCTCCTCGTGGGACAACGTCCGCGCCCTCGCCGCCGCCGACCCGGCCCTCCGCGGCAAGATCCAGGAGCTGCCCGACCCGGCCGCCATCGCCGCCGCCTACGGCACCGGCGGCGGCGGCAGCGGGCGGTGGGGGTACATCAACCGCAACTCCGGGTGGGCCGACGCCGAGCGGTGCATGGACTGGCTGCACGCGCAGGCCCGCGCCACGGGGCGCGTCACCTTCGTCAACGGCACCGCCGCGTCCCTCATCTGCAGCACGTACAACAGGCGCACGCCCGAGGTCCGCGGCGTGAGGCTCGCCGACGGCTCCGAGCTGCAGGCGGGCCTGACGGTCCTCGCGGCGGGCGCGTGGACCCCCTCCCTCGTGGACCTGGGCGGGCGCGCCGTGGCGACGGGCCAGGTGGTCGCGTACGTCGACCTCACGCCGTCCGAGCAGGCGTCCCTCGAGGGCATCCCGACGCTGCTGAACCTGAGCACGGGGTACTTCATCATCACGCCCGCCGGCGGGACGCTCAAGGTGGCGCGGCACTCGTACGGGTACCTGAACCCGACCCCGACCCCTGCGTCGGCGGGGGGCATGATGTCCGCCCCGTCGACCCACCTCACCAGCCCGCCGACGACCTCGATCCCCGAGTCCGACAGGGCCGCCCTCCGCGCCGCCATGTGCGAGCTGGTCCCCTCCCTCCCGGCGCTGCGCACGCGGCCCTTCCGCGAGACGCGCCTCTGCTGGTACACCGACACGGTCGACGGCGATTTCATAATCGACTACCACCCGGACTACCGCGGCCTGTTCCTGGCCACCGGCGGCAGCGGCCACGGGTTCAAGTTCCTCCCCGTGATCGGGGACCGCATCGCGCAGACCATGCTGGGCGACTGCCCCGCGGCGTTCCGGGGCAAGTGGGCGTTCCGCAAGGACGGGTCGGAGCGCGCGGCCAGCTGGGACAAGGTCGTCACCGCGGATGGGAGCCGGGGCGGCGTGCCTGGGTTGGTCCTGGGCGAGGAGATGGCGAGGAAGGGGCAGAGGGTGGATCAGGGGACGAGGACGTCACGGCTTTGATTTTTACGAGAGGGCGAATGAACGAATATATGTCACAGGTACGTGCGGCAAATCGAGCAAGACTTTTTGAGTGCAACTGTTGAGGCATTGACCATGAGTAGCTTATCTATCATCGGCTAACCAGACGCCCAGGAGACCAGAAGCGGGGGGGTGTAAGAACTCATAGAGTATGAGTGCTAGCCGCCGACGAGGCATGTAGGCCAAGTCTGAGGTCCCACAAGGACGTGCTGTCGAAAGCCCAGAGCGGACAGACGTTCAGTAAAAAGTGCCAAACTCATGTACTTGGCAGTCCCATTGAAGGGCTCCAAAAAGCCAGCAAAAAACAGCGCGCTCAAATCCGTGGCCTCCCTCCCGCTCGGGGGGAGTGGCCACGACGCTGATCAAAAAACTTAATCTCCTTTTCCTCATCCACACACACGCAGATGTGAGAGCTTGTCATCGGGTAACCTTTTACCGAATACCGAATGGGTGACGACTGGTGTACGCTCTCCCAACTCCCCCGAACTGCTCTGCTCGTAAACACCATGAGCAACTCAACTCCGCTGCGACCGTTCCAGGACCGCATCATAATTATGTTACTTCCGCGTTTTTGCGCGCTGATTTCTCTTCTCGGCGCGCGCGCACCCCGATCGAGGGGCGCGATCTATCGTCTTCGAAGTGTAGTGAAAATGGGGGTGGGGGAATAGGTGGGCCAATTTTTGTTGTTTTTTTTCCGTCGCAGTCCTCATAGTGTAGTCCGGGCCGACTGTAACCATCCTTGTCGTAACGCCGATGCAATGCTGTAGCAGAAAAAGCAGAAGTGAAAAACTGTGGTACAGCAGACAGACCAGATGTCGTGCCGGCTCGGGGGGCGAGAGCGCGGCAGCCGGGTGCCTGTCTGGGGTATGCGTCGTGAAAATCATAAAAGCGCGTAATCTTACAGTTGAAGAGGCGGTTTGGTAGGTTGTAGGTGTGAGGGGGTTTAGACCTTGCGGAAATCTTGCAAGACAGGGTAGATGAGCTCAAAGGCGTGGTAGATCTCGTCGCGGACCTTGGCACCAGTGAGAACGATCTTGCCGCTCACGAAGATCAAGAGCACGATCTTCGGCTTGACCATACGGTAGATCAGGCCGGGGAACAGCTCGGGCTCGTAGGAGCTGAAATTGTGATGGCGAGAAGCAAGACCCTCGAGACGGATGGGGAACTTGATGTCGCAGGATCCGACAATGTTCTGGATCTTGAAATCCGTGAACTTGGCGTTGAAGCCTATTGCAGGTGGATTAGCGACGTGACCTCTTTGCTATCAGGGATGCGCAGATAATGCCTTACCGAGCTTCTGGATGATCCGGGCATACTTGCGGCTGGCAAGCTTGGAGTCATCCTCAGACTTGGCACCAGTGACGACCATCTTGCCAGAGGCGAAGATCAGGGCGGTCGTCTTGGGCTCACGAATACGCATGATGACAGCGGCGAATCGCTTGGGATCTGTTCAACAGGGTGAGTAATCCGGTTGGAGCATAGAGACTCCGGATATACTCACTGTACTCAGCGTTGCGAGCATGAAGAGCGATGGTCTTCAGATCCAGACGGCAGTCCAGGTTGACAGTTGCCACGATGTTCCTTTAGGAATGCAGCATGAGCATCTTTGAGATCACGCACAGTCTGATCACGCGGACATAGCTTACTGAAGAGTTGGTGTCAAGCCGCTGCCAGTCTGCTGCGCACCAGGGGTGGCAGCAGGAGTGGCGGGCGCAACAACACTGCCGTTCGCAAGTGGGGATCCAGCGGGAGCACCGTTCGCGGGGGCCTTGAGACCAGCGTCGCCAGGAGGCGTCAACTCGTTGTGGCCGGTTGGGAAGGACAGAGAGCCAGGAGACATGAAGTTCTTGGCCTGGTTGGCATTGCCAGGGTGGGTCTGGATAGCCTCCATGGTTGCGATATTTGACTCTGTCGACGTAATGAGACGATGGGACAAGAGACTGGAGCAGATCTAATGGTAGATGCTATGTTAGTACAAAGAGTGGACCAAATCGATGTTGCGCGTGAGCATGTGTATGTCAATGTGGGCGCAAGAAACATGGCAGGGTTTTTATGGGTCGAGAGGCAAATGGAGCTATCGCCTCCCTTCCATTAACTACGGTGGTGGCAAGTGCAACTCCCCAGGAAAAAAACGGGGCAGGCAGGCTGTGTTGGCGGGGTGACTGGGTGACTCGGAGAACAGCAACATTGCAGTTGCAGTCCCGTTCATCCCCCACAGGGCAAAAAGGGTTCCCTCACAACGGTCCTCAGGGAAGACACAGTGACGTACCAATTGCGGGAGAAGAACAAGTCAATGTCTCCCCTACAGCGACTGCTCACGACAAGGACAACGGCGGACACGAGGTGCACGGCGGCGGGCGGATTCTTCGAAGTCGGTACTGTCCACGGGACTGCGTCTGCGGGTAGCGATGCGATGCGGTGCAAGGCGCTTGATAGCTTCGTCGGTCGAGTGTTATCGGGAGATGACTTGACTTGACGGCGACGAAGATTGCGATGCGATGCGACGCGACGCGACGGTGCAGGTGAGCGGTGTGTGTGACGTAATACCGACGACTCGAATCGCTTGCGCGCGACTTGTTTTCAGGTACGGAAATGAGGATTTTCTATTCTCTTGCTTTCTTTCTCCGGTCTTCTCTTTCTCAAGTGACAGGTAACACTGTGCACTGTCCAACAGGTCCTGGGGCCTAGCCTCGGGGATCTCGAGGTAAGAGAGAGAAGAGAGGTGTGAAGGGAGGAAGGGCGAGCCTTAATAGGTCGGCAGGGCAACAAAGGTCGACCTGTAGATGGAGGGAGTCCTTTATGAAAAAAAGAGGACGGGGGGTGGTGCGCACACACACAAGGCGCGACCAGGGATAGGGTAAGAGAAAAGAGGCGAGTGATTGGCGATGGACCACGGTTGCGATGAGCTCGCAAGTTGCTTGTGCGCTGACAGTCGAGGTCGGTTTGGCGGAGGGACCAGGTTGAGGCTCTCGACGATGGCAGGTAGCAGTGTGTGTAGGTGGTGGCTCTGGTGTGGAGTGAGAAAAAAAGTTGGTTGGAGGCCAAACGTTAATGTAGGGATACGTAGGGCCGGTCGGGACTTCCGCTCCAAAAGGATGAGCGATCGGGCGGTGTTGGGGGGTGCTGGCCTCTTTATAGAAGCAGCTGTGGCAACCTCAGGCAGGAAATGCAGCTGTGGCACCCGGATTTCACAGTTTTTCGGCTGTCAGTAGTGCCACCCTGGCCAGAGGCTGCACCCAATCAAGCGCCGTCGCTGGGCCGGCATAAGTGGGCCGCTTCCTGATGGGCACGAATTGCATTGGCATCATCCCTGCGCAGCTGGTGAACTTGCGTGCCGCCCCACTCCTTCCAGCCATGTACCGGTACCTCCATGATAGCCTGCTTCTGCCACTCTGCCACTTGACTTGCTCTCCAGTGGCCCAGCAACACGCAACCCCAGCAGGAGCCAGCCAACCAGCCAACTAGCAGTAGCAGGCAGCTCGTCAACGAACCAACCAACCAACCAACCAACCGATCAACCAACCAGCCAGCCAGTCACTCATTCATCAACCTCGCATCGTTGGCTCGCATCAAATGACGGTCCAGTCTAAAAGTAGTAGCGCTCAGCATCAGTGCTTTCTGTCGCTCCCAGCCATCGCCGCCAAAAGTCGTCATCCCTCATCCCGTCTCGTCTCCCCCCGTTCTCCCCTACTCCGTACTGCCGTTCACTCTGCCCGCATTCATTGGCCTGCAGAACCCATCACAACTCTGAAACAATGGCACCCTTCTCAACCCCCCTAAATTTCATGCCTCGTCCTTCCAGCCGGGCAGCTAGGGCAGTCAGCCCGACAATGTGCATACACATGCCACACCAAGCTAACAACCCAGACATTATCCAACATCCCTTCTCCTGATCTAAAATCCACTCGTCTCAAACCACTCCGTCGGGAGAAGCTGTCACGATGCATCGCACATGCCGTCGCCACCATCAGAATGCAGCAGCATCACGCATCAATCACCCCACGAAACCAGAAGCGGGTGAGAAAGGGACACCAGAGACATGACAGTTAGGGGTAGCAAATGCGGTCGACTGCCGTCTGCGTCTCCGTCTGCGTCTCCGTCTCCGTCTCTCTCATACGGATTGGGCCTCATTTCGTTGCAACAGCCGAACGCGAGACAGCCACGCCAGAACGACCGAGCAAAAAGACCACCGACCGAGTAACAACCGATCGAGTACACGAGACGCAACCATCTTTCCCTTCAACCCGACAGTCATCTCCCGTCGGCTCACCCATATGACAAGTTGTCAACGAGGCTGAGTGCCTGCTTGCTGCCTGGCAGTCAGTCAGGCCGTCAGGCAGGGTCTGCTGTGTGATGTCCGCCGATGCGACAGGCAGGCTCACTTGTCCTCACAGAAGATGCAGACTCCATTCCCGATCCCCAAGCGTCGCCCACGAATCGGCCCTTTCAACTCGGCGACCGAATCATGAAAGTCGGCATGAGAAGCATATACATTCCCGTCACATGCACTCACCACCAGGCCATTCGAATTCGCGACCCATAATTTTGCATCGCATTACTACAACAGTGTTGAGCTCAAATCAACGGGGCCTGCAGGGCTGGCTGGCTGGCTGGCAGTCACCACCATGCTGAATGAAATCCAGTCACCAGCTGCTAGGCAGGCTCCATCCAGGCTGCAGGCTGCGGGCGGGCTCCAAGCACCAGGCTCCAGGCTCTGGGCTCAAGTCTCCCTGTCTCCCTCGTCCATGCGACGCTACCGCCTTCGTTCATGCACAAACCCCCGTTGGCTGGCACCCCCGGAGATAAGCTTCTGTCTCCCTTGTCCTGGTCCTGATTCGCTGATCTGCGCCGCCTCGGGGCCTGTTGCCCAATTCGAGTGAGAGATGCTGTCCACAGTCTTGCGGCCTGAGGCATCCGCCGTCCGGCAATCCCAATCTTATTCTGGGCCTCCTCTCGCTGAAAACCTGCTCACTATTGTTTCC